ATTATAGGCCTTACAAGAGGAAACCCTCGTCTCTTTTAGAAAGAGCATAAGCAAAAATATCCAGTACTTGCAGCATTAACTCGGGATATTCTCTTTATTCCTGCAAGCGGTCTTGATATTGAACGGCTCTTTAATTGTATTTGCAATATCTGTTACTATTGCCGAAGTAAGCTCAAATCTAAAACAATCAAAGAGCTTATGCTCCATTTCTTCTTTTTTATGTTTGATTTCTAGCAAAACGAGCTTAATCTGATTAAAGAGTATACCTTAGAAGGAAAAACTGCTATCTTTAATGAATTATAGAAGCCTTTTCTATCACTGAATGACATTGATCCTATCAGTGACGATAAGGAGGAAGGTAGATACCAAACTGAGGAGCTACTAGATAAACCAGAGAGTGATTTAGAGAACGAAATATATCTTGTACAGACTATAACACAGAGTAAAAGGCTACATGAGGCTATCGAGTCTCAAGACAGTGATGGTAATGGCTATCCTCTTCCTGAAATGATAATTGAGGAAGTTATATAGGGGCGATCGAGAAAGTTCCGGAAAAGGCCAAAGATGCCGAATAGTTTTGAGATAGAAAAAAATCTGATATAAATAGTCAAAATTATGTAAACTAGCTGAATTTAAAGCCTCTCAGGGTACCTTTACATTAATATCAAAGAGTGTATACGTTGCTAAATATTAAATAATGAAACTGTACCTAAAGTCTTTGATTTTTCGATCATGCTATACCACGCAGGTACACAAAAAATACCAGAAAAACTGCATAATCTATGCAGGCTCCACTAGAGCACGAGTCTTGGGCTATTTGTAATGTTTATGATCCGACGGATATCGTATGATATCCGCTGAGGTCAAAAAAATTATCGTATCGTATCGTATCCGCTGCGGATAATCAATAATTAAAATCTATCGTTATCGGCACTTGGATACGAGCGACCGATCGATGACTATTGTACGATAATGCGGATAGTGACGCAGCCTATATATAGCTATTATTTTACAATTTAATATTATAAATTTTATTAAATATTATTATAATTTATAATTAAGCTATAATTAAGCTATATTTAATATATATAAAATTATAGTTAATTATTTAATTTTTTTAAAGAATTTACTTTTATGTAATTTACGTTACCAATTTTTAATTTTAGAAAATCTAACCTTATTTCAACAAATATATCAATTTTTTATTACAAGTGATATAACATTTACTGATTTATCTAATAAATAATTAGAAGCTTTATTTATTATTTATAACAGTCCCATTAATTAGTTAATAAAGTAATTTTAGCGTTTATTTCAGTTAATAAACATATTTTATAAAAATACTTTTTTAATATTATAAAGTTTAATTTTAAATAACGCTTAATTATCGAATGTAGTAATAAATAAATTATAGATTTATTAAATAAAATTTTTGAAATATTTATTTAAATAAAATTGTATAGAAATTTGGAAGTAACTTAAAAAAAAACTTTAAATACTAAAAAATCAAAAACAATTAGAAATATACAATTCTAATTTAATTTAATTATTTAAAATTAAAAAAAATGTTTTAAAAATATTTCGCCCTTATTACTATCTATTTATTTAAATAAAAATATTATATGTACATACTCTAATTATTAGTATTTTCCCGCAATTTATTTTTTATTTAAATCTAATAATAATCGCTTCTTTCCTTTCTACTGCATTTATTCATCTAAAAAAAAATTTCTAAATTTTTATTTCTATTAATTAGTATTATATTTAAATTAATAAAGATAAAATTCTATTTCGTAAAGCCCGGATATCGTATTATATAATAATATTATATTAGTTTTAAGTTATTGAATTATATATATTAATTAATTGATTTAAAATCTATCAAAATTACTTCAAAATTAATTCCATTTATTTTAGCTCATTTTAAGTTTGGTGTAAATTCCGATTGTCACGGGCTTGGGCAGTGGGTGTGTGCGCTTCTACTCGCCAAGACCATCTAGTCAGACTCAGTTACCTACTGTGACGAACTGACCAAGAACCACTATATAGAGTGATGCGCGTACCAAGTGTTTTATGTCAGGAACCTTCCGGTATGCTGGGTCACATGACTATGTCACGTGAGCCACGAATAGTAGGCGTAAATAGTTTCTCCGTGCAGCTTGTTCTTCGTTAATGCATACCTACGTTTCTTGAGGTCAGTGCCTTACACTTTATATAGTGGTTCTTGGTCAGTTCGTCACACCGATGCAGATCCCAGTTGTATCATTTTTATAATTTATTCATTATTTTATATATTAAAAATTGTCTATAAATATGAGATAAATTCCTCTCGTTTTTCAATATTAATTATTAAGTTGAATCAATCAATTCAATCGAATTATTCATTCATTCTTCCTTATTGAGCATAGACTTCGGCAAAACCCATTTTGGGTCGAAGCTTCAGACCCTAAACCCAACTGGGTTGGGTTTAGGGTTCTGGCCACTTACCTCGACCCAACCCAATAACCCAATTTTGCATAATATTGGTCTTGGCGTTCATAACTCTGCTCATTAAGCAGAATAAAAATGCTGTTATTTACCCCTGTATTGGTTTATCTATTGAATAGCTATTATTTTTAGATTATCCCTTCTGAAACACTAGGTTTTCATACTCAAATTATAATTTCTTTGTTTTCTGTGATTTACTCATCAAAGATATAGATCTTGGGTGTGTGTGGTAATGTAGTGCCACTGTATTGTTGTGATTATAATATGCTGAACTCTGCAGAAATGCATATTGACTTCTGCAGCAATATATCTTTGATATAGTCAGCAGTTTGTGTACCTACATCTTTGCTAATCAGTAACAATTATCTATATCTACTAGCAAAATTGAATTTAATACAGTACCAATAGTCTAGAGAATTGTGTATTGTCTACTTTCTAGTAAATATTCTAGAGAATCCTTGAAGGAATACTCTGATGAATACTCAGAGAATAAAATATTTTTGGTGACCTATATGAGATTGGGTTGGGGGCGGGTGTTCAATGGGTTCTGCTGGGTTTTATTGGGATTTCAATGGGTTCTGCGGGGTTCTTTTGGGATTTCATTGGGTTTCATTGGGTTTTCTTTTGGGTCGGACCCAGTTTAACCTAGTTAATAAAGCCAATCAGAAGCTATCATAGTATATTTCTTTTGATCTACCTTTTTTAATGTCAGTCTTAGGCACTTTTGTCTGAATACCCTTTTCTGATCAATACCCTTTTGGGCCTTTTCTGATCAATGTATGTACTCTTTCAGTCTTTCTATTCTCTTTCTCTTCGTTTACCTTATCATGTTTTTCCTTATTCAATATCTCTCAAAGCCAGCATTCTGAATTTTTACCCTCTCTTTATGATGGGGACACAGACAATCTTAATTATCTTGCATTTTCACAGCATCTCACCACCCCAACAGGCAGCCAGTTTACCCTTGAATCTTGATTATTAAGCCTAGTGAGGCTGATTTTTTTCCACCAAGTAATCCCCTTCCAATCCCTTCCTCTCTTATACGCGTTAGATCCGGTCGGAGACAGACATATGTGCGATACGATAATATAACACATGAGGAACGGGTAGAATGATAGTTACAACTGATTATGGAAGGAAAAGCAAGATAATCTGGGATTCAAGTCGCAATGCAAGCATCTGGGAACACTTTGACCAGGTTGCACATGGCAAAGATTGTGCACCAAAGGTTATGTGTAAACGTTGCTCAAGAATCCTAGAGCATCCTCATTTCTCTACACCGAGTCAGAAGGGCTACCATAGTACATCAACTATGCAAAAGCATCTTAAAACAGCAGCCTGTCTTAAAGCTCAGCAAGGAGGGAAAGAGGAAATCACGCAATTTCTTAAGAAAGGAGTATGCTTTCAGGTCCTTTTAATAATCAATGCTAATATATCGAGATTAATAGGATCAAATACAGATCGAAACTCCTTTCTCACAATCTGTATGGGAAGAGCAGCTTCTACAGTTGCTTACTATGAATTGACTTCCATTCTATCTTATTGAGCAACCGACATTCCATAGTCTTTTTCGACTAGCACGTTCTGCGCTATCACTTCCTTATATACCTTCTGCTTCTACAATACGTCGCCGTCTACACAATATAATTCAAGAACGACGGAAATCCATTCTCCGAGCGCTTCCGGATAGCTCAAAAATATCAATCACGCTAGACTGCTGGACTTCTCCATTCAATCAGGCATTTATGGCTATTACAGGCTATTTTGTTGATGTGAACTGGGTATGCCAAGAGGTTCTACTTGGATTTAAACCACTTCATGGCTCCCATACTGGTTCAAATCTAAGTGGTGTACTTCTTGAAACACTACTTGAGCATGGTATTCAAGACCAGATATTCGGATTAACAAACGATAATGCAACAAATAACAAGACATTAGTAGATGCTATTCAACAAGCACTACCTACTAACACAACAATTATTCGAATTCCCTGTCTCGCCCATGTGATCCAGCTTTGTTTGAATCAGCTTCTTGGTCGTCTTAAGACCGTTCCTCAAAATGAAACTGCAGAAACAAAATGGACTGCTTCACAGTCAAAAGCAGCAAAGGCAAATGCTCAACATCAGAAGCATGAGATCTCGTTCACACTGAATAAGGTACATTATCTGGCTATATATATTCATGCTAGTCCTCAGCGCCGTGAGAACTTTCTCTGTCTTCAAAAAGTAGAGCCAAAGCTGATTCCTATTCAGGATGTGAAGACCCGATGGAATTCTACCTTTCTGATGCTTCGCCGGGCTAAAAGATTACGCAGCTTCTTTAAGCCCTTCTGTAAAGAGTATGACTGTAAGGAGATATTATTAAATGATAAAGAGTGGTGTCAAATTGATTATCTACTCTGCATCACTCAGCCATTCTTTGACTATACAACAGAGCTTTCAAAGACAAAAGAAGTCACAACACATCTTGTCTTTAAGCTCTATAATGCACTTTTTGAACATCTGGAACAGTCAATGAGTCAGCTCAAAAGAAAACGTGTCTCGTGGAAGCAGCAGATGCTTGAATCTCTAAAGGCTAGCCGACAAAAGCTTAATAAGTATTACTCTCAAACCGACCGTATCCGAGGACATATCTATGCAATTGGTACAATGCTTGTGCCTGATAGCCGATTCCAATTCTTTCTCTCCGATGATTGGGACCCTCAGTGGCGTAATACCTACCAGAAAACATTTCAAGCTGCATTGATTCCATATCAAGAGCGCCTCTCAAGCGGTCAAAATTCTCAAAACCCTCAAGTACAAATCAAACCGAGTTTACGGCTAAATAAAATGCTAAATGGGAATAAGATATCAGCAAAGCCAGTTGGAGATAAGGTAACTCAGTATCTTGATAGTGGTATGTCTATTATATTATCCTCTATCTATACTACTGATTCTCTCTTTTTTTCTAGATCTAGTTGATACCGAATCCCTTCAATTTTGGCGAGATAATCAATCACGTTTCCCTGCGATCGCATTACTTGCTCGAGATATTCTTTCTATTCCAGCAATTGGCGCTGGTGTTGAACGGCTCTTTAATTCTGCTCGAGATATACGTCATTATCGGCGTGGTCAGTTTGTCAGGGATCTTCCAGTATCTTGCGTCACGACGTCACGTGATCACCACAGTTAAAGTCCGAAACAGTTGAGGAGATTATGTTATTCCTCTGTGTAACAAGATTTGACCTAAAGGATACAGAGGCAAGCCAGCTCGAACAATTCTTTACATTAGAGGAGATTGAGGCAGTAAGGGAGCAGAATCATAAGAATCTGGAAGAGATTGAGATTGATGTAATTAGTGATGATGATAAAGAGGAGGAGGTAGAAGAAGTTTCTCCTGGTCTGATTAGTATAGACAGTGAGCTACAACTACCAGAGACTACAACTCAGCTGCGGGTGCCTGGAAGAAAACGTAAAAGCAGAGCAGATGATGATTTTGAGCAATATTAGATGAATATTATAAAGTTTGAATAATCGTGTGACTTTTTTGTCATTTCTGGAGAAAGTGCGTAAATGAAATACTCAGTGTTACAGTCGAAAATGCATTAATTATGCAGTCACGGGGACAGCGGCCTGTTTAGCCTGTTTGTTTGATTTTGGGAAACCAATGGGTTACCCATTGGGTTTTGGGATATAGCTAAGAACCCAAAACCCAGCGTTGGGTCGGGGAATTGGACCCAAAACCCATTTTGGGTTGGGTTGGGTTGGGTTGTGCCGAAGTCTAATTGAGCACTTGAAATGTGTGACGAACTGACCAAGGCCTACTATATAGAGCGATGCGCATACCAAGTCTTCGACTTGGTATTCTGGTCTTTTTAGTAGCTCAGTTGGTAACTGTCCTACTAAACGGTCTTGGCGGGTAGAAGCGCACCTACTCACTGCCAAGCCCGTGACAAAATGTGTTACCTCCTGAGCCAAGGACTTCCCGATACGAACTTCCTGATATGGAGGACCCTCCGGTAGGCATTTCTACCTGAGGCGAAGCCTCAGGTAGTATGTATAGGATAGATCCTCCCTCATAGATAGCCTTTCTTCTCCATGGGAAAATTCCTTGACTACGAGTCATAAACAAACTAGTCTTTTACTAGGCTCCTTTGTAGACTGTCACAAAATGGAAGGACCCCTGACCTAGTTTGATCACCTGACCACATCACATGACATAGCGAATCATTTTATTCTTATAATTAATAATATTTATTTATTTAATTAAATTTTTTTTAAAAAAAATTCAAGATTAGTTTTTTAAAAAAAAAAGTTTAAATTTATTCTACTTAAAATTTCATTTTAAAAAATATATAAAAACTCTAGATTCTTATTCTGAATAGCTTTCATTCTTTATAAGAAAATTGCTTAATTATGAGTTAAACAAACTTATCTTCACTAAGCTCCTTTGTAGTGTTACGGGCTTGGCAGTGGGTAGGTGCGCTTCTACCCGCCAAGACCGTTTAGTAGGCCTGTTGGACGTTTTACCAACTGAGCTACTAAAAAGACCAGAATACCAAGTCAACGACTTGGTACGCGCATCGCTCTATATAGTGATTCTTAGTCAGTTCGTCACATGTAGACAGACTGCCATAGTTCCTGCGTACCGGGAAGCTCCCTAAGCTCAGGAGGTGAAAGCCCTCCGGCCATCAGATTTAGTTAATCTTAACTTTCCCATGATCGACATTCCGCGTTATATGTAGGCCATCAGGTGCGACGCAGTAAAAAGTGGCCTGTGGTTCGGTATCTAATTACATTTATGTTAAGCGCGATGGTTCCTCCTTAAAGTAACTCAAAATGGAATCTAATTTATGGCTCACGCTAGATAATACCCGACCTTTTACCGAATTGATCCACCCGTTCCGCTCACAATGCCAGGCAATAGTGCGGTGCAGGTAGTTACCCCCAGGCAAAGCCCCCAGCCAGGTATGTCCGCGAGCCTTATAACTACCACTAATAAGCTGGTTGGCTGGCTGCTTATACGGGAGCTTATTACGGAACAGCAAGAGCTAGAGGCAGCCAGAGCCCCCTGCGAGAACGCCCGTGCCACGTTTATTACAGTAATGGGTTCCACGGCCGATTTGAGCCGGCATATCTCTATAGGTATTAGATAGGGTACTAATCCCGATCCTGATCGGGCTTTCGTCTTCAGCGACGTCCCTCGCCGGGTGGAGGACCAACGGGATCCCGAGCAATGTGTTAGTCTCGAGCGGATGGGCAGGATCTGGATTAAATGATTCCCTCCCGGCTGCTCACCCCGTGAAAGAGGAGATAAAAGTCCGAGTGGTGTGGCTAAAGAAGGGCCAAATAGAACCCCCCTATCGCAGGCTTGGACGCGATTAAAGCTGGTCTATTCGGCAACATTCTAGGTACGCTACACGGGATACGATTGGGCTTATCGATCCAGTCTACAATGAAAAGGCCTGGCTGCCACGGCTGGAGGGACACGCGCAGATCGTTCAGCCATAGAACGTTACCGCTACATGATATGCCACGGACCGCATGCCGCCACAGACGACCAATGCCCCGAGAGACAGAGAAGGAAGCATCTGGAGGAAGCGCAGGGAAAGAAGCCCAACCCCGCACCCGAATGGCTGCAAGCGCAGGAGGCAGGAAAGCGTAGGAGAGTCGACCCGCCGGTAGAAGCAGAGCCTATACCAGAGCCCCCTACGCCCACGCCGGTTGTCGAGAGATACTGGAAGGCCCACGGGATGGGTACCGTAGTTGATCACCTGACGACCGCCCACGGAGTGCTAGGAGGCTTACTTTTGCCTCGCTGAGCCGAATTGATTATTGAAGTTATTTTGAAGCTGTATATCGGCCTGCTTAGCGAGCTGATCATCCTGGTTTTTACGCTTCTTTTCCTCCGCCTCACGAAGTCGAATTTCTTTATTTGAAGCGCGGATTCGCTTGCGCTCTTCGATTAAAAGCCTCTTTTCTTCTTTCTCGCACTGTTTACGAAGCCTTTCTTCCTCTTTTGAAGCCTTGGCAAGTTGTAAAGCTTCATCTTTCTCCGCTTGAAGATCACGAGCTTGCTGAATCTTCTTAGGAGAGTAAACACCGCGTAACCGTCCTCAGGGGCTCGTAATTCAAAAAGAAGAGGTTTGCTTCGCTGGCGCTTCTTCTTCTCTAGTTGTAGAGCTTGTTCAAGGCCTTGACAGCGCAGTTTTATGATATTCTCTGTAGAGAGATGATGCATCGTAGAACTCAATTTTTGGGCCTTTTGATCACACAAATCGGTGACTGCATGCTTGAGAAGCCTCTCGATCTTCCCCCAATCTTCTGCACCGAGTACTGAGCGAGAAGATTCACTAGAGGAAGGCCGATTATCGTTATCTCGGCTGAATCGAGATAAAACGACCTCGGGATCCCACGGCGCGATTCCTACCGATTTCCATGAAGAAATGATATTTTCAAGCGATAAAGCGCATCCCCATGAGGGCCAAAAGAGGCGAAAAAAGTCCCGTTTTGTGATATGACAGAGGCCTAAGCTGGTGTGAAGAAATCGCTCTAATTCGTTGCTATACGCGGTTGAAAGCGGCGAGAATATTCCGACGTCAAGCGACTGCAGCGAATGCGTAGAATGAGGCGGATACGTTACTAAAAGGATCCTATTCGCTTCACAGTAGTTGAAAAACTTCATATTGACGTGAGCCGTGACTATCGAGTATAAGAAGCCCCCAACGCCTCCTTGCCTTCGCCTTAGTTTCTCGATCGAATATATCACGCAGCCACGCATATCCGAGCTCATCATTCGTCCACCCGGAAGGTGAAGATGCAAGGAAACACTTGTGTTGAAGGGCTTCAAAATCCTGCAGCCAGGAAGCTTGAAGTTTTGAAGATGCGGCTTGATATATAAGGCCCGGAGATAGCGAGGTCCCGTCAGCGCAGATACAGGCAATCGTAGTGATCCATTCGCGATTTCCATCTCGCTCGTAGGCCTTCTTTGAGAAGATCCTTTTGCCTTTAGCGAGGACGCCGATCAAGAAGCCTTTTTCATCCACATTGTAAATATCTTCCTCCTGCACCTCGTATTCATCGATTTTTCGCTTCAAAAGTTCAAAATATGAGCGTATTTACATGCAGAATCGGCCTTTTTCGAGATGAATCGATACCGGTTGTGTAGCGAGAGATAAGCTTGTCCGAATGGCGCTTCAAAAAGCGGCTCGGCCACTGTTTTCCTGGCCGATTTCCGCTTATTTCGTGAGCGAGATTTTTGTAGCATTTCGTGCGAAATATAAAGGCCTCGCTTGCTTAATTCGTTGATATTCGAAATAAGCACTTTCGCCTGCCGATCGTTGAGCAATCGCTGGTCTTGATATCATCTTTTGAATGTTGGACACCGCGAAACCGTCTTACTAGAGTTGTTCGACTTGTACCATACTTTTTCGCTATAAACGTATAGCTAGATCGTTCTTCAAGTGTCAACGATTCCAATCATGCAATTGCCTCATCAATTGAAGCCATATTCGTTGAATTATGGCATTTTGAAGATGACGAACAAGTCGGTGAAATTGAAGTTTTCGGGCGTCAGGTGCCTCACTGCGCAGAGCAAATATATATTCTTCCTTTCTTGTCTTTCACTCTCTACCGCTTTCCTTGCTGTATAACGTGAATATAGATCCTTCCTCTGATGTCTTTTGTTGCCTTCCGTTTATCTTGTTATAAAATGTAGCTATTTCTTTCATTATAACCAAAATAATGTGTATTTATGAATGTATAATATTCAATCTAATATCTAACATAAAACCAATGATAAACATCCATATGTCAAACATTTCCTGTACTAAGTTAGCTATGGTTTTTATCAGATCTCTACGTAGTGTTATAATATATTTTATATTAGTTGGCGTTTACCCTGTGTTGTATCTCTTAATTCCTTTGCCGCGGTGAGCATCCTGACCCCGTTTACAATACATATAAATGTGTATCCATGTGTTGGCCTGTACTTGATAAAAACTAAATGGCCATCAATGCATAGGTAGTCTGTATCCCAATCCTAATCGCTGGGATACTCATCTCTAATATTACTTACAAATATCCGATTTTCGTCATCCCACCGCTTGAAATACTTTCCTGCCACTGCGAAAAGGGATGGTGGCAATTCTGACGCACAAGGAAATATAATATCAACATTTTCCTCCGCCACATACCGAACAGTGCCGTCTTCAAAGCTGTGGAATGGTCAGCACGCAGTGAATGACTGCACAGACTGGAAGAGCATACAGGACATGATAGAAAATCTGATGCCTTCCTCCACCCAAGTGATCAACCCAGTGTTCACTAGTATCCAACTCCACGTCCCATCCTGTGATGACAGCCCTGTATTCATAGCGTCGATGTCGAAGTAACTGACCAATCCGATATTTTATATTACCGGCATAAGAGGTACGTCTCTTTTCCTGTTTTGGTAATTCATCTACAGCTCGCATGACGTGTAAATTTTCCAAAATATGTTCATGTTCTACCATCCCGTGGAAGAGCGGCGCAATATATCGCTCAACAAGGAGCGTGTCGAAAGGGAATTCTGTAGCGAACAATTCCATCAACCAGCGCAGATGATGCCTTAACTCCGCCGGATGGGAAGAGTGAGAAAGCAACATTGCTGACCAAAGGGCAGCGTAGGTAGCGCTAGCAACATCAACTGAAGTTAAAATATCGGAGCGACGAGACATGCGCTGGACGGAATTCAATATGTTCTTGCTGCACCGTAAAACGATATCAGATGTCGAAGATTCACCTAGGAGTGCTGCTCGCTCAAGAGGCGAGGCGCCTAAGAAGTTCAACTGACTCTCGAGGTCTGCGACTGGAGTCTCCCTGTCCGAGCGAAACGGGTCCATGTAAATCGGGTCGCCCTCGATCCCATCCAGTACGTTACCATCCATGTCGAAACCACGTGGAGGCTGAACGATAACATGCACATGAAAAGGGAACCCACAAGGTCGCGCACGCAGGCCGAGTCTTTCGGCAACATAACAGTATATAGTTGCTGATACCAGTGGCAGTGAATTATGGCCCGGTTCATTCAGAGCAACCCCCAAAAAGTTATGCTCCAGACAATGATACTCCCGCCCCTGTTCGATGCCAGTTAAGTTGCCTTGCCTCAAATGAAATGCGATGGCCCTAGCCTTATCACGAGGCGTGTATTGGCCAATGTCAGGATTCTGCACAAAAACAGCAGCCGATATCCCGTCCAGCTTGCGCTTTATCTGTCGCCCAACATTAGAACCCCACGGATTTTCCATTTGCAGAATCTTACCTCATCCAAACTCCCATAGCCGCTTTCTGGCATAAAAAGGTCAAAGGCACCAAGTGCGCGCTCTAGTGGGACGTTCTCATTGTTGCCGAGTCTACTCCATTCCGGTATAGCAATGCTCCGATGAAGGCTCGCCAGGAGTGACTGGGAAAAGTATCTTCGAGAAGACCAGATCCGTTAATTTCCAACGAAACAGAGCGCAGCTAGAAGGACCAAAGGGAAAGGCGGCAAACCTTCTTGCTAGATAGTCGCCTCCATCCTCTGCTGCGGAGATATTTCGCAAGAGAGCGTCTTTGGCATCACAACCATAATCGAGTATTGAACGGAATTTTTCAATCCTGCCAGTCTGCGTAGCCAGGATACTGTCCAAGATTTCGCAAGTTGAACGGTCGGCTAAATGCCTTGATATATAGAGGGCCTTCCAGTTCACCGCGGACAAAGAACCTATAAGTTTTTGTGTCAGATCATGTCGAGAATCCCAGAATTTGAAATGAGATCTGCAGTATAATCTCCACAGCACGGGCTCATTGGTGATGCATCTGAATCGGCGAGCGGTCCGTTCCAAGGCGGCGCAAGAGCAAGGGTGGCAGTAGCATAGAATATTGTGGAGTATTTCTTGAGGAAGACTGTCAAGCGACAAAACCATTCCGATGCATTTATTTGACAATTGGAATGATGGCTGATAGATAAATGCGGCTCCTCACCTTGAGGAGATGCGTATAAAAAGGGACAGCCACCTGAAAATCTAGACTGAGAGTCGAGGCGGCGGGTGTTCATACTTCATAGCTCCAGCCTACTCCGTAGTAACCGACCCAAATTTCCCGCGCACTGCGACCACCATCACATTCCATCGAGGCCTGAAATCAAGTTTCTTGACCAAAGTTTGCCACGAACATCCACCATCCCAGTTTCCAAAGCCCCATACCTCCACATCTACCATATATAGTTGCAAAACACATGGGACAATCTCAGTCCAGAAGTAATGACGCCGGTAACCCAGCGGAGGGCAACAAGGCAGATTATTACGAGCTCCTGCGAGTAGATTCAGATGCCACCGGGGAGGAGTAAGCCCAACTGCCTGTTGCAATTTGTCATGCGAGGCGTTGCTAACCACAAACAGAATAAAAAAGGCATATAAGAAGAGAGCGTTGGAATTGCATCCTGATCGAAATTATGGCAATGCGGAAGAAGCCACGGAACTTTTTGCAGAAATTCAGTCCGCTTACGAAGTTCTCTCGGATCCCCAAGAGCGTGCCTGGTACGATTCGCATCGGGAGGTCTTTCTTGGGAGTCATGGAAGACCCGAAGATGCAGGCCATTCCTATAATACCCGTATGACAACATCAGACGACCTTTTCCAGTTGTTCACAAAATTCAGCCCTCGGATGGATTTTAGTGACTCCCCGGATGGATTTTTTGGTGGACTGCGGGACACCTTCACTCGACTAGCCACAGAAGAACGAGCAGCCTGCAAAGGAGAAAACGTTGACATGATAGAGTATCCGACATTCGGATTTCAGAACGACAGCTTCGAAGATGTGGTGCGGCCGTTCTATTCTGTATGGGCTGCTTTTTCTACTAAGAAGTCCTTCGCATGGAAGGATAAATACCGATATTCCGAAGCACCTGATCGGCGTGTTCGTAGATTGATGGAGAAAGAAAACAAACGTCTCCGTGAGGATGGCATTCGTGAGTTCAACGGAGCTGTTCGAGCGTTCGTGGCTTTTGTTAGGAAGCGCGACCCTCGGTACCAATACAACGCTCAGAGCGAATCCCAGCGACAGGAGAGTCTCCGCCAGTCAACTGCCGCGCAGGCTGCTCGATCAAGAGCAGCAAATTCGGCGAAACTACGTGACCATGTCCAGCAAGACTGGTCTAGATCAGAGTATGCCGACGAGGACCATCCTGACACGTCCGAGGAAGAAGTGGAACATTTTGAATGTATTGTGTGCTACAAAACGTTTAAAAGCCAGAATCAGGTCGAGGCCCATGAACGTAGCAAGAAACATTTGAAGGCTGTCAAACAACTTCGTTCGGAAATGAGAGCACAAAATGAGGAACTTGATCTGGAAGGGGCACCTGATGATGTCCATCCGCAGTCAGACGAAGACATTTCGGCAATCAAATCACAAAGCGAAATCAACCCCGTCGATGAATCATTAGACACGGCGGTTAATCCCAGTCCAGGGATACCTTTGGAGGAAGACATCACTGCCGCAACTGAGCCCAGCGAATATTCTCCTCCATTGTCAACGAGCCTAGAAAATCATTCGGGTGTTGGCGAGGATGACTATGTGCCAAGGGAGTTCATTGAAATTAGACTAGGCCATTCAAGTACATCTGACACCGGCGGGGAGCAGAGTAGCGAGATGGGGATATTATCCCAGGATTTATTGGACTGCAAACTCGATGAGTCAGGGTTAAATGTGAAAAAAACTGGCAAGGCTAAGCAGCGACGGGCCCGAAGAGCCCAGCGCTCGACTGATCAAACTGGGGGAATCAAGTGTGCTTCATGCAATTCCACGTTTCCATCCAGAACTCAGTTGTTTTCCCATATTAAGGAGTCGAATCATGCACAACCCCTTTCTGCCGTCAAAGGACCTCAAAGGAGGAAAGCATAATTCATACAACCAAGTTCAACATAGTTTCCAGGGGAATGAAAAGTATGTACAAAAGCACCAATTTGCGAGCACTCACACTCGCATGGACAATCGATATTTAGACCTATGAATCGAGATACTCACAAACATGTAAACAAACCCAAAGGCGGACCCATGTCCCCTTGAAGAGATCTTAGTTGAATATCATGTTATCCCAAGCCAGCCTTGGAGTTTTTAACCACGTGTGCAACTGGCAAAAGAATTCCTTTGTTGTTAGAAGCGCCAAGAGCAGTGCCTGTACTCCATCCCATTTTTTCTAGCATGGCTCTCCCTTTATTTTCAACACCTATTTCAGGCGCGGATGCGCCAACAACATCACCATCCATATATGAAACGGCGCCACCGGGCTGGCCACGCCGAGGTTTAGAGATTTTGTTGACGTTTTGTTTCGCGGTCCTGGCCTTGAAACTCCCTGCTGATAATATTCTGTTTATTTGCAAAACCGTCTTCGGGCTGTATTCTGGGGTGCGTGAAGTTTTGTGCAGAATGGGGAATCGTGAGGCCCCTTTCCCTCGTGATTTTGAGTTCAGAGATAGAGCATTCGCTAGATCATGTATTACCTTCCTCCGCTGCTTCGGCATAGGAGGGAGAGGAAGGCTAAATTTCCCATTTTGTTAACCGCTTGCTGGGTTGTGTGTGGAGCAAAAGGACATACCTATTCCGTGGTGTGAGAAGGAACGTGTGTATTTCTGTTCTCAACTCTTCAACTCCAATGCCATTTGCGTACTTGACATTCAGATCTGCGTTGTCTTTGTTTCGACCTAACAGACCCCTAGAGCGAAGCTCTTCTCGCTTTTGCTTTCTGGTTTTCTTCTTTTCCCGGTCGTTTTGCCATGCTCTAACCAGTTCCATCTCAAGCTCAGGATCAGAGAGGTCAAAATCGGGGGCGTGGCGCTTGGCTTTCGATTTTTTTCGAAGACTGGGTCTGTCGAAATCCATGATATCAAATCCATAGTAATGATCCGATTCTAAGGCATCGGCGAATGCGGTTGCTGAGGCGAATTTATTTCCCACTTTTTTGGCAAGCCTCTGCTGGTTTGGGTTCCTTTGACCTCGATCCTGCAAGGACAACTCCTCTAACACATCTAATTCATCAAGATCCACATCAAACTCACTGTCGTAGGTGTTGCTTGACTGGCTTTCCGTATCATCATCTAGAGGGTCTGTGCTTTGGGGTTTAGCGGGTGTAGAGCTCTGCGATCTTTCCACGTCCTCTTCTTCCTGGGGGCTGTTTTCTTGCTCGGGAGCTAAAAGAAAAAAACAAGTATTAACGGCCACGTAAGCTGCAGGGCGCAGAAAAATTAAAGGGTGTTGGTTGTCGTCGGAATTATTTCCAAATGAGTCTTCTTGGTACAACTTACATTCGTGGATTGATTGCGCGCGGTTGCGTCTAGGAGCATGTTCACCAGTATGGTTTTGAGCTTCTCGAGTCGCTAATTCAACGTCTGGTTCACGCTCTGGATGATGTGAGGTATCCATATAGAGATACACGTCGTCCATGTTTGAGATGTAGTCGGTGAGGACATCGAATTCGCCATCAAAAATATTGTCTGCATATTGTTTCTCGGGCTGCTGCGTTTGTGTGTCCATGCATATGCTGCTATCCTTGCTTGGCTTTGTCTCTATATATGGCGTCGCCTGACAGCTATCCGAGGCTGCTGGTGGGCCATTGGCGGGCATCTCAGCAGATGCTGTTGCAGGCGGCTTGCCGGCATCGTGACTTTTTCTCCTTGCCGAATTTTGGATGTTGATATAAAATTCCGTGTGATCATTTAAAAGACGCGTGCTGGGTTCATTCCACTTTTTCCGGCCATGAAACACTATTTCATCTTCGCTGGACTCATCCGATGCGATATTGGTGATTGGATCTGCCATTCCCGTCTCCGGAGCTGCTTCGCCGATTAGGTCAATGAAAAACGGTGTGCCATCGTCTGCCGTATTCGAGTCTACCGTTTGTACGGGTGTGGTGGTTGCGCTTTCTATCACGGTTTGCGATTCATCGATTGTCCTATTAACGCTTGGGGTCTGCTGTGGCAACTCATCGTCCGCCGGTTGTAGTTTCCCTGCGCTGACAAACTGCACTGCTTGGTGGCGGAGAAGAGAGCCAGCGCGCCATAAGTTGCGCCCTCCTGTGTTCCGTGCTTCTTCATTCATGGTAAAGTTTGCTGCGGTAGAATGGCTGGTGAATTGAGCCTGGTGTCTTCCATTGCGCAGTACGACATCGACGGGCGTTGTATGGTTTCGTTTCTTGACCGGAGCCCTGCCCTTCTTGGTGCGGGGCATTCTGGTGGTTATTGTACTGTCCTTGTTTCCTGTTTTCGCAGGGTGAAATATTTTGTACTCGGTTCTCCCGGTAGCCCAACTGGGGATGCCGGGTTGGTGTGGTCAGTGACAGTAGGTAACTCGGACCTGAGGATTAACTAAGGATTCGGTTGTGGTAAGATGCCGCCTTTGGTTCGGATTTCTGCCGGCAGGCGGTGGGTCGGTTTAGGTGCTCCGTAGTCCGTACGGAGCACCCACACCGTATGGTGATCCGATGAACCACCGGCAGTTTCCATGTACGTACTAAGTAGGGGTTTAATGGGAGATGCCACTAGGGATGCCTTGGTGTTTTTTTACGAGGGTGGGGTCTCGATGCGTCTGCAAGCCCTTTTGTGGTGCGAGGCGAAATCACGATGCACCGATGATTCCGCAGTGTTGTTAATGACGTCTATCCCCCTTGAGGGCTCGGCCTCGTGACCGCCGGGACGGTGATGACCCCCTCTCACTGGTGCCATCCATCCCTCTCTACTCTTTCATCTTGGGGGGGTACTATGCTTTTCCGTGTATGCGCTTGATGCTCGATTCCAGCGCTTCTCTTGCCCTTGGTGCTTTCTCTTGTGGTCGCTTTGTTTCAGTACAACGCCACCCTGACGAGATAATATATATTTCTAGTCACTGCGGAGTACACCATTTCCACCGCCCGAAGGTTATCACGCCGTAGCCAGGAAGATACCTCACTCAGGCAGCGCATCGTACCTGCGATAAACGTGAATATGAATAATGTCGACATAGGGCGATGTGGTAAGCGTATCGTCCAGTATCTATGGGACCCCGAGCCTAGGAACGACGAGGACCCAGATGCCGTGATCTGGTGCCTAGGGACAGCATACTCTCCTGGCCAGGAAAGCGCCTTGCAACAGCCGAAGTCCAGTAAGTCTGGATAGCAACATCCACACGTTCTACTGCAGCCGGCAAGATGGGTCACTGACATACGTGGAATGAATAGCCCTGGACAGGCCAAACCAGTCGAAGTCGTCCTATCAAGACACAGCCCATGGCTGGCCCGAGGGGTTTCTACAGGACTTTGAGTCGAGAATTTGGATGACCTATCGATCGAATTTCACCCCCATACCCAAAATTAACAGTCCCGATGCTAGACCTGGAATGACACTGTCCGTACGCCTAAGAAGCCAGCTGATGGAACCGGAGGGGTTTACTTGCGACACAGGATGGGGTTGCATGATCAGATCAGGTCAGAGCCTCCTGGCCAATACTCTATCGATCTTGCTTCTGGGACGCGGTATGTGGCCAACAACACACAAATGTTTACTGTACTGATAGCGTGCCAGACTGGCGCCGAGGAAAAGGAACTGATGAAGAGGTTCAATTGTTGAGGCTATTTGCCGATCATCCAGATGCCCCCTTGTCGATACACCGGTTTGTCGAACACGGGGCTCAATCTTGCGGCAAATACCCCGGGCAATGGTTTGGGCCTTCGGCAACCGCCAAATGCATCGAGTATGCCTTCTCCCGGCCCCAACAGCATTTGAGTCGGAGGACTAAGAAGCAAACCAGGTTTCTATCCGATCGATGTGAAGATGTAAAACTGAAGGTCTACGTCAGCAACGAAAGCTCTGATATTCATGAAGACAGCCTCTTCAAAGTAGCTCGAGATGCTTCGGGTGCTTTTCAACCGACGCTGATACTCGTAGGAACGAGACTCGGAATAGATCACATCACACCAGTCTATTGGGATGCCCTCAAGGCTTCACTGCAACTACCCCAATCAGTAGGTATCGCAGGGTATGTATCGATGTGCCATACTTCAACTGAAGCACACGGACGAAATGCTGACGTATGTATTGTGCATAGCGGACGCCCAGCAGCATCCCATTATTTCGTCGGCGTCCAGGGCTCAAACTTCTTTTACCTTGATCCCCACAGCACCCGCCCGGCTGTTCCTCACCACGAGATACACGTGCCCTATTCGAGTGAAGAAACCGATACGTACCACAGCCGTAGACTGCGACGGATTCACATCACGGACATGGACCCAAGTATGCTCATAGGCCTCCTGGTTCAGAATGAGGAGGACTGGCAAGACCTGAAGGGTCGCGTCGCGTCGGTGCAAGGGAAGTCGATTGTCCGCGTTCTCGAAGGAACGAAACCTGATATTTGTCAGGGAAGACAAGAAGCGCTCGATGAAGTGGAATCTCTCGACGAGGCTGAATAGACACCAGGAACAGAATGGACCAAATAGCATAAATATAGTAACTCTCCGATGACCCTGGACTGGTTAGCAACATGAAATTCATACCTGCACAAGGGACCATGATATTTGAAAGTGATTTCGAATTCCTAAGAGGCCGGCCGCAGCCATGAAAAACAACCCCAGAGAACCGTGTTATGTTACACCGCGTTCACGTCTCGAATAAAACCATAAAAAACATTTGGCCCAAAGGGAAAATAAAATAAAAGCCATCCCATGACACATTAGAAAATCCCACGAACACCCTGTGACCCACCAACCTCAAAACCACGGTTGATAAGAGGCAATAAAAAGAAACAATCCTGCGCACAAAACAAAAGAAAAAGAAAAAGAAGCAACCCCAGCGATAACTTATTTGGCAGAAGAAGAGTACTTCGTCACGGCCTTCGTACCCTCCGAGACGGCGTGCTTGGCCAGTTCACCGGGCAGAATGAGCCTCACACTGAGATTGTTAGCACGGGGCCCGTTCATCGCGACAACAGGAAAGAACATACGAGGTCTGGATCTCCCTTGACGAGATGGTGGATTTCTTGTTGTAAGCAGCCAGCTTCGAGGCCTCGGTCGCCACACGCTCGAAGATATCTGGGGAATTCATTAGTGCACTGCCAAATGAGGTACTAGGAGAGAAAAACCAACCGTTGACGAAGGAGTTCAAGATGGACATAGCACGAGTGGAGATACCAGTGTCGGGGTGAACCTGCTTGAGCACTGCAAAGCATATTTCGTTAGTCTCATGTAACTGACACTGAATGATCCGCAAACCAAGACTTACCCTTGTAGATGTAAGAGGAGTAAGTCTCCTTTCTGGTCTTTCCACGCTTCTTCTTCTCGCCAGAGGCAGCGGCGGCGGTCTTCTTGCCGGCTTCCTTCTTCTCAGCGGGGGCCTTGCCGCCAGCGGGGGCCTTGCCACCGGTGCTGGGCTTCTTCTCAGCGGCTTTGGGAGGCATTTTTGTGGTTTGGTGTGGATGAGGTTGATTGAAAGTGTTTGAAGGTGAGAGTGGTGAAAGAAACGGTTAACGTCGAGCGTAGATGGGGGATGATGGAGATGGAATGGACAGGAGGATAAGAAAGTTGGAAACGCGGTGACGAGGGAGACGCGCTACTTATACCGGCGTGCCAAAGCCCAGTTGATCCTGAGGTGCACAAAAGAAGCGGAATTTCAATACGGTAAGAGTCGCGTATGATCTGTATGATTAAGAGGGGCGGGACGCGTCGGCAGCCATAGAAAATCGGGTAGGATCACGCCAAGGTTACGGTATGTAACGGTACGGCCGGGACGGGGAGGTAGGTCTAGCCTGATGTGGGTGACCCGCATACCGCGAAGGCTGGGAATCAAAGTAGCGACCGCGCTGCCAAGCGGTGGGAGCGCCGGATCCTGATCTATCTGGTGATTGGCCAGCCCCGCTAAGCGAGAGGGTGATCTGAAGAGCGTCTAGCCAGCCCAACGTCACCCTCGTCGCGTCGTTATAAATGTCCTTTGCTCCCTCGCGCTGGCCATTTATCTTCGACACCCTATCCTAACCATTACCATCTGCCTCTCTTCGTCCAACGCGTTTACCATCGCTCTCTCATCCCATCACCAACCCTTTTCATCCCCACCCACCGCAAAAATGACTGGAGGCAAATCTGGAGGCAAGGCCAGCGGCAGCAAGAACGCGCAATCGTACAGTCCCCCTCACCCCTCTTTGATGATCTATGGTGCCTTTATCTAACCGATCCATCTGCACAGGCGTTCATCTAAGGCCGGTCTCGCGTTCCCCGTCGGACGTGTCCACCGTCTTCTCCGCAAGGGCAACTACGCCCAGCGTGTTGGTGCTGGTAAGTTCTTGCGTTCCCGATTGACCGTGGACTGCAATCTGATCGCGTTTAGGTGCCCCTGTCTACCTTGCCGCTGTGCTTGAGTACCTTGCTGCTGAAATCCTGGAGTTGGCCGGTAACGCCGCTCGTGACAACAAGAAGACTCGTATCATTCCCCGTCATCTGCAGCTCGCCATCCGCAACGATGAAGAACTGAACAAGCTTCTCGGTCACGTCACCATTGCACAGGGTGGTGTTCTGCCCAACATCCACCAGAGTAAGTTCCGACCTTATCACCAACCCCCTCCCCCCCGGGGGGGACCGGAGACAGCGATGCTAACCCCGCTTTTTCAGACCTTCTGCCCAAGAAGACCCCCAAGGCCGGCAAGGGTGGTGCTAGCCAGGAGCTGTGAGCTGTTTTCTTTTCATGTTTGGGATTTGTCTTTCGGCGCGGTTTGGTTTTCATTGATGTGATAACGGGGTTCTGGACTGGGCACCTTTATGGCTCTGCGTTTCTGTTCTAATTTTTATGGTTGTACATTATGTCTACGGACATGGAATGATACCGGCACTACTTACGGATCGAGACCCTAGGAGATAGTCACGTATGGCTGTCATCTACGGAATGATAAGATTATGTGTTTCAAAACTGGCATGTCCATTGTATAAAATTGTAAAAAGGCTTCGTAAATTGTTTTAACCACATGCATTTCAGCCTCGGTTTCGCCCGCGATTATGGAGGATGCAATTTCTTATACTACGGTTCAGTCCAACCTGACCCCTTGGTGACGAAATCAATCAATTCACTTCGATTTCATTTGTAAACTAGATATTGCACAACGGGATTGGTTTGCGTCCAGGATTAATGGCTGCCCGAGGCATCTTATGCCGGTGTTAGTTCAAACTTTGCAGATGGTTGGACACTTGACGTACAAGGCAGTATGCGTGTAGGGAGGTTCCGCTCATATTTATTGCCTGGAAAGATAATCAGTGCCCGGTCCGAGATCATGGCTTTGGAAAAGTTCGAGAACATACCACCAGGGGCAGTAGGCGCTCTGTAGGGATCAGGGTGCTTCCAGTTCTCTAGCAGTTTCTCAGTCTCACGCAGGAGTACCTAGGAGAAAATGCAGCGATTAGCAAGGTTGCGCGGAAAGCGTTTGGCCATCGAGGAGTTTAAGCTCACCTTTTGCTGGCGAGGATCGCGCACATCCTTGTTTGCCTCGAAGAGTGACCGAATATATACTGCCTGTCCGCGCCACAGCTGCCTGTGAACAGCCCAGTCAAGCGCAAGCTTTAACGACCGACGATAGAGAGAGCTGCGCAAGTAACAACCGTAGTGATAATAATTAGTCCCTTGTTCATCGCGGATTTGCCATTGATTTCATAGTCAACGTACGTGACAGCGCTGGTAGACATGATGAACGGGGTGAAGCCGAGTGGAGGATTTTTGACGACAGTTGGTTTCTTCCCGGTAGTCAGGTAGCTGGATAGACAGATATTACCAATCCTGCCGCCGACTGGTTATCGCTCAATTGCGGTGGTGCTTAGGGGAGTCTCTTCTCTTTGCCGGGCGAGGAATTGCCCGGGCGGTGTTTCCGGTCCACTTGAATAACGTAATAACAATACTCCGGCCGTCATTCGCCGGGTGCAGGACTCCAGGCGTGCAGGGAAATTCCGGTAGTTTCGGGCCGGGTGGGAGCTCCAAGTCTTGTCATCCTTCCTCTTCTGCTTCGTTCATTCCGCTGCCCTGTTACAACGGCAGAGTTTTGATTTTCCTCCAAGCTCACCTGCCACCTAATATCCAACACCAGCTGGGTTGCTCTCGACCTCCGTTTCTTTGCGCATTGATTTAGCGAAACCTGGTCATCATGCCTTCTCGATTACCACTTCCCCGTTTGTCCGAACAGCGCCTCAGGGCAATCCCTCGGGTCGCCAATGGCTCTCGCCATCTAAGTACTGTTGGCCGCAGGAATCTCAGTTCGCCTGCGCTCCGCAGACATCTCAGCCGTTCCAACGGATCCTCCACCAGCCCACTGCAAGTTCCCGTCTCGGGGTAAGACTATCCTTTACTTTTGCGACATTTTTTCCGCAAGGAGGGGCGATTATGAGAAGGCTATGGAGAAGGCAAAACAGTGCACTTGAGCTAACACGCTCCAGAGCTCCCCGGTTTGATCTCGGATTCTTTGGACGTCACCAGGTCCGAACTTATGGTAAGACATCGCCTTTCTCTTTGCGAAATATAGCTAGCTAACTGCAGAGCAGCGGACTCCGTTGTCAAGGTTCCTCAGATGGCCGAATCCATCACGGAGGGCACATTGAAACAATTCTCGAAACGTATGGCCATAAATAACCCCAAACACTCCTCTTTCCCTATTCTATCGATGAGCCATGTATTTACTTCTCTTTAAGAGGTTGGCGATTATGTCGAACGTGATGAAGAGATAGCGACTATTGAGACGGACAAGGTAAGCAATCCGTGCATGGAGCCAGTTCCGATTTTGTGGCATGGCGACATTGGGAGTAGCACTTGCTCACACGCAACAGATCGATGTTTCCGTCAACGCACCTGATTCGGGCACGATCAAAGAACTCCTAGTGAATGAGGAAGATACTGTGACTGTTGGACAGGAACTTGCAAAGCTGGAACTGGGTGGCGCCCCTGAAGCGAAAAAGGACGGATCTTCCCAGGAAAAGAAAGAACCTGCCGCTGAAAAGCCCAAGGCACCAGCCGAGCCAGCACAGGAGACGAAATCGACGAAACCTTCGTCGGAAAAGCCGGCAGCTCCTGCATCTGAGAGCAACAAGAAGCCGGCGTCCGAAGCCTCTCAGCCTCCGTCTTCTGAGGCAGCCAAGTCCAGCCCTAGCGGTCGTGAGGAACGGCGGGTGCGTCTTCCCCTCGGCCCTTTAGCAGTGGGCATTTTGCATGCATGCTGACTCGCAATTCACTCTGCAGGTCAAGATGAACAGAATGAGGTTGCGCATCGCTGAGCGCTTGAAGCAGTCTCAGAACACTGCTGCCTCGCTTACTACTTTCAACGAGGTCGACATGTCGTCTCTTATGGACTTCCGGAAACTATACAAGGATGATATCCTCAAGAAAACTGGCGTTAAGCTTGGTTTTATGAGCGCCTTCTCCCGTGCCTGTGTTTTGGCCATGAAAGATGTGCCTGCTGTTAATGCATCCATTGAGGGTCCTAACGGGGGTGATACTATTGTGTACCGCGACTACGTGGACATCAGTGTGGCTGTCGCTACCGAAAAGGGTCTTGTCACTCCTGTGGTCCGGAACGCCGAGACTATGGATCTTGTTGGCATTGAGAAGGCCATTGCGGATCTCGGCAAAAAGGTCTGTAAAGGTGTTAGGCCATTCTGGGGACCGCGCTGATGACCGAACTTCCACAGGCCCGCGATAACAAGCTTACCATTGAAGATATGGCCGGTGGTTCTTTCACTATCAGCAATGTAAGTATACCTGCTCGTGACAGCTTGGTTGTTTGACTGAACTCGCACTAACCTTATATAGGGCGGCGTTTTCGGTTCCCTGATGGGCACGCCGATTATCAATCTGCCCCAGACAGGTATGGCAGCCCCGTCGCATGGTTTCTAGGGACTTTGCAGACTGACACTTCCTCTCCTTCTTTTCTATAGCCGTTCTTGGACTGCATGCGATCAAAGACAAGCCCGTCGTGGTCAACGGCAAAATTGAAATTCGCCCCGTATGTTGTTTCGGCCCCTCGTACTTAGCTTACCACTAACACCACAGCCAGATGATGTACCTTGCTCTCACTTATGACCATCGTCTTCTGGATGGCCGGGAGGCGGTTACGTTCCTTGTTAAGGTTTGTGAAATCCCGCACTTCAATGTTTTGGGAGGTCTTTGTACTGATTTCTTTAATTACAGATCAAGGAGTATATCGAGGACCCTCGTCGCATGTTGCTCGGCTAAATGCAATAACTAAAGCCTGTTCGGTCCATATGGTATGTGTCTACAAATATTAACGAACCTCTGTTCTATTCTGGACCATTTCAGATCGTCATGTACATTATCAGCCTGTCGATAAAGGCAATGTGGAGAGGGGGCGAGATAGAAGGGAAATGAAAAACCATATACACCTGCTTTGTGTCACCCCAAAGAACTTCAATCGATAGTGTGCATGTGCTACACCGGACCATATATCATCTAAATCCCACTTTTTCCTTTAGCTGTTTCGTTTCAGTGCGACTCAGTCCCTGGAGTTGGCCTCGCTCGAGTTGGACGAGTACCGGGGCCTCCAATCCTTCCATCAGGTTAGACAAAAAATCAACCATCGCATCCTGAAGGTTCAGCAGGGGCATTTCTCGGGAGGACGATTCTACCTGGACAGCCAGCGTGATTCCCATCGGCGGTGACCAGTAATTTGTCATGTCGATATCCACTTGTCTTATCAGTGTCGTAATCAGGTTATCGACCTCTTTGTAAAGTTCTTGATCGAAATTCTCCGATGCCCTCCTCTCCTGCACTGTTGTTACTTCGAGAGCAGCCTGCATGATTAGCCGCGCCGCTATTCGTCTTTGCTTTTCACCAAATATTTGGGTATGTGCGTCGTTGCAAAGTAGTGTAAATTGAGTTACGATTTCAGGGAGGGCGGCTGGTCTGCCACGGTCATCGTCCCGTTTCGGGCAGACTTGCCAATGTCCAGCAAAAGAACGTGCCTCCACAGAAGAGGGCGACTGGGCTGTGGGCCAGGCATAGCGAAGGAAGTTGCACATGAAATCAAAAACCTGGAGTTTGGTGCGGAGATCATCGGGGATTGATTCGGTGTCTTGGAAAGTCAATAAAAAGGCTGTGCCAGCTTGGGCGGTTAGTGTGATCCACCGGCAAAATGTTCCGTGCAAGGGACCTGTTCTGGAGCATACTGTCGATGATATCTTGCGACCAAGTGACGCTTTCCACCTCTCTAGTGTTTAGCAAGCGACTTATAGCGGTGCATACTATGTAGTCCAGGATCATCAAATCCACTTCAGATCGGGTGTTTGGGTCCACGCTGGGACAATCCATTGTAAATCGGAGTAAGCCACAATGAGAATCATGGCCTAGGAGCAGGTTTCGTTCGGTGATCAGTCAATGACTCGGGGAGGGTAGAAGGAAGAGAGGCCGGCAGTCCTCTACCTAGACTTTTGGGTGCCTTCTTGTTTTTCCCTTAACGATTGTTCGCTCCGAGGGAAGTGCGTGAAGGATGAGTCAGCGACCGGTCGGGCTTTTCTGCGTCATGACGTCAGATCCGCGTTATCGCGGCGCCATGAGGGGAAAGGTCGAGTATAGATAGTACTTAGTATGCTATACGTGATATTCTCGCATCTGCTTCGTGCTTACAGGAAGCTATGAAGTTGGGGGTGACTTGGGTTTGAATACAAATATCTCTATGCGGCTTCCCTCTAGTCTGCAAGTCAAAGGTCTATATGCATATATATATAATCAGGTACGGAGCATGTAGACTCGTGTAGTGTCTAAATGATTCAACACCACCTTCCCCTCAAACTGACCACGTGACACAGGACTAACTGACATGTCGTCACACGAGCTCATCACCTCCAAGCATCAGATCATGTCGTTTGTTTGACCTGTCACTACACATATACTTGTTGACGTAACTCACACTATATCCATCCCACAGTAATCCACACACGCACCCCAACAACGCAAGTCGCCGTCGTATGCCCAAGAGGCTCAGGACAACACCGAAACTCCTCGGAGCCGTAAGGAAATTCATATCAATGGCTTGGTATTGCTCTGGCTCAACCAATACGGAGTTGATTGAGAATCTCTCCAAGACGGGACTAATCAAGAATGAAAGAGTGAAGAAGGCGATGATGGGAGTAAGAAGGCCCTCCCCGAAACCAGCAGACCACACACCGGATACCGTCAATTGTCAATCAGCCGAGTTTCTGATCTCTCGAAACTAGGTCGATCGAGCCCACTACGCGCCCTCGAGGCCCTATTCGGACTCACCGCAGCCCATAGGCCATGGCGCCACGATCTCAGCTCCCCACATGCATGGCCACGCTTGCGAGCACCTCATTGATTATCTCAAACCGGGTTCGCGCGTCCTAGACATAGGTTCTGGCTCCGGATACCTAACACGTGTCCTCGCCAATCTGGTGGCGGGGCCTTCATCCCAGGATGGCACCAATGGCCAGGTCGTTGGCCTAGAACATATACCAGAATTGGTGGATCTGGCTGCTAATAATATGCGCAAGTCCGACCAAGGTCGAGAGCTTCTCGATACCGGGGTGGTCAGATTTGTCGCCGCCGATGGTCGCCTGGGATGGAAAGAAAACGCCCCATACGATGCTATTCACGTCGGCGCCGCGGCGGCGACTCTCCACCCCGTACTGGTCGAGCAGCTCCGTGCCCCGGGACGGATGTTCATCCCCGTAGACACGGAGAATGAGGGAGGTCATCTCGGCAATCTCGGGTCAAGTGGAGGCCAGTATATCTGGGTAGTGGACAAAAAGGCCGATGGGTCGGTTCACAAGGAAAAGGTGTTCCCCGTTAGCTACGTGCCATTGACCGACCGCCCCCGGACATGACATCCCGATCTGTCTTCCTTTGATTGAATTGAATATACGCGAAAGGCAAGAAAGGAGAATGAACGAAAGTACAGTTAATCAAATTATCTTAGGCAGCCCGTGAATCATAGCTTTCTGCTTGACACTGTATCCATCGGCAAACTATGATCGTTGCGTAAGGTAAAAGTAAGAACACACTAGCCAAGGGTAGAAGTGTACACGAACATCCCACCCAGCCTCTTGCCAACAAGTCATTTATATGTACTAGCGAAATGGGAAGCCGCCTGGAAAATTGAATCCCTGACCCGAGAACTTGAACTGTGGCCCACCTTGCTGAAAGAAGAATTGCTGCCCGCCGCCCGAGCCGAAAGGATTCCCTTGGAACCCATGGCCCCTTTGAGATTCGGGGTCATTTGGGTCATTGCCGCTGTCGTAGCGCGCCCTCAATTCGGGGTCGGATAGAACCTCGTACGCCTCGTTGATAGAGGCCATCTTCTTTTCAGCTTCCTCCTTTGTGACACCCTGAGAGATAGCCTTATCAGGATGGTGTTGCTTGGTTAGCTGACGATAGGCTCGCTTGATTGTGCGCTCATCGGCGTCCCGGCTGACAGTCAGGACCTTATAGTAATCCTTTTGTTTCGAGCGTTTTAGCAAGACTTGGGCCTGCTGCAACATCTGTTGGACATCCTTGGAACCAGCGTGGTGCTCCTTGGCGGTGGTTAACATGCGTATGGCGTCCTCAAAACGCTCTTCATCAATAGCGACCTGACTGCGGAACAATAGTGCTGGCAGCGAATTTGGGTTGGACTCAAGCGCCTCGGAGCAGTACGGGGTTGCCCGCTTGAACAAGTGTGCCTGAGTTTGCATGTTAGCTGGTGCTGTTGCCATGTGTGTGCTCGGGAAGGCCACAAACCTCGCGGTACGCATCACAGGTATGTTCTACCAATGACGAATAGAGATTATCGGGAGCCGTGCGATGGATATGTCCGCTCTCCCTCCCAAGTGCCACGTCCTCCTTCACATCCCCAAGCAAGCCACTTTCGTCCTCTACACCGACAAGCAGATTGATGGCATTGTTGAATTTGCGCGAATTTAGCGCATCCTGTAGCTTTTGTAGTCGTTTGAGTAGGCTTTTTTCGTTTCGGTAGAGGCGGTTGCATGGTTTTGAATCGGGGTCGGAATGAAGGCATTTTCGAATCTGTGCGATCCCCCGCTCGCTGTCTCCAAGGGAATAGAACAGCATCGAGGATATTTGTAGGTGCGGCTCAACCAAGCCGGGTGAAATTAGCAATACGTGGGCAAGATCGCTAATCCCTTCTTCTATCTCACCCTTCTCAAACCGACAGTGCGCCCGGGTTTGTCGCAACCCAAGAGAGCCGCTCGCCTTCAGAACGGCCACATTTGCTTGATTGACGCAGGTGTCCCAGTCGCCATTATCCTCTGCCTGGTGCGCCTGAAGTGCCGCATCCCGCGCATCCTGCAGTTCTTGATAGTCCGGAGAAGATTGCTTGCCGGCCTGCTCCAGATCAGCCAGGGCACCGGTCCAGTCAGCAGAGTTGGCCCGAAGACGGGCGCGTTGTAGGAGAGCGCTTTCGAAGTCTGGCTTCAATTGTAGAACACGGTCAAAATCGCCGAGGGCCTGCGAGCTTTTCCCCAGTGATAAGTACGCGGCACCCCGCTGGAAGATGGTAATGTAGTTAGTGGGATCCCTTGAGACCGCTACGTCGAAGTATAGCAAAGCCTCACGGGGCGAGCCACTGGCGAGATTAGTCTTCGCAGAAGCGACCAATGATGACAGTGGGGTGTCTGGCGGGATTTGCGAAGGGGTCAGGCCATGGACAGCCGACAAGAAGGCAAGAAAGGTGGTCAGAGAAACAAGCATCATGAGCGAAGTCCCCTAGATTTGTGACGTTAAGGAAAGTTTTAGGGGAGGTCGAACATAGCAATTAAATATCTTAAGGAAACGGATTGAAGGCGGAAGACCGACTGGTGAGTAGGAGAAAACGAGCGAGAAGGGGGAGAGAACTGGCAAAGTGTTTACATGGCCTTTGGCTAAGGTGACCGTTTATGATGGAGGGCTCCGAAGTATAGAAACCCCGTCGCAAGCCCCGAAGGACGCAGTCTGGCCTTTACCGTCCCGTACGGGCGTTACCGTATCGTAACTACCCGCCACGTGATCGGCCCTGCGCCCCGGAGTCCCCCAGACACGCCTGTTGCTTGCCTCTCCTCGGGACATCGTTCTACGATGTTTTCTTCGAGCGCACCAGGGATCATGTGGAGAACCCCATGGGTGTGCTCTCGGTGTCTGCTGCGCTCTGGACGAGTCCCTTTAGCCCGGTGGGCCCCGCTACAGCGCCGACGTCTGAACACAAGTATGACATTCTTTCGCACCACCGTTGTACACCTCCAATCAAGCTGATCGAGTGTTTCTTGCTCATAGCCCCGGACTCAAACCTCTCCCCGGCACTCTTTGCGCGGGCTCGCTCACTGGCAACAGAGCATTCCACCCTCTCGACGCACCTGGCCGAAGCCTTTGATACCAAAACCGCGAGACGAGCCGGCGAGCTAGCACCGGTTGCGAAGTCTATACAGGAATGGGATGATGCCAACGAGGTACGTTTGCGCTCTATAGGCATATGGGGAAGCACGGAGCACAGCTGGACACAAACCTCTGACGTTGGCGTTTATTCTAGTCCATATCAGAGCTGCAAACCCTGCTCGATGACCCAAAAACTGACGCGGAGCTAAGGACTCTAGCACTCGAGGACTTGGAAATCAGTAAGAGGGCCTTGTCAGTCATATCCGATAACCTGAAGCAGGCTCTTATTCCCCGGCATCCTTTCGCCACTCTTCCATGTCTTCTCGAGATTCGTCCTGGCGCCGGCGGAGATGAGGCCGGCCTCTTCGCATTCGAAGTCTTCAGAATGTACATTGCCTTTTGCTCGCATCGTGGCTTTCGATCAAGCGTCATGAAATTGGAAGTAGGGGAGGGTTCCGCAGAGGATAAGCTGAGTGAAGCAGTCATAGAAATCGAAACGGATGGAGCTTATGACGTACTGAGAACTGAATCGGGGGTTCATAGGGTACAGAGAGTACCTGCCACCGAAACCAAAGGGCGGACTCACACCAGTGCCGTGAGCGTGATGGTTCTTCCTAGTTTCCCAGAAACAGGCAGCGGCTTGGACAGCGCCCTCAACATCGAGGACCCAAATAGTGATTACTATGTCGATCCCCAGGAAGTGCGCGCCGAGAAAATGCGGGCTGGCGGTGCCGGCGGACAGCATGTGAATAAGACGGAATCAGCCATTCGTTTGACTCATATACCGACAGGAATTGCTGTCTCAATGCAGGAATCCCGATCGCAACATGCTAACCGTAAGAAAGCATGGCAAATTTTGCGAGCGAGGTTGGCAGAAGCTAGGCAAACGGCGAGGGAGCAAGAGATGATGGAGATGAGAAGAGGAATATTGGGGGGCGTAGCCCGAATGGGCCGTGGTGATAAGATCCGCACATACAACTATGGGCAGAATCGCTGTACGGATCACCGCAGTGGCATCACCGTTCATAACTTGGATGGCATCTTGGACGGTGGCGAAGGACTTGATACTGTTATGGATAGTGTACGGGCCTGGCTTACTGACCAAGAGATATCAGCCTTGGCCGCTGAAGAGTTAGCAAAGAACGCCCCTAAGAAGAAATAGAGACACCGGGCCTCTGTGCCAACAACTCTCCTACACTCTAATGCTTTTACCCGACAATAAGATGCGTGTTTTGCTGATGTCGGGAGGACGTCATGTACGGATTGTTGCGACTGTCTTAAAATATCGTTCGCGGCGCGTATAACTGACTCTATATTTTGTTTCTCTCTAATAGTGTTAGATATACTTCCTGTCCGGGTCGACGGTGTCCAGCGCCTCCATCGTCTTTTCATACCTAGTATAGTGAACCTGTTAGCCAGAGAACGAGAGCATAGACTAGACTTAGGCTGGACAGACATCGTGAACACTATTCCTCCACTCAAAATTAGCCTTGCTAGTCGAGGCATGGCTCCCGACCACAGTGTGAAAACCCCCTCATCCTTGAAAATTCTCGCCGCACAGACGAAGCTGTTCTTGTAGTTCTTGCTCGCCTCGAGCGATTGCATCCTAATTCTGGTCAGTGCCTAGCAACGCGAGAGTCTCCTTAAGTTTTAGTCACTAACCTGGTTTTAACGGTATCAAGGGGTTGGGTGACATAGCTGTAGAAACAACGTTAGCATTCACAGGCAGCACGGGGCCTGTTCAACTCAGCCGGAGGAGGGGTAAATGTTGACGAACACTGTTATAAGGCCCGCAATGCCACCAATGGCGAAGGTACTCGCGGTTCCTAGCTTTTCACCCGGTGCAACGTAGCCCTCCGCCATCTGCTTCAACATGGTGTAACTTGAAAACCTTGTCGCCGAATTGGCTGCCTGCCTAGCCGTTGTAGGCACAAATCCCTGGAAAAAGCCGCGAATGCCTCGCTCCTGAAAAATCACCTTACTGCCATGTAAGAAACCGCGCATACGAGGGTTTGCGGATTTCCGGTCATCAATCCTGTATTGATTCCACTGTCAGCACTATCTTTGATCTTCTTCGGCCGTCTTCGCCCATGTAAGTCGGCAGGGCCGAGAGGAGACTTATTCGTGATGGTAACGGACAATTGAGTCTTTATGCTCTCAAACGGTGTCACCGCCAAAAGAGACTCGGTAAATCCAGCCCCAAACCCGGCAATCACGGTCCTTGGGCCGGAGATCTTGCCATTTTCATCTTGCAAGAGAGATTTGATCTTGTCGAAAGCAACAAACCCTGTGCACAAATGACGCCGTGAGTATGACGATATACGACAGGGCTAGGTAAAACTCACGAATGCCAGCCTTAAGAGAGTTCCCTATGATCAATGTGGTGCAGCCGGCATACCACTGCTTGCCGAACGGCGGCCATGGTAATTTCTTGGAATCATGTAGTCTGCGATTGAGTTGCGACCGGGTCTTTGCGACTTCAGCATATGTCTATTAGTTAAGCCCAAATAACCGCGGATTGGTCAAGACTGTACATTCTGCTGGATATGTGATTGCTGTAGACGAGTGTTTAGCATTCGCTTGTTAACCACAATGACGCCAGTGGTTCTTACCGATTTCTACCGCACCCGCACTCGAGCCGGCGATGATAGACCGCAGAGCGCTGGGCTGTATACCGTAATTGGAAGGTCAGAGGCTGAATTTAGAGAGATAATTTCGGGAGAGCACCTCCCCAGGCTGACATACTTTGCGATTTTGATCTTTCTCTGTAGCAGACATTGTGCATGCAAAGCCGGGGCAAGACAAGGACAGGCGCGGAGATGGAAGAGCAGGGGGCGCACCCGAAGTCCGGCGGGCGCCAGGCCGACTTCGATACGGAAGGCAAGAAAGACACCTCATGCAACTCTCGGCGGGCTTTCCATCTCCATAGTTTCGTGCGTTGAATTACTGGGCTCATAAGAACAAGAACGTCACTTCGGGGGATTCATTTGCCATTGCATTGGTTTGATGCTACCTAAATACTAGTATGGGTCTACTAATACCGTCTGTCCCGAAGTGGCAGCATATGAACCAACTCGAAAATCCCCCTTCTTTTTCCGGTTTTCTTCATGTTGTTTCTTCTTTTTTTCTTTTTTCTTTTTCTTTTCTCTTCAAAAAATAATGACGGTCGACCTCTCCTGCCTTTTGCCCGCGGACCTGCTTGGATCCCAAATGAGGGTCCTCACGCCCGACGGTGGCTCCCTTGGCCCCTTCATCCCAATATCAAGTTCGATGATCTTGTTGCGGAGAAAGATTGCACAAACGACAAGGCGCAGAGTCAGACAGTCACACTCCAGGAGTAGACTAAACGCCAATGGTTGAAGTGTAGAATTTCCCTGATCAGGTCGAGGCGTAATCAGCGTACAAGCTGTAAGAATCCGAAGCACACCCGGGAAATCCTTTATGGTTGCCAAAGTACCCGAACGGGGCGAGCAACAGTAAGGGAAGGCACATAGAGAGAAGAGGCGGAGAGTCAAAACAACCAGGTGTAGAGGCGCCTGACGCGAAAGGATAGCAGTGAGTAGCATTGAAACAAGCACAAGAACGTAGAAGATTGCTCGGGAATCCCCATGGTCTTGGCCATTCCGGTGAAGAACCTTGGAAACAACCCAGAACAATATAACATAGGAAGCAGAGCACGACGAAAAACTCCGAAACCTGAGTGGAAGAAAGTGACGACTGGCCGATGGATTTCACCCGAACACCACTTCCAAACGCCAGAAATGTCATGAAAAACGCCAATTGTGCTCCGGCAAACACAGAATGCGGTGATGAATCATCATATGTACAAAGCTGAAGGGTCGATAACGCAGCCTCATGGAAAACGTTGCTGTAAAATGACCAGAACGAGATGGACTCCGAGGGGTAGGGGAGGAAAAACTGAATAGCAAATGGAGGGGTAAGATAAACGACTTCAAGAGGAAGGGCGGAATGGAAGATATAACAAGTGGAGTATGATACAGATCACATCATATTTATCATGCCACTGGAACAAAAATAAGATTTGAGGAAGCGAATATGAGTTTGTTCAGTCCAGTAAAAGTTGGGCTGGAAGGAATCGATGAACAATGTCTTGCGGGCCAGAACATGAGCTAGCATGTCAGAGGTGTAACAAGGCTTGCTCGACACACACGGTGGCTCTCCTTTTCTAAGAAACCTGGGTTGCCGGGGGTTTACCCCCCTGCTGCTGACTGTGAGGCGCATTGAGCTTATTTGTTTCATTCTGCACATTGCGGCGCTGACCCTGCCCGCGACCTCCTCGGTATGAGCCTCGCCCTCGGCTAAATTGATAGTGATTGCCATTGGAGTGATGGTTGTGGCGACGGTCCGAAGGGCCCTGATTATAAGCTGTGCTTGCTGCCTGGTTTGCCGGTGTAGGATTTGCAATAGGGCGAGGAATGGTGTCCGGCGAGTCGTATACATAGAGCTTCTTGTCGATGTTTTGCGGAATGGGCTGGATTTCAGTCCCCAGTTCTTGCTCAATCTTATACAGATTGAACCGGTCATCCCAATTGATCAGATTAATCGCGAGACCCAAGTGCCCGAAACGACCGGACCGACCAATTCGGTGAAGGTAAGTCTCGGCGTTTTTAGGGAAGTCAAAGTTAATGACGACATTTACAGCTTGGATATCAATACCACGGGTCAGCAAGTCAGAGCAGACAAGGTTGCGGCAGACACCGTTTCGGAAGTCGTGGAAAACCCGGTTGCGGTGTTGTTGGAGCATTCTGGCGTGTGAGTAGAAACAGGAATAACCCAACTCTGTGATTTTTTTGGCAAGTAGTTCAACTCGATTCGTTGAGTTGCAGAAAATGATCGACTGGTTGATTTGCAACTTGGAGAAGAGTGTATTCAGACAGTGGACTTTTTGTTTCTCCTCAACAAATGCATAGTACTGAGTGATACCGCGGAGAGTGAGTTCGTCCATCAGGTTGATTTCGTAGGGATTGCGCATGTGTTTATCCTGTGATTTCAACCGTCAGCCAACCAAAGCGCACGAGGATAACATGTAAGATTTACCTTGAATGACTTCACAATCAAAGGGAATGTGGCACTGAAGAGCATGACCTGACGATCTTTGGGGTGGAAGGAAAGGAGCTGCTCGATAACGGGGGTAAATTCAGGCGACAACAATTTGTCGGCCTCATCCATGACAAAGGTAGGGCATTGCGACAAATCGGCAACCCCTTTGCTGGCCAGGTCCAATACTCTTCCCGGAGTTCCAACAAGAATATGGACAGCATCATTCAATCTGATGATGTCATCCATCAGGCCAGTTCCTCCAGTAGTTACCATGACATTGATTCCCACATGCTTTCCTAGAGTTTTGCAAACATGAGATGTTTGAAGTGCCAACTCTCTTGTCGGAACTAGGATCAAGGCCTGTGTTTTTGTGCTCTTAGGGTTGATGCGCTCCAAGGTAGGGATGACGAAAGCTGCCGTTTTTCCTGTGCCATTCTTCGCTCGCGCCAGGATATCTCGGCCAGTGAGGGCAACCGGGATCGTTTCTTCTTGAATTGGCGAAGGCTTTTCGAAGCCAGCCTCGAAAATGCCCATCATAAGCTCGCGTTTGATATAAAAGTCTTCGAATTCGAGTCCTTTGGTAGCAGTGACATCCTAAGTCCCAGTTAATTGGACTGGGGTAGAGCAATCAAGTCCGGAGCGGATCAAACCTCAGTTTGCGGCCTTCCATCTTTAACAGGGGCTTTGATTTGCTCTTTCCATTTCCCTTCCGAGTTTGCTTCTCTAATGCAACAATGTTAGAAGATTTTCGCACCGGTAAACAACACCGAGAATGACATACCCTAAGCTTGTATTGTTCAATTGTGAGGCAAGAGCATCGGCCATGATGATCGATTCTTTAGATTGGCGAAAGTTGAGAGAGGTATTTTATCTGTCTCGATGATGTTGATTCCAAGGTATAACGCAGAGAAAGTGAAGAATAATGAACGAGATTGCGGTGAATAGGTGGCTTGGTGAGCAGGGTTTGCCAACAAAACGAACAGTCGTAGATGTGAAGAGGCAGACAAAGAAGGAAGTGGACTCGACCGTGCTGCACGTGCACGCAAGTTAGGTCTTTGCGATGGGCAATCAATAATGGCCTCGAAGGTCAAGCAAAGGAATCTGTCGGGAAGTGAGGCAGATAATATTTGTACTGGTTTTCAAGTTGGTATCGAGATAGAAGCGGATGGAGGAGATTGTGGTGGTTTCTGGTCAAGCGGTGATTGTAGAGTGGTGACTTTTTGGGGAGGGGAATTAGAGTGAGGTAGAAGCTCGATCTCAATTACTGAAGGGAGGAAATGAATAACGGAAGGGAACTAGTTAATTAACGTTACTTGCGCTGGAAGCGGTAACAAGGCTCCCACCGCCCGATTTTTCTCTGCCGACCTCTCTTTCATTGTAATGTGGTCGGTAGGGTTATGTATATACCATACAGTACCAGAACAAGGCTACAGTACATACATAGTTATGCACTTATGCATGGAACTGGGTACGGTACGGTACACAGTACATTCCTACGGAGTACCTACATATCTTAAGGTAGGTTGGATGGAGTTTTTCTACATTTCATTTCTAGATTGGTCATTCATGATGATGCAGATCTTCTGGTGCCCACACAACACCAACATCCTGATCAAGGTCGAAACGACAACCTGGTCTGCCCTCGCTCGGGTTCAGCCAACCTAAAGAATATATTTTTAGCTATGACGTCCTCGGTCTACTCGGGGCTTACTCACTCTTTGACTCGAACGTCAGGTGCTAAGCTGATTTCAGCTCTTGAGCCTGGCGTGATAAGAATAAATTGCCGTCCAATTGACCGCCTCGCAGCGAGCATCTGTAGAAAATCCGTTCAGCAAATCACCTTGGGTCCGGGATAAGGAGCTTCCCTTACAAGCATGTCAATGGCCATTTTTCTATTGATGTGGTCCATGTACACATCACTGTAGATTGACGGGTTAGCGTTGTCTGTTGTGGGATTTTCTTCCGGCTTACAACTCATCTAAACAGCGGATTGGAGATCCCATGGCCTCCCAAAGTGCCAAGAGTAGGCAAACTTGGGAGAACGATTTCTCACCACCGGAGAGAGTTTTGGCACCACGACCAGTGCTGTCTTTCGTAATATCAGGCTCGACCTATAATGCGTCGTTAGCTAACCATAACAACGGTGGTATCGAGAGCAATAAAAGCAACAAACCTGTAGATCAAGTAGTTTGTTTTCATGGTCGGTTAAGAGTCGGCCTCGGAAGCTCCTTTCACTTAAAAGGTATGTGAATTGAGCTTTAGCGCGGGACGAAATATGTGACCTGAAGATTTTCCAACGCTTTTGACGGTACTCGAGAGTTGCTTTGAGAACCTGTTTAGAGCTTCTGCGTTAGCACCGCGGTCTTGCGGTAAAGGGTCAACCCCCTCCTCTTCCCCTGTTCCTGTCTTTTTTTCTCCCTACGGGGAATGGATGTTCAAGTCAACTTACATCTGCAAGCAGTTTGAACTCTCGTACTTGTCTCAATGCTCGCTCATGATCAGCGGCCGTTCTCTCGGCTTCAGCGGCAATCTCATCACGAGATGCTCCTAACCTAGAGCTTTATTTAGAAGCCGACACGCATACTTCATAGGGGAGAACTTACTGCTGATTGTAGCGCTGTTCATCGTTATGAAGCTTCTCCAGCTTTCTGTCCAAACTGGAAGGTGTTTCACCTTCGGGGATGACTACTCGTGGTGAAACGAGACTAGCTTTCTCACTGTAATCAAGGATGCGGGCAGCAGCCTCTTCTTGTTCACGACCGACTTTTTCGCTTTCTCGCTTCAAATCTTGAATTCGATCAAGGGCAACATTCTTGTCGCTGATGATGCCCCGGCGCTTTTCTGTACCTAGGAGTTCCTCGCTCCGAGCAACTCGGAGTTGTTCCGCTAAAGCCTCAATCTGGGCATCTTTCGCGGCGAGCTGTTGTTTTGTTGCTTTTAACTCCTTCATCATTGTTTCCATAGCACTGACGCTGTCCTGTAACGATCCCGAGTTAAGACGTTTCTCTTCTTCGGCCTCTTCAAGAGTGGTCCGCAGCACATCAAGATGTCCATCTTCTGCCGACTCTTTCTCAAGTGCAGCTGAAAGTTCTTCGACAAGATCCTCTTTTTGTTGTATGGAAACGCGTAAGTCAGCCGTTGTTCTTTCGTGTCTTGTACGAGCTTGCTTGCAACTCTCCGATTGTGACCGAGCAAGGCGGAGTTGGTTCTCTAGATTATTTAGATTGCGTCTCAGATCCGACACCACGTCGCGCTGAATTGTGATCTGGGAAGCTAAGTCAGACTTCATCCGCGGGTTTCCGTTGTACGCCGATACAGGGGCCTGACTTGGCTCGCCAGTGCTACTGTAAGAGAGATGAATGCCACGCCGTCTGTCTGCTCGATCAATACAATAACAGCGCTTTACATACTTGGGCCTTTGTCCATCGAACAGAACAGCAGATGCGTCTTCCAGTCTTTCAATCAATAGCATCTGGTCTATACCATGGTTGATTATCAGTTGTCGGCGGACTAATTCATTGTCGATTTGGAGGATTCGTAAGGCCGTGTCAAAGTGAGGGTCTGGCTCGTTTTGCGATGTATCAAGAGCCCCGTCGCTCCCTATGAATATTGGACACACGCAATTGACCCTTTCCATGATCCTCGAAAGCAGATTCATGTCTCTTTTCGACGTGACAACGAAACTGTTCAAGGTTGTGCCAAAAGAGTTCTCGAGTATCGATGACCATTCGGGCTTCAACAGACTCACATGGTACCCCATGGGTCCAACAGGCTGTTTATTGAATGCTCGTTCCTGGTGAATTGCCTTGAGGAGAGTGGGCATTTTTGCATGAAACCCCGAGTTTCTAACCCCCCCTTCTTCGCTGAGACTCTTCAAACGAGCTTCAGCCTGCTCCACGTCTACTTTGGCTTTGTTGATTGGCGCAGATGCCCTATCAACTGCCTTGTTGGCTTCTTCAAGTTCTTTAACGAGGCGACCATGTTCGCTTTGGTGCTCCTCAAGCTGTTCTCGAAGCAGGGCAGCCTCGTTTTGAACCTCCTTTAATTGTTCTTGTTTCCAAGTATAACTTCCCCCATGAAGCTCGGCCAATCGCTGATTTTCATCGCTGATCTTCTGTTGCGTTTCACTGATTCGTGATTCTGCTGCCTTCAGATATTCTCTTATCTTACGTTGCTCAGCCTGTGTATAACTGTTAGTACATGCAGTAACAGAGATTTAATTATGTGAAGCACCTGAAGGTCATGTCGTTCGCTCAGTTTGGTCTCCCACCCGGACTTGATTTCCTCCTTCTCCGTCTCTGCATCGTCGACTCTCTGCTTGGCTTGCTGAGCATACTCGGAGGCAGCTTCGATTTCACTCTCAGCTGCCCGAATAGCTGCATCAAACTCTTGCAATTCAGTTTCGGCGACTGTTATCCTATCGCGGGAGCGATCGAGTTCATCGTCAAGGGAACTTTTCATCTGTCGTAAATTTAGAAAGGGGCTCAGATACTTTCGCGAAGAAAAAATTCACCTGTTCTTGCTCTTCAACTTGCGCCCAAGCCATCTGACTTCGGGTATTCCGGAGCCGATTCCGGAGAGATTCATGCTGATCAGATATATCAAGCTTTTGTTTTGCCACATCCCTGCGGTTTTTCAAGATCGCAATGTCTTGCTCCCTGTTCCTGAGCTTTTCTTCTATCTGATCCGCAGACTCCTCGATCAGTCGATAGTCTTGGTCAAGTTGTTCTAATTGAACTCCCTTTACGAAGAACTTGTACTTCTCAGCAGGGCTTGATGAGCTAAGGAATTGACGAGCCATGTCCTGTGAGAGCACATTCATCGGATTGTCGAATTGCAAAGTGAAAAAGTCAATAATGGAGTCCAGCTCTGCTTTTTTCGTGGAAACTATGCGTCCGTTCTCAGCTTTTATCTTGAAGCCACTGGTGCCGTTCTTCGTAAAATGGCGTTCTACGACGATCGCTTTCCCGTAGTCGTCCGGCATATAAGCACCATCGCCTTGGTTCTTGATTCGTACAACGATTGTAGCCGTCCTTGGTTCGACATTAGAATTCGGGCCAAATGAAATCCCAGTGGACTGACATACTCTTTTCCTTCTTTGATGAAGCTTTTCAAACTCTGACCCCGATTCGTGGCGGATGCTTTTCCACCGAGGCAGAGTGTGATAGCAGTAAGGACTGCACTTTTTCCACTGCCATTCTTTCCAACGATAAAATTTATCAACGGACCTAGCTCGACATAGAAGCGATCATGGCACATGAAGTTATAGCATTCCACCCGCTCAAGGATGCCGTGTTCGGCAGGCACATTTGGCTCATCACTGGCAAAAGAGTACTTTTCCTGGATCACCTGCGTCGCACGTAGCTCCAGGTCATCTTCCTCATCACCAAGAGCCTCGTTTATCAAGCCAGTATCGAGTCCTTCATCGTCATCGGCACTGGCCCCACTGTTGTCATCTGTGGCCAGGGAGTTCGATCTCCGAATGCGTTTTTGCTTTGCTTGAATGTTAATTCGTTGTTAAAAAAAATGAAAGCCCGTCGCAACGATTGCATACCGAGTAATGATGGGTAGAGGAGGCACCCGATTCGCTCTCGTCATCAGAGTCTGTGGTCCGTAGGGACGCTTGAGGGCGCTTTAGAGACGGCATTTAGAAAACGCGACAGGACTAGAACAGGCGATTAAAGTTATTCATAGTCACGCAAGGTGGAGCTAGAAGAGAGCAAAAAGAAAGACTGGCAAAGAAACGTTAGAGCAGGGCTTCAGTAGCACCCAGGCTATAGCATGCTCAAACAGTTGGTTGCCTTTGTTGTCGGTTGGGCTAATGAGACCGCAAGTGGGCGGAGGGAGGCCTTGTCGCGTGGTCGCGGTCCCACGCGAACTTCCGCGCGTTCGTTATCGATCCGCCCTTACGGAGTACTACGGAGTGCTAGGTATATGAGTAGGTCTGCGCAGCCCCGCTCCCAATGGAATCAATACTGACTTCTTAAATGCAAAATAGATAATTGTACCATGCATATCCTACGTAGAATTTAAAACAGGAAGTGTCAAGTACAGCGCTTGGTGTAAATGTTCAATTTAAGACCGTATAGATACATCTCGTAACCCCGAAGACTGTAGAAAACCTACACTGTAGAGCGACATATAGTCATGATTTTGACCTTTTTGGTGAGCCCCATCAAGATACCTGTCTACCGAAAGGAATCTACGCTTCCTCATGTCGAACCTGCAGCCGCTGGCGAGTGACTTAAGCATCCGTGGGCTCCTCCGCAACGTAATGCAGATAGGCACCAAGCAGCTTGGAGCCTTCAATATAGTTCCTTCTATCGAGCTTCTCGTTGATGGAGTGAGCTGCGTCTGTTGAGCTGCCCATAGGCAAAAGCAGAACGTTTTTACCCGTTGCTTGTTCAAAGCTCAGAGTGACGGGAATGCTATAATCTCGAGTCAATTTCATCATGCAACGATGATTCCACAGAAAGGACGAAACTGTTGCTGGAAAACATACCTGCCACCTTCACGGGTCATGTCTGGCTCAACGCCAAATACTTGCTTCACGGCCTTGCTGGCAGCCGAGAAGTTCCAATGTTTCGGGCTGGCAACCCACCACTTTCCGTCGTGCTGGAGCCAAACATCCATGGTGTTCTTGCTGTTAAGCTTGGCGAATTCTGCTCGGATGTAATCGAAAACGAGCTTGTTGACATCGGCGCTTTCCATGTTGGGGACAGTACGAATGGAGAATTTGCCGATGACTTTGGCCGGGATGACTGTTTTGGCCCCGGGAGCCGAGTATGCACCTTCAACGCCGTGGATAGACAAAGATGGGTATCTCCACCGGGCCATGAGGGTTTCCTCTTTGGTCGGGTGGATGCCAGTTTCGCTGCCCAATGACTCGTGCAGATTCTCCATGGTGTAGCTGATATTGGGGTACAGGAGTTTCTCTTCCTCCGATAATGGCTCGACGAGGTCCATGAGTCCGGGCACCAAGATTCTGCCGTGCGTATCGACAAGTTTGGACAGAATTTGGACAAGGTCAGTCATCGGCTCATGCGCAGAGCCACCAAAGACTCCACTGTGCAAGTCCTGGGCAGGACCCGAGACACTGATGGAGTAATAGTTACAGCCTCGCAACCCGTAAGTAAGGCACGGCTTTTCGGTACCAAGCCAGTAGTTATCGGAGATGCAAACGGCATCGGCATCCTTGAAGAATTTCTTGCTCTCGGCTTGGATAAACTCCTCCAAACCTTCTGAGCCATACTCTTCCATTCCCTCAAAGCAGCAAAGAAGGTTCACAGGTAGCTCGATTCCGGCTTTCTTGTGCGCTTCAATCACGTTGAGCCAACCCAAAACAGGGCCCTTGTCGTCGGTGCTTCCACGACCGTACATCCTTCCTTGGCTATCCTCCGTCAACTCGAAAGGCTCCGTAGCCCAGCCATCTTCCTTCAAAGCAGGCTGCACGTCGTAGTGGCCGTAGACCAGGATGGTCCGCTTGTTCTTGTCGTTGCCGTAACGCGCGATGACCACTGGGGGAAGGTCGAGATGCTCTTTTCCCGGCTGTTTGCCGAGCGGTCGTTGCTCCACCTCAGCTCCTAGGGCTTTGAGCTCCGAGGCCAAGAATTCTGCCATCTTCAAGCCAAGTCGAATGGATGAGCGACTGGTCCTTGTGTTATGATACGGACATTTGACGACGACTTACTCTGAAAACATCCTTTCGGTTCTCATCCTGGGCAGAGACGGACGGGATAGCAACAGCTTTTCGCAACCCTTGTACACGATTAAAATCCCCGTTAGTCTAATTCGAGAGAAAAGCTTCGACAACCAATAGACGTACGGTCAATGAAAGAAGGTGACAGATTGTCAACCCTGGGTAATAGTTGGCAAATCAGTATATGTACCGCAATTATTAATAGGACCTGCCCTCATACGCTCTCTGCAGCGTCGCAGGGAAGGCAGGGAAGAGGGGGAATGAGGGGAGAGAGAATGAGGCAGAGAGGGTAAAGAAGAAGGGCAAAACACATACTGCTGGAAAAAAGGTTCAAGTTGAGGCGCCATTTTCCGATCACTGATATTTCCGTAGAATGAACGACGGAAAGGAAGACGAGAGATATTCGTAGGGAAAAGTTGAGATGTCAAACAGCTCCGTGGGGAAGGAGGAAAATGTAAATAGGACTTAAATCCTCCAATTGTCGCCGGGATACGACGGAGGGGGAGGGGCATTTGGTCAGCTGCGGAAGAAAATCAAAGTACCCCCGAGGCGATTGCTACCTAGCTCAAGAGCGGGGACCAGTAAGAGAGGAAAAGAGACCAAAAAGAAAAAAAAAAAAAAAACCTACATCATATCTCAGGATTATGAGCTGACCTTAGCCGCATCTAAGCGCTACAAATCAACACGGAAACGCTGATAGGCAGATAAAGTCGGTGCGGGCTTATTTAATTAACTACCTACCTTCTTTGTGGCAGTAGTAAGTACTCCGTACCTACCCAACCGCCGATTTGTTGTTGCTGAAACTACCACTAAATATAAATATAACGAAGGCATCAACACTGGCAGTTATAAGATTTGAATCTAGACAAGTTGCAAGAATTGCTAAAATACAGGATTTTATACACAAGTATCACCACCCCCTTGAGCAAAGCAAAGTTCAAGACCGGGGTTTCGAGTCACAGAGCCATTCATGAAAGGTGAGATAATGAAAATGTTAGAGAAGAAGATTATTCGCAGTTAAATGAATATGCCATTCTTGGGATGTGGCTTTTATTCGCTTCTTCCCCAGGTCTCCTTTCGGAGCTGGCGGTCCTCCCTGGCCATCCGACGTTTTATACCCCATCGCGACTGCACTGCCTCCAAAACTTGTCGCTGGATCTCTTTCTTCTGCGGGCCGGCTTCGCATACCATTGCAATGAACATGGGAGAACAATCGAAGCGCTTGGCCAGTTTCCACCGGCTCCACGTCATAGGATCACTGAGTCGAAGCTGACGAATTTCCTCGATGTCCGACGGCTTCAGGTGGTATTTTTTCTGAGTAGTTGATTTGAACACGGAAGGTAGTTCCTCGGGTCCCTGATCTTTAACACCAGAAGGAGCGCGTAGCGTTCTTCGTGCATCATCCAAGGGGAGAAATTTCGATGGTGTGTGGTAAACCGAAGGTGCACTGGAGGGTGGGTTATGGATGATATTGTCGTATAGCTGGTTGGTCGGCGAGCCGAACGAAGCATCTGGTTTAACGCGCAGGCGTTGTTTGGTGCGTGCGTACGAAGACTGACTCCGCTGCGACTCGAGAGCCACAGGGTGGCAGGAAGGAAGAAGGAACGGCAAGGCGACTACGGGCCTCTTGGGCACGATGATAGATGCAACCATTGTGAATATAGACAGCAATAACAAATTGCCGCGCAGGGACACAAAGGGTGATTAAGAGGGTCGAGGATCAGTTAGTTGCGTCCAGGATAACTACAATAGCCAGATCCAACAGTTAGCATTTTCAGACTTCTTTATTTCATTGACAGGAAGGGAAAAGGACGGAATGCGTATGTAAAGTCCATACAGTCACAGATTGGTTTATGTTCGTAGCATGCTTTGATTCAATGGCAGATGGGAATTGAGATGGGTTGGCTAAAGGACCGGAGTAAGTTTTGAGATGGACTTTTCTCTCAAGCCGCACAAGTCTCGTGACAGAGAAGGAGTGACAATACCGGGTGTTAGGGACATGTACGTGTAACCATCACTATCTTACATACCTACACACCACGGGTAGGTAGTATGTATTCATGCCCTGTACCACATATATAATACAGTACCTAGGTACTGTATGTATGTATGTATCTAGGTACCTTACTACCAGGTACCTTAGGCAGTTCTATAGCTCAGGGACTACGGCTGCAAACCGTCCATTTCGAAAGAGAAATTTAGTAAAGCAAACCGGCTGCTATAGGGATATACAGCAACAATTGCTCATAGAAATTCACCTTTGCCACACCTATTGTGTATCCTGAATTTACTCATTTTTATTTCTAATTTCTATTCTTTTGCCTCTCGAATCGCCATCACTGTACTACATCAGCCAATATGAAGCTGTATACCCATGGTTGCATCCCCTCCGGATAGATTTGCTTCCGTTGCAGCTTAGCGAGGTATTCGTCATGTAGACTTGATTTTTCTTCATAAACAATTCATTTCCTGCACCAAAATCGTCAAATCATCTATGCCTGAGCACTTGCCGCAGCATCTAGGGCTTTTTGGATTCGGCCACGGAGATCCGGTATGTCTTCCAGGCCAACACTTATCCTGACCAAGTCAAATTCCACCCCAAAGGATTTCGCCTGCACGGACCGGTTAGTATATCTGACTGAAGTAATGGGGAAAAGGGAGGGGAATAGCTTCGGCGGGTTTCCCTCTTCACACATACCCAGTCAAGTTCGCTATAGTGGGCTAGAAGGGTGTATGGCGAGCTGTGTAGATATTAGGATATGCTCGTCAAACGAAATATTGATAATGGATTCAAACCTACCCCAAGGTAAAATTTGTGCCAAGGCTAGGCCCTTTCAGGACCTCAAGGGCATCGAAGAAAGCGGCCGCAGCAGCTGTTGAATGGAAGGTGACAGAGAAGAGACCGCCATAACCACCATTAGGAGTACGAAACGCATCATAAAATGGCTTCGATTGGCTGTATTTCGGATAATAAACTTGTTTAACTGCACGGAAAGACAAGTTAGAATTAGGTCGACTAGATACCGACGAGAGCTTACCGAGCGACGAGTTCCTTAACATCTCTGTTATCTCCTCTGTGGTTGTGTTAATTTTTTCAATCCTGGACACAAAATCACGACTGTTCCTTTCCAGGAAAACAGCATCCTCTGCCCACAGGTTATCCTCATATTCTCGAGAAAACGTTTCCTTCAATGCTTGATAGTGCCGAGCATGAGGGTTGAGAACAGCACTTCCTCCCATGACATTGCTATCCCCACTGAATATTTTTGTCAGACTGCTGACGACGACGTCGGCGTATGGTAGAACATTGACATTGAGAAAGTTGCCCACCGTCTCATCTACAACAACCGCGAAGTCATATTTATCAGCGAGGGCACGAATCCGTCGAAGGTCAGGCGATTTCAGTAGTGGATTTCCAGGAAACTCGGTGAAAAGCGCCAGGAACCTTTCATCATTATTTAAACGCGACTCCAAGTCATCTAGATCCTCAGATGAGCCGTGTCCGTAGAATAAGCAGCCGGGTCCCCATTTCTCCAGAGTTTTTAGTGTGTCAATGTATGGAAATCCAAAGCACACGCTTTTCATAGCACCCCTTGAACTAAGTAGCATCTGATGCGTACTAAAGATAGCGTTCATGCCTGTTGGAAAGGCATAAACGTCAGACTCGCTCAAACCTGCTACTCTACCTACCCCGGCAGTCTTTTGCAGAGCTTCGCTCAGATCGACATCTGCAGTTAGAACGCCTGCTATCCGTTTGCGAACGGCCAATTTGGCTTGTTGGGATAGAGAGGTGCTTAGATTCCGGCCAAACCGTTCTTCAATGAACTGAGCATATTCGCGCCCTTCCTGTGATCCATTGGGTGCGGCGGATGGATTCGGTGCCGTGGACTGTGACCCTATCCCTCGAACGAGTTCGGTGGCCGAGTCCTTTCCTTGGTACCTCCGTGGGCCCTTGCAAATTCTTGGTGCTGTCGTTTCCAAGCCAATGTCCTTTTTCTCCTGCAGGTAGCCATCTCGCAAAGCGCCAAGACAGAATTCACCTCGGCGACTTGATACACCACTTCCAGTGTGCTGCCACACTTGCTTGGCAATTGGGAAATACTCCTTTGGAAATATTACACCCGACAAACGCGAGGTGACAGTAGGGGAGTCGGTTTCCGTGTGAGGAGGGGGAGCAAGATCCACTATACGAACATTTTGCGATTCGGCGCCGGATAATCTCGAAAGGAAAAACGAATAGCAGACTCGTGCCGTATTAGGGGACGGGAACAGCATGACAGTTTCTGTGTCTGGCTTTCCGTGGCGTAGCACCACCTCCTTTGCTAGCTCCTGGATGATCGGATGCACAAAAAATCGAGGATAGCCACATTGCATCTTGTTGATAAGCCAGGGTTCTCCTTCTTCATAGGCGACATTGTCTTTCCATGTTGGCAGCGACACACTGACTGCCTTGTTCTTAGTTAGCAATTTGACATCAATTGTTCAGAAAGCAAGCTAGTGCTAGAACTCCAAGAGCAATCCGCACAGATCCTGAAGTCTTCAAAGACAGGAATCGGGGATGGAAAACATTCTTCAGGCATAAGACAGTCAATTTGAAGGAGGGAAGGGAGAGTGAAAAAAAAAGGGTACGATGAGGGGCTTCAACGAACATGGTCGGTGTTAGGGGGAACAGTGCCCCCCGCGTCCTGGAGCATTGTGGATAAAATTATAATTTAGGTGTTTGGGGGGGATCTCGGCGCAAAATTTTCGGGATTGGAGCTTCAATGAGGGATAATTGAATAATAAAGCAGCTGGAGAGACAGATAGTTGAGCAGGAAGATAGGTAATGGGTAATGAGTAATGGCGGGGAAGAGAGAGCGACTTCGGCGAGAGGTGTAGAAGAGCTCAGCCAATGATCACTGATAGGAACTGTACCCACATTTTCCAGTTCTCATAATGGATTTTCGGGTACGTTAGGTACTTCCAGGTCATGTACTGTGTAGGTATGTATGTACATACATACTTCATGTTACCAGATTCTGAAAGTCTGAGATGTATAATACATCGTATATAATATCTAGAGCCCAGGAGTACCTTAGTGTAATTATACAAATTACAGTACCTGCGTACGGAGTACTTATAGAGTATCTGAACGGTCGAAATCACGTGGAGATAAAATCCCGGAGTTTTGTAATTTTTTTTTTCTAATCAAAAGCTCCAAGTACGACAGTCCCCAAATTACTATTGTATCCAAATGTTTAGTGCCCTGTTGCTCAAGTCAGCAAGAAGTTCAATTTGACCTGGCTTGATACCTTCCACACTCATCCTCTAGCTACCTCTTTGCGCTCTCTATCGACCATTTGGAATACTGCTCCGCAGTCCGGCTCAACACCACCAGGATGTCGCATTCTCCGAAGAGGAGAAAGTTGAGCATATCGTCAAAACCAAACGGGAATCCTCAATTTTCGAAATCCAAAGAAGATAACTCTACCATGAACAAACGGGATTCAGGCGATCGCTCTGCGGAAATAGCATTGGCTAGCGGCTTCTACAAGTCCAACCTTTTCAAGTTACAATTGGACGACCTACTTGCGGATTTGAGACCGAATTATGACAAGCAAGTCTCAAGGCTTCAAGACACTCTTCATAAGCTGAAAGAAACCATTGAAAACATCCCCGAAAGGCCCGCGAAAGCTCCCTTAGACGCCGAGAAAGAGTTGCGCAACACTCATGGCGTTATTGTCCCCTACCCCCAGCCTCGCCCTGGCAGAGATACGAAATACTCGGTCTCATATTCCAAGCCGATTAATGTCAACGTTGTCGGAAGTTTTGCTCTGAGAACCGGCGCGAAATCGGCAGGGTCTTTGACAGTCGACCTCGCCGTGACCATGCCGAAACTACTTTTCCAGGAAAAGGATTATACCAATTATAGATTCTTCCACAAGAGGGCCTACTACATTGCTTGTCTTGCAGCTGGTATCAAGGAAACAAAAGGTCTTAGCCTCGACATCAAATTCGATTTACAAGATGGCAATAGTCTTCGCCCTGAGATCGTGCTTACGCCCGCGGAGACGCCCAAAGATTCTAAATCTTCAAAGCCACAAATTCGCATCATCACGGCAATTGAAGATACATTGTTCCCTATCTCCCGAACCTTACCGATGAAGAATAATATTCGACAGGGAACAACGGAAACGACAGAGCAAAAAGAACCCACGCCATTCTACAATGCAGCTCTCCGCTCAGAGGCCACTGTGGCACAGTTTCATAAGTCGCTATATTCGGCTGCCCGGAACTGTGAATCTTTTAAAGATGGCTGTATCCTCGGCCGAACTTGGCTCCAACAACGAGGATTCAGTTCCTCGATTCAGGCTGGTGGATTTGGAGGATTCGAGTGGACAGCGCTCATGTCTCTCTTGTTCGAAGGCGGGGGTCCCAATGGCAAGCCGGTCCTCCTTAAATCGTACAGCAGCTATCAACTTTTCAAAGCGACTATTCAATTCATTGCGGGGAGAGACCTGACAAAACCACTATTCCTATCTTGCCAAGATCTTCCAACCCCTAACGACGGACCTGTGCTGTACGATGGTGCGAAGGGCCTGAATGTGCTTTACAAGATGACGCCGTGGTCGTATGAGTTTCTTCGTCGCGAAGCCGGAAATACCTTGAAGATGTTGAACGAATCTCGTGATGACAATTTTGAGAAAGTTTTCATCTTCAAGGTCAATGAGCCTTTGTTTAGGTTCGACCGAATTGCCACTCTTCCAGTGGGTAATAGTAACAATGCTTTACAAGGATCGCACAACCACCGTGCGATCTACGAGGTGCTGAAAAGGGCTTTCGATGATCGAGCCGATCTTATCTATCTTTTTTGCAGCCGTGCCGATCCATGGCCCGTCGATACTAAAGCTTCCCGGAAAGCAGCAGGCGCTTGCCTTCATGTTGGGTTATTATTGAATGCTGATAATGCTGCACGTATTGTTGATCATGGCCCATTCGCAGAAGAAAAAGAAGAGGCAGCCTCGTTCCGGTCCTTCTGGGGCGACAAGGCCGAGCTGAGACGCTTCAAGGACGGTAGCATTAGGGAAAGTTTGGTGTGGTCCGACCAGCCGTCGTCATCCTCCATAGTGCACCAGATCCTGACATATATTCTACAACGTCATTTCGATTGTCCCGAAAGCGAGTTAAGATACATCGGCGATGAATATGATGAAAAGCTTCGCAGCAAAGGCGATGGAGTATTGTTGTATTCCAGCCCGCCTTTCCAAACCATTTCCGATGCTTTCAATTCCCTGGAGAAATCTGTCCAGAGCATGGACGAAGTTCCCCTGACTGTGAGGCATCTAGCCCCAGCCAGTCCCTTCTTACGATACACAGCTCTTCATGCCCAGGCCGTTTCCGGTGTACGGCAGGAGGCGGTGGACGTTGTTCTCCAGTTCGAGAGCTCTACGCGCTGGCCGGACGATCTGGTGGCAATTCAAATGACAAAAACGGCTTTCCTCGTCAAGATAGGAGACTGTCTGTCATCATCTGGCACTGCTTCATCATGCAGGGTGGGGCTGGAGAACGAATCGAGTCCAATCTTGAATAGTGCTTTCCTAGAAATCGTTCACGAATCTGGGGTCACGTTCCACTTAAGGATTCATCACGACCGGGAACAGACTCTATTGGAACGTCAGCTAAAGGAAAAAGGCCCTCGCTCACAGGCAAAACAGGAAGTTGCCTACGCCTTGTCAGAGTATAAGCGTCAATTTGTCCACTCTCCCCGTCTAACCCAGGCCATCCGTACTCTGTGCACCCGCTTTCCTCTACTGTCGCCTACTATTCGTCTCCTGAAACACTGGTTTGATTGCCATCTTTTTGCAGGCCACATCAGCGAAGAGCTCATCGAGTTGTTGGCTGTGCGAGCCTTTACGCAACCGTTTCCCTGGGAGACTCCGTCCAGTATTATGGTTGGATTTTTCAGAACCCTTCATTTGATTTCTCGCTGGGACTGGCAACAAGAGCCTCTCATGGTCGATCTAGGCGGAGAGCTAGACAACGAGACCATGGAATTGATTCGCACCCGCTTTGCTGCTTGGCGTAATGTCGACCCTGCGATGAACTCCGTCGTACTATTCGTGGCTTCTGATGTTGACACGGAGGGTGTAACTTGGACTCAGCACGAAATGCCCCCCAAGGTCGTGGCTGCTCGGATGTCCACCTTGGCCAAGGCGGCCGTGAAGCTGGCGCGGGAGAAATCGTTTGCTCTGAACATATCTGATATTTTCCACACCTCCCTTGCGCCATATGATTTCATTCTCAACCTTCGGCCGGGGGTCTCAGATGGTGGTTCGGCTCCGTCGATGTATAAGAATCTACAAGAGAAGGACGCTACCCGTGCCAGCCGAAGGGCCTTCGCAGTGAAATCCCTCGTACGCGATCTGCAATCCTGCTACAGCCCACATCTGCACTTCTTTTACGGGGGTGAACAAGGCGACGCGATTGCTGGGATTTGGAACCCGCAAACCTTGAAACCCAAAACCTGGAATCTGAAGATGGCATACTCAACATCCCCGAGCGTGTCGGATGAAATCGAGCAACTGGGTGACGAGGTGGTTGTGATCAATCGTGCTGCTATCTTAAATGAGATTTCCCGCCTGGGCACCCTCCTGGTGGACAGCATCGAGACAGGGCAGCATTCGGGTTAATGTATAGTATGTTCTTTACCGGGGAAGACGGACTCCGGGTGCTATGTGAATGCAACGATGATATTTTGAATTACAAACGAAGGAATCGAGTTTCCAAAAGATATCTATTTAGATCATAAAATAAAAAAAGCAACTTGGAACATTAATGGCATTACCTTCCTCCGGAGCCGATACCTCATCGTTCAGATTTCTCTACAGGGGTCTGAGAGAAGGAGCAAAATTTGTCCTTGATCGCCACAACCTCATACGTTCCCTCATCTGAGGTCCTGATGGTTTTCTTGTGTTCATAAGAGATGTCATGCTTGATGTCCAGAATCTCTGGCTTCTTGCCTTTTCGGGGGTTGGAACTCCGGATGTATCTAAATCCAAGGGTAATTAGTCCCATCGCGTTCATCATGGGAGGGAGAAGATAAAACATACGTGAACTCAAACGGCGGTGTCCCCCAGAACTCAAAGTGTAGCTCTGCCTCCCCGCCCTCGTGTATATCAATAATAGAGGTTTGACCCCGGCTCATCCGGACACTTGGCATTTCGTGGATAGTTTTCGTGATGTTCTTGTGGGCCTGGCACTTCCCACTTGCGCCGTCACTGACAGCGGTTATAGTGAACACGCCTGGTCTCTCTGCGATGCGGCGGAAGTCGGTGGTCCGGGAGTTTGCCTTTCTGGACGCCCCATCAAATGTATAGAACACATCGAATGGAGCATGACCGGAAAGCGAGAAGGACAACCGTTCCCCGACGCAGTAGTCAACCTTGGATTCAAGAGGGATAATTGTGGGAACGTCAGACACGGCGACTCTGACCGACGATGTGTCGAAGTCAATGCTTCGTTGACAGCCTCGTGCATCCCTTACCTTGTGAATGCTGACGACGTGCTGCCCCAAATCAAGATGACGTCTCGGTATAGGAAGCTTGTGTCGATTTGATCCGATGCTCGGGATTGATACAATCTCGGCCTTGGTCTTCGAATGGTGCTTAATGGATATCTCGAGGGAAAATGGCGGAACCCCCTCAAGGGTTATGGGAATCAGCTCTTCGCCGCTAACGTCCTCCTTGCAAAACCCATAAATATGACCCGGAGCATCAAACCGCGCAGATGGGAGAGGGTTCACCTTTTGGGTCACGACGACGGGGTTGGCCTTAGGGTCGTGATCGTAGAGACTATCGCCGACTTCCCGGAATTTATAAGTGTAGAGACCAGCTTCGGAAGTGTCCATTTCCATAGAGGCTGCATGTAGAGCGGTCTTCAATGTCTGCACACGCACAGAAGGCGATCCACGGCCTGTCTTCCGTTGTTGCTCATACTGAACGCTGTACGGCGGGTTTCCTGCCAGGCGGAGTTCAAGGCTGTCATCGTCGCCCTGGCAAACATCTCGCTTCTCAATAGAGTTGGTGACCCCGACGGGAGAGCTATCCACAGCCGTGATACGCGGTCGAGGGATCCAGGAAATCTTGAAGGTCTTGGCTGCCTGGTCTATGGATCCGGGGCAGGAACTGTCGGTTACCCCGACGAGCTCATACTGTCCTTCTTGACTGACCGACAGAACACTGTTTTCCTGCCAGAAGGTTTTTTCGAAAACCGCAGAATCAGTGCTTGTTTCTTTGAGTCTGACTACCCACGGTCGCTCGCCACTTAATCTGAGAGGAATATCAACTCTCGAGTCCTGGAGAGCCGAGTAATCTCGGCGTTTCTCTATTTCACCAAAAGACGCCTGTGGGGGCTTTGAGCGGGCGTCAATTCTAATGTTATCCCTGAGGCTTCGTTTGCAGTTCGAAAGATCTTTGACGTTTGTTAGCACGAGGCTGTGCTCGCCGCCACCGACAAGCTTATTGGTTTTGATAGTAGCAATTTCACTCTCGGATTCCAAGGTATGCTTCGATTTCTTCCCATTGTGAACAAGTTCGTACTGCAAGGTCCACGGCGCTTCACCGACAAATGCCACGTCCACGGCTACCGGCTCGCCGAAACAGGCCCTGCGCACAGCACTCGAATCAAGGAAGTGAGCAGAAGCCGGAGGCTTGACATCTTGTTCTAGGACGGGCATTTTGTCCTTCAAGGACCGAGGCGCATAAATCGTGTCTGCCACGTCAAGGAAACGGTACCGGTAAAAGCCGGCTTCGGATGGCGTAAAATCGAGCTGAGCACGTAGGCCTTCGATGATTTGCGATTTGGTCTCAACACCCTTTGCGTGCTCCACGACATATCGAAGTCGAAACGGTGGCGACCCAGTGAGGTCAAGGTCAACCAATAAGCCAACTGGATTGTTCGCGCACTTGTCAAGTATCTTCTCATACTTGACGGCGACGTCTGGCTCTGGTGGGTTGTGTAAGTAGCAAGATGACGGCTCTAGCACTTCTCCAGGGCAAAAATGACTAGATACGTATTCCAAATTGTACCATCCCGGATCCTTGATTTGTGGTTTCTGGTCAAGACTTTTGAGGGACAGCTTGTGAACTTTACTTGGCATATCATCCGTACCCTCCTGCTCTCTGCCACTGAATGAGTACATAAGAGAGAAAGGGCCGTCCTGGGCGTATTTTTGGCCCGAAGTGTGAAAATTGACAGGTAAATCTACGCTCTCTCCCCGAGCGACCTGCAAAAACTGCTGGTCGTTACATCCATGCAAGGACAATCGAGGCCTTTCATGGACTGCAAATTTATGCGCCTGAGACACAGAGTTTGCAGGTAGTTGGCCGCCTTCAAGTAACAGGGTCGAGTAATTCGCGACATTCCCGCAACCGTCGTGAACTTCTTCAATTGAGTAGAGCCATTCTCCTCCAACGTTCAACGACTCGTTCAGGGGAACTTCAATGACCTGGCTCTGCGCCCAGGAGACATCCAGCTCCCGGGAACTGAACAAGGCACCCGAGTTCCTCTGACCTATGAGAGGTGAACGTAAATGGTCTGATTGGATATTCTGGAAGGAAAAGCCCCGGTCAAGGTGGTTCACCTGTCTGCTGTACTTGATTTTCAAGGGCGGGGTGCCTTCAACCGTAAGCACCAAGTTCGATAGCTCGCCCTTGCATTTGTGCGTGGGAGAACTTTTGATCAGCGCTTGGGGACAGGAAACAACAAGCGCATCGGATATACGCATGTGAACGTCGAGATTGGACTCATCTACTACTCTTTTGAGACGGTAAATTCCAGGCTGTCGGATCGGGTAAAGAAGATCACGAGGCGAATCTGCGGGGGCGCGTTTCGACTGTTGCTTCATCTGCTTCAACTGTTTCGATGATATAGGGATTGTCTCGTTCTCCCCGCTGTCGAAATCTAGGCGGAAAAGCTCCACCGCAATCGGATTCGTTTGATTTATTCGAATGGGGAGATTGACAGTATTCCCATGCGAGTTGATACACAGCGGGATTTGATCCGGATTTAGCACAGCAGACCTATATTCATCAGTAATCGGCATGGCAACACGGACAAGGTGGTCCTTAAAGAACAGGACAAAGAGCTTACCCCTCCGGTAAGATGTGGACTATCTGCTTTCCCAAAATGAGGGATGCATTGTGAATAATATCTCCGGGTTTGACACTTCGTTCGGAAATGGATAGCTCCCTATCATAAGCTATTTTGACCATTCCAGATAACCAGGCGCCCAGCGGAATCTGGTCGGGAATTTAGTGAAATGTTCACGGAAGGAGTAGATAGAGGGATGGGGGAGCCTACGGGGATCCGGAACATTAAAAACACATTGCCAACTGCGTGAAGAAGAAACGCAGCTAGCGTCGTCGGAAAAGTCCATTCCAGCCAAGGTATATGAAGTGCCTGGAGTCCGAAGAGGAAGACGCCATCGATAGAAGCCCATTTGAGAAACAGCCAAGTGGAATCCAGATCATCGGAGGCGCTCAGAGATTCGTAAACTCGCCATGCATGGAGCGCGAGGTAGAAAGCCACAACATAGAGACGTTGTGATGGGGCATCTACGACCCCGGTTGGGATAAGCGGCGAAGACGCATCGTGGGTAGCTGGCGGTCCTGTGGAGGCTTTCCGTATCCCAGGGTCCTGAGGCGTCGGCCGAGACGGTGGGGTTTTAAAAGCTCGAGTTCTTTGCGTTGTCTGCGGCGTTTGAGGAAAGGCAGAGCGGAGTCGAGGAGTCCCGTTCATGGCATGCTGTGGTCGCGGACTTTCCGCGAATAGAGATTTATAGCTTTTCAACCTAAAAGAAGGAAAAATAATCCGTCAGAGAGGAGCAATCAAGCTGTTGTTTGGCGTGTGTGGGATGAAGAAGAGGGGGGGGGGATAGATAGAGAGGGAGTTAGTTCAGAGTAAAAAGCAAAAAAAGCAAGGAAACGACAAAGAGAAGAAGAGAAAAAAAGAGCACTAACTGGACATACGAGCTGAGCTCAAGGGCAGACCTTCCAGGGATGTGAATAGACCAGCTATGTCCTCGTCAAGATGAGGGGAGATGCGAAGTGTTAAAGGGCAAGAATCAAGGTAGAGCGAGGGAGAAAAACGCGTGGAGTCGCGTCCGGCCGGAGCTTCGGCCAATCAGCGGTGCAGACGTCGCTGCTCGGTGAGATGAGTATAAGTACCGGCACTTGCGTTGTCGCTCAACACTGGCAGTGGCCTGTGGTACCGGGTACCAGGTACCTACTCACATCATAATCGGCCTCAAACTGGCCGTTAGTCCATCCTTCTTCCTTCTATCTCCCGGCCTCTCTCTATTAATAAACCGCTCGAATATCTAGGACCGACTGCCTAGATAGGCGGGTCCCTCAGTACAGGATGAATCATAATTCGACCCGAAAGAAGTCGAATGTCCAGGAATCATCTGGGATTACCCACCTTAGCAATGACTTATGTGGTTCAGCAACTACGCAGGAGAAGGAACGGTGGAATGGTTTCTGTGAAATAGAATCCGAGCCAGTGAGTCGTGGTAAATCTATCATGGCTTGGTCTGACCTATCATTCGCCAGGCTCTATTCAATGTAATGCTTCGGGAATTTGGCGTCGAGGGAGTAAAGGTCCAAGAGGTTGTGTCCTTGGATGAGGATATGATGGCAGGCTTAAGGTGAAATGGTCTTGATACACGCGAGATCTACTGCTAATGCTCTATGTGCAATCAGCAAGCCTGTTTACGGGTTGGTATTCTTGTTTCGGTGGCGCGAGGATGATCCCAACAAGCAGGAAGCGAGCTGTCCCGAAGGGCTTTGGTTTGCGAATCAGGTCTGCTCCTCTTCACCTAAAGCGCATATCCCATGGCTGATATCTTTCGCTTAGACAGCAAGTAATGCTTGCGCGAGTGTTGCTCTCCTGAACATTGTCAACAACATCGAAGGAATCGAGCTTGGCGAGAATCTGCAGCATTTCAAAGAATTTACAATGCCCTTTACGCCTGCATTAAGGGGCGATGCCATCAACAATTTCGAGTTCGTCAAGCAAATCCACAACTCATTTGCGCGGTAAGCCTGCAAGCAATTTATAGACAACCCCATTCGCCTTTCTGGGGTTTACCTGACTCTGGGCCAGTAAAATGGATATTCTCAATTCCGACCTTATGCTCAAAAGTGAAGCGACTTCCAAACGATCGCGCTCAGCTAAACACACTAAGGATGAATCCGAAACGGATGCAGGATTTCATTTTATTGCATTTGTGCCCGCCCTGGGAACAGTATGGAAGTTCGATGGCCTCGAGCGCCAGCCCCATGCGCTTGGTAAGCCATTATTGGACTAGAGGTGAGACCACAGCTCATTTGTTGAATAGGGAAGTACACGTCGCACACGGATTGGTTAGACCTGGTGAAGCCCAACATTCGCACCAGAATGGAAGAATACGAAGAAGGACAGATTGAGTTTTCAATTCTGAGTCTTGCCAAAGATCCGCTTCTTGATCTTGTAGACCGATTAGCTACCAATGTGAGACATCTGGAATCAGTTAACCAGCGCCTGATCTCTTCCCAGCAGGGAGGAACGGGCTTCGACTCGGCGTTGGAGGACCGTCTTCAAAACGCGGTTCTTGGACCCGACGAAACCTATGGTCTAACCAGGGAGCGCATCGACCAAGCCAAGATTCCTGCAGAGCGGGAGGCTGAGTACGATACCTACTCCATCCAGGACCTGGCTGAGCATCAGGGGCAGCTGGCGGCTGAACAACAATTCCTCCGAGCTGCAATCCGTGAAGAGCAACAGGCCCTCCAAGCCGATGCCGATTACGTGGCGGGGAGAAGATATGACTACGGGCCCGCTGTCAGGGCGTGGGTGCGCTCCTTGGCCCGGAAAAAGGTCCTTGAGGACTTAATCTGACAAGGTGTCGGTACCTGGCCTGTCATTGAATCGACACCCTCGACGGCCTTTTGTTTCGGCACGAGTCACCCCCGCTTGCTCTTCGCTGCGCTGGGTATAGAAAGAAGAGCTGGAACCCCGCAGAGAAGTGGCTCAGGAGCGTTTGTTAAGGGAATAGGACTAGGGCGTGAGAACAACCCAGGAGGGAGGGCTCTGATGTGTCGATTGGCCGACCGCGACCGACCGGGTTGATGGATGATAGATCGAGGTCCTTGGCGGTTTTCCCTTTGGTTCCTTTAGGTATGCCTAGCCCTAGGAATGGTTGAGGATACTATACATACCAAACGTCCTATCAAGTGTACGTAGGCGGGTGACCCGTAAAAGCAAACAGCGGAGGCGAGTCGGTGACGTTCAGGCCGGAGTCGGTGACGTACCGGCCTGAACGTCACCGCCTGGACGGTCGACGCCGCCTTGTTTCAGCGAGGAATCTGATCCGAGGTCCAACCACCATCTGTTCCGTGGATTGTTTGCCAACAATCCCCAGTGAGGATAGCGAGATATTCTTCTTGTTTGCTGCCTGCCGTTCCACCTTCAGCGTTGCGTTGGCGTGCAGGTTGTCTTCCCTGGGTGCTTTGTCGCCGCTCCTCCCTCTCGCCCCCTTGGCTTCCGCTGCATAGCGCGTCGCCTCTACTTTTCAAGACTCTCTTTTTTTGTACACTTTGTGAATACTCGGTCATCGCCTTGGAAAATGTCTTCCGCCGTGGCCTCTGAGGCCCCCGAAAAGACCCCCGATGATTCCTCTAAGTTGAAGACCTTCCTATCCATCCTCCGAAGGTATAGGCTGCCTGCACATTTGTCCCCTCGTTTAGCTCCATCATTCCTCCCCCGGTCCCTGCTAATTCCTTCGTGTTTGACCCGTACTAGATTTGTCGGAGTGACGGATATAGCGTCCGTTCGCTTCTCATTGCCTGCGCATCTCCTGGAGCCGATGCCCAACCTGGGTATGTTATCGCCCTTCCCCCCTTTCCTGTTTCAAAGGTGGTTGCTCGCCTTGAAGCTCGGCGGACTGTTGGTTAACCAAACCCGGCGATTGCCAGAGTACTGGAATTATTTGGATAGACCGGAGACCTTTGCAAGGTCAGCAAAGTAGCCGATTCATCGCCAAGGCCCAAGTTCTGACAGGAGCACCACACAGCATTGGTAAATCAGACGATCCGCTGGGACGGATGCTAGAAATTCTGAGGTTTTGGTTCACCAAAGATCTGGTATACAACCCCCGCGGGATCCTTATCGTGTCGAAAGGGCAGTTTCACTCACATCGTTCCACAGAAATACATCAAGGGCAAGCCCTGCAAACCGTATAACTCTACACTGGGTGAATTTTTCAGAGTGAGTGCCTCCTGACCAGCTCTCAAACGCCCCCCATCCCCAAGACTGATCGTGCGGGCGCGAAACTTCAGTGTAAATGGGAAATTGACGGCCTCCCCCCGGCGGTTTCAATACCTTCGAAGTCGGATCCAACCAGCGGAGGTTCCACCCAGACGGACGACATTAACGGAGCGGTCAAGGTATGTTACTTGACCGAACAAACTTCTCACCACCCACCAGTGTCTGCCTTTTTCATCGATTGCGAGGAACGAGGCGTCTCCGCCCGCGGCTTCGACCAAATAAGCGCCAAATTCACGGGTACGAGTATTCGCGTGGCGCCGGGGCAGCACAACCTAGGCATCTTTGTCAACATCGCCAAGCGAGACAATGAAGAATACCAGCTCACCCACCCCGATGCCCACCTTGGAGGCTTGTTGAGAGGCGCGCTGGCCATCACAGTTTCCGATACATGCTACATAACGTGCCCCAAGACCCGGATCAAGGTCATCCTGCAGTACCTGGAGGAGGGTTGGATTGGCCGAGCTCAGAACAAGGTCGAGGGCGTGATCTTTCGCTACAACCCGGACAAAGATACCACGACGAGAATCAAGGATGTGACGGACGGGGATCTTCTTGCCAAAATCAGCGGGTCCTGGCATGGGCAAGTTTTCTACACCCTGGCGGGGACCAACGAGCCTCGACTCTTGATTGACATCGGGCCTCTCTTCCCCGTCCCCAAGGAAGTGCCCTCCGACGACGAACAACTGTCCAACGAGTCCCGCAAGTTCTGGTCCGGGGTCACGGATGCCATTGTCGACAAAAGATACGGCCAAGCCACCAAGCTCAAGCAGGAGATTGAGGAGCGGCAACGTCAGAAGGCTGCTGAACGACAGGCTAAAAACGAGACCTGGCAGCCTCGCTTTTTCACCGGTAGCGTCACACCATTGGGTAAACCTGAGTTAACCGAAGAAGGGCAGAAAGCCCTCGAGGGACTCCGTCGTGGAAAGTATGATTTGGAAGAAAGTGAATTCAAGGGTGCATAGACGCATGCCTGTGGTTGCGGTAGGATAATAATAAATACACAAGATTGGATTGAATATCGGGCGTTTTGGTTCGAGAGTCTTCGGAACGTCCTTGAAATGGCGGGTTCCGTTCTTTCTTTTCTATTTCCGCTGGTTTCGCCAGGGAACTGAGCATATAGAGTGGTTTGACTCCCTTACACCCCCCATATATAATATAATAGGCTTGATTTCTGGCCGTCAAGAAACAAGAATTCCAGTCATTATTTTTCTGAAGAGCCTTTTGCCACAACAAATAAGGATCTGTAGGCATGCTCGAGACACGTACATCATTGACTAATTACTACCATTCAATCCGTGAAGTATACAATGCATTCGTTGGTACAGCCTGTCAAGAATATTAAAATGGCACAGTGGTATTGATTCCCAAATAAAACCTGAACCTAAAGATAAAGAACCAAGAGATAAGAGGCAAAAATGAATAAATGCAAAAGATGAACATAATACATGTTGCAAGCTGCATAACTCCTCCCCAGTCCTATACTCGTTCACCCAGTGCGCCTACAACCCACACCAAAAGCATTAAAAACCAGAAACAGTCATGTAATCATTCATCTTAAGCATTGGCTGAGACAACCTTGTTGAATCCTGCAGTTACTGTCTTCGTTATTTCTTCATTTTTATGAGGAAGAAGTGATAGTGCATAGGCCACATCGTTCCACTGTCGTTCAGTTTCGCATCGCAGTAGTCGAGCGGCGAGCTTATCTGCCAATTGTCGGGCATGTTTCTCCTGCAACAAGATAATGATTAGATCGTAATCAAACCCTTGACAAACGGATATCGTTTCATCAGTTGGGGGGGTTGGTTCCTTCGGACTGAACTAACCTTCTCAATGAATCCAATCAAGAACTTGACAATACGTCGCAGCGATGCCTCTTCAAGATTTCGTTCGGCGCTCAGCAGACTGAACATATCAACGAAATGGTTGTACACCGCATTGTCCTTGCTGGCGAGTTCAGTGAAGAACATACGTGCCAGGTCAGCAATTCGCTTATCGTCATCCTCCAGGCATTTAGCCATCTCGCCCAGCTGACCTTTGACTTTGACCTGGCCCGCCAAAATCAAGAACGTCAGTGTCATGAGACATGTGCGCTTTACGGAGGCATCATCGTCATTTAGTCGACGATACAAAAAGTCAGTATTCTCGTCGATTAGATGATTGAAACACACTGCCATGTCACCTAGCGCAATCACCGCATTGCTGCGAACAGTTGGGTTCTCGGAGCGCTCCATTATGGTGATCAGAAGGGGCAGGTTCTTTTCGCAGTACTCTGCCGACACGCACATCAGTTTAGCCATGCATAAGGTTGCCGCTGCCTGGAGGTTGCGGTCGGAGTACGTGTTGCTGTTGGCACATATTTCGGCGACCAAAGGCCCAAAGTTAGACAACAACGAATTCTCCCCATAGAGCAGCTCTCGCTCTCGAATATGCGCCATGGCATCTTGGAAGTCGTCCTCAGTAGTTCCACCGATGAGGTCCAATTCATCACCCTCTGCATCGCCGTCGTCTTGGGGCGCAGTGACGGCTTTGTTTTTTTCTTGTTCAGCTTTGCGGCGCTTGAAGTCGAGTTCACATAGCTCCAGGTGGACAATTTGCTTGATAGCAATATGACCAACGACGAAAAGCAACTGGGATAATGCAATAGACGTTGGTTTCTTCCTTGATTCCTGGATTCCACTAGAAGCTGTTCCTGGGCGTTCTTGTTCGTCGTCATCCGCAGGTGTCTTGGACGCGTCGCGTTGCGATTGCGGCTTAAACACAAACCTCGTCTTTCGTTTGAGAATGTCAGAGCAGAGGACATCGGGATGTTTGGATAGCGTATAGATGGCACTAATAGCCTGTTCCGAAACGCCGTACCATTCCTGGCTGTCCGACACGGTTTCGACCATAGCTGCAAGTTTAGCCAAAACAGGATGGTCGTTAGCGAGTTTGGGGATGCCGGTTTCTTTAGTTTTAGCCTGGCGACCTGGGACCATGCGCCTCAATGCAATACAGGTGTACTTGGCGAGCACGAGATCTGACTGTCCTAAGTTCCCTAGACCAATCCTCAGCATCGCTTCGATCTCCTTGACCACAACTTCCGGATCGGCCAAGGCAAGCATTCCGAGAACGATGATCGCCCCGCGTCGTTGAGTCTTTGAGATCTCCTTTTTCTGTACACCATAGACTTGCCACAACTTGGCTATCACGGCTTCTGAAATGTGGCCCGCCTTCATCATGGTACTCAGTAGTTGCTCGAGACATGTAAGTTCCGCGGGGGATGAACCAAAGGTTAAACTGATCATGTTCCGAGCGATGTAATTTGCAGCATCGTTGGAGCTAAAGGAATCTGGCGCTTCAAAGAATAGTCCCTTATAACAATCAATCAGGTGAGTTTGAACACCTTTGCCTTCGTCGCTATTGCCTTTGGTCCAAATAAGCCGGAGCATCCGCCGGATTCCGTTACGAGAGGTTTCGACCTTGTACGCATCAAGCACGACGAAGAAGTCCATTGCTTCAATGACCTCACTCTTATTTCGTGATGACAGAAGCTGGGAGACGGTTCCGGCAGCTGTGTGGAGGACCTCAATGAATCGGAGGGCTTCGTTATAGTATTTTCTGGTGAGCTGGAGACGCCCGAGCAGCTCAGATGTTGCCGCCTGCTCCGCGGCCATTTTCACAGCTGCAGCCTTTTCTTCATCTGTCATTTGTGATGGCTTTTGCGGAGAATCTTCGGGCAATTGTGTGGCATCATCCAATAATTCGCTGTCGACGTGCGAGGTTTCCGCCCCTTCAAAACCAGGAGTCTCGGGGGGTCTCAAGGCATTGAGTTCGGCGTCAACATTCTCCAATCTGGTTGTCCATTCTTTGTGCGACAATTGTCCACCGTGCATAATGCTGAAGGGATGAGTAGAAACTAGTTTAGCCAGCAGTTTGATGGCGTTGCGTCGCACGTTGCTACTCTTGTCTTCAAGACTCCTAGCTGCCAGTTCTGAAACGGCTTGTCGTCTCTTGGGGAATTTTTGTTCTAGGTCACAGATCTTCATGTAGACCTGGATAGCCCGACAACGACAATAAGGGTTGATGTCCAGAAAACGCTCTTCCAATACATCGAAAAAAGCATTGATCTGTGTCTTATAGTTGTCGCTTCGCTCTTCTTGACGACTAAGATCGGATATCAAGTTGCCACAAACCTCGACAACGGCGCAGCGGAGAGTATACGACTATCAGGAGGTTAGTTGATGGGCACAAGGCGTGAACGGCGAGAGATATATAGTATGGTGTTGTAGTACCTCACTGTCTAGTTGTTTGGCCAGAAGAGTCATCTGCTTTATAATCAAACGTGGAGCAAGCTCGGAAAGTTTGACGATAAATGCAGATACTGATTTGGGTCCTCGGGTATCGTTCGAGTTGAACTCCTTGTTTCCAAGCTCCCTATGATAAATAAGCGACCATTCAACTGCAAGAAGTAGTGTCGAGAATACTTCAAAATTTCATCGGAGAGTTGCGGGTAATCATATTGTTCCGCAAGAATGTGCAGGAATTCGGCCATAGGCTCCGATAGGTGCTCAAAATACGTCAAGCTCTGCACGATAGACGTCTGGGCACCTAGACACCTAATTAGCTTGCGTTTCACAGCGAAATAGATACGCTAAAGTTTACCAAAGGCATGTCCATGATGCTTCACTGCAATGCAAAGGACTTTGAATGCATGCATCCTGATGGCCATACTCTTCACTCGCTGTTCGCTCTCTAGTATGAGATAAATTGTGCGGGTGAACAAGTTGATAAAGGTGTCGCGGTCAGACGTAGTTAAGAATATCCTGCTGAGTTTCAATTTCATGACTTTGCACATAGTTTCCATGGATATCTGAATCTGCGCCGTCCAATCCCAAATTCCATCTTTGGCGCTGGTCTTGGACTTAGCGGATTTCCCTGCACCTCTACGAGCAGGCGCAGCTTCCGCGGGTTTTTCGGCTGCTTTGACTTCAACGGCCGAAAGAGCCCATTGGAGTAGAAAGCCGTACATCTCCAAAAGCTGCTTGTGGTGTTGGATGCCATCTTGTTCGTCTGACTCGAGATCTCCGTGGATAATGTCTGCTTCGACAGACAAACTAGAAACGACTAGATCGAGAAGCTTGCTAAGAGATCGCGTGGGAAGGAAGGAGGAGTATCTGCAAGAATTCAACAGTTCAGAATTTGATTCACACGGGCCAGAGGTATCGGGGAATGGGTTGAGGGCCAGTGCACACTTTAAAAGGAACTGAAGGGAGTCAAAGAAGGACGATCTGGCCAGTCCTTCGGGGCTTTCGGCCACCCCGTCGACGATAGTATTCAAGACATGGTCGATCAACGTCGATGACAGATTGTCCGGGTCGGTCTCGCAATCCAGCAGTTCCGGGTCGGCGTCGGGAGTCGGAACAGAAGTCGGGTCGCTCAGGTAATATTTGAGGGATTCATTGATATCGAATTGGATCCTATCTTCCATGGTGGGCGACTACGAGGAGAGGATTCCTCGGAAGACAGATGATAGAGCGATCTATGGCGGCGGTGTTGGGTTGGCGTTTGACCAAGAGGGGGAGGAGCGGGGGAGGAACGGCGAAAAGAAGTCAAAGAAAGCGCAAAAAGCACGTGGGCTTTGTTTGGAGATTTCCTGATTGGGTATGGTGTGGCCGCGGCGGACAATCGATCATACCGTATGTATCTGTATGTATATACAGGTACTATACGGTCCCTGAGCATTCAAGTACTGTACCCCGGTACATGGATCTCGGTGCTATACGGTAACGCTTACCCGCATGCGTCTGTGTTTTCAATACCAGAAGGTAAACACAAACATCCTTCCTCCACTAAACCGCTTTGGGGGATTTTTTGCGCGCGCCCTGGAGCATATCTATGGTAGGTGACCTCACTTCCAAGACTTTCAATTCACTGACATGAGAATCCCTTCAAATCTTGAATTTCCCGCCTGCAGCACCTGCCACACGTCATCTTTCGTGCCCCTGCGACTCACCTCTGTTTGCCTCCGCCCACTCCGTTGATCCAGCGCATGCAACTGTCGCCAAAGCGCAACCTCCCCCGGTAACCTGAGCTCTGCTTTAGGTCTCATTACTTCCTCGACATGTCCGCTCTCCACCCGGCACCGGCTGGTTTCTTTGATTTACAACGACCCGCTGCTTGGAGGTCAACACGTCCGTCAACGAGGCCCGGCCATGCGGGTGACGACGGTGCAGTCACGGACAGCGATGCGTCGGCAGCACAACCCCGAAACGAAGCCGATCCAGAGGAGGAACTCGAAGAAGAGGATATCGATGATTCAGTAAAGGAGGATATGCAGAAACTTGAGGATACTTTCCCAGGAATCTCAGACCGGTTTCGACTGGTCAATAGGATTGGAGAAGGTATAGTGTGGGCTTTGGCATTCTATTGCCTGACTTTAGGTGACTAATTCATTGCGAATCTGTAGGTACATTTTCTACCGTGTACAAAGCGGAAGATCTACTATATGACCATTACAGAAACGACTGGGATATGTTCCAAGACAATCACAATGATGCCTGGGCCAGTCCACCTCCAAAGAGGCGCCGTTTGGAAGATGAGAGCGGCCGGTCATTACCCTCCAAACGAAGAAGCCCTCGATTCGTGGCTCTGAAAAAGATCTACGTGACAAGCAGCCCTCTTCGTATTCAGAACGAACTTGAACTACTACATGATTTGCGTGGATGTCGATCCGTATGTCCCCTAATCACTGCCTTCCGGTACCAAGATCAGGTCGTCGCCGTCTTGCCCTTTTTCCCTCATACCGACTTCCGAATTCAATACCGGACTTTCCTGGTTGCGGATATGCGACATTATTTCAGGTCATTATTTACCGCCCTACATTCGGTCCATAAACATAACATTCTCCATCGTGACATAAAACCAACGTAAGAATTACAGTGCCTTTGCTCTTCCTACCGCAATCAGGACCGCCACTACTTGTTCCCCCTCAGATACTGACCACGATACCGCGATCTAGCAACTTTCTTTACAACCCGGAGCTCCGAGAAGGTGTTCTGGTTGACTTCGGCCTAGCGGAAGTAAGTCAAAGCATCACCTACAATACAGACATATTTGGGCCGACTAGCTAACTCGTCTTTGCAGCGCGAGGGCGCTGAGTATACTGGCACATGCTTGTGCGCCAACTCGAGTTATGTGCGCCGCAGTCGCTTAATGCAGAGTTACTATTACACCCATTGTCCGGCGACCGCGCCATCGGCAGGGTATCCCAAAAACGATTCCAGGCCGTCAAAACGAGCCAATCGAGCGGGAACCCGAGGCTTTCGTGCACCGGAGGTTCTGTTCAAATGCACCTCTCAAACAACCAAGATCGACATGTGGTCCGCCGGGGTTATCCTTCTAACCTTACTTGGGCGGCGGTTCCCATTCTTCAACTCGGCTGATGATGTTGACGCAATGATAGAAATGGCGAGCATATTTGGCACGCGCCGTATGAAGTCGGCAGCCGTCATGCATGGCCAAATTTTTGAAACTAATGTTCCAACCATCGGTGAGAAGGGATACAGTTGGGAGAAGCTCGTAAAGTGGGCTAGTTGTGTAGAAGAGTTGACAGAGAGCGAGAAACAGGCTACGCGTCTACTGGCTGGTCTCATGGAACTAGATCCCTACAAACGCATGAGCGCCAAAGAGGCACTGCAACATGAGTTCTTCACCGAGCCCATAGTCCACGACGTGCCATGGGGAGGAAACCCCGACGACAGCCCAGACACTGGTGAGGAGGGCGAACGAGACAAAGAAGAGGAGGATGCAGACGAGGTGGCCATGGTTTAGAATCTCAATCTTCATACGTGACAATGACAATTAGTACTGGTATTAATGCAAACTTTGGACTGTGGTTGTGATACTATAGCAAGCATCAAAACGAGGGAGTATGAAGGGAGAGCATGTAATCATTCTCAAAGTCATAAATTTATACGATAGTATATACTTGTGTATCCGCACCACACAACCACAAGAACGCCGTACAGAAGTTGAACGAACAATGCATTCCTGCTCGTGTACAGTCAAAAGTCGTGTTATATACTGGCCTGGGCAAATTGGAGCCGTTTCTCATTAGAATAGTGCAAGCTCTTTAGCCAGCCTCTCCAAAATCGTAATGGCCGGTTTGGGCCGCGTGCTGAGCGGCGCCTTTCTCGCCCGTAAATATCCCTCCGCATGTATTGCAACGAATACTGAACCCTGCAGTATCGGTATAGTAATGTTTGCCCTGCAGGATCTTACAGAGTGCTAACGCCTTCTCTAGTACCAGGCTATCAGCCGAGTCGAAGACTTTTGTGTCGAGCTCCGGGGGGATATCAGAGTGAGCGAATGGGGGAGCGGACGGGGATAGCGCTATGGTATCATAGTGGATCCCGGAATAAACTAAGATGCATCGTGTGGGCGGGCCCTCGTTGAAACGGTCAACCCGAAGCGTTTGCACATCGATCGAGCATATTTCTATACCAAAATGCTTGCTCAGGATGCTGAGCTCAATGCCTCCTCCCCATGAATCTTCATTTTGGATCCAACGGCAATAGTCGTCCGGCCGCTTCTCTAGCACCACTTCCGAGTACAGATCCGGTCTCTCTTGAATTGTTTGAGCAACAATCGATCGAAGCTCGTTCATCGCATCCACACCCCCCAGGAGAGCACTGCCCACGGCGCGGAAAAGGCATGAGTTATCATCGGGCATGATGCGCAGAACGAAAGTACCCGCATGTTCGGATGACGCGATCTCGGGAGGGTCATCCGCGTTGTTCTGGGACGACGGCGCTGCAGGAGCAGGAGCAGGATGATTAGAGGGAACAGAAACGGCCGGCTCGCGACTGCTATCCGAAGCTTGAAGCGAGTCTCCTTTCCTTGTGACTATCAGTTGTTCCCTGTGGAGGTTGATCTCGTATTCTTTCAAGCTCCGGTTTGGGTCGAGCGCATCCAAGGAGAGAGGCCTGAGGTCAGGATAACCGTATTTTACCTCGTAGGCAGTTAACCCGGTTGCGTTAACAATTTGATTCCGGAGGTCATCCACGGTTGCCGAGTCGTCGAGAAGGGCCGTGGACTGCCCCTCCGGGCCACGGATTCGGAGCTTCATCCCCATGGCGCGGGTCAAATCTTATTGTCTAGTATTTATTGTGTTGGGAATAAACGATGAGTAGGAAATTGAGCGAGCGATTCGAAAATGTAAAGAATAGAATAAGAACAAGTAATGGGCTGGTATAAGTGAGGAAGAGAGGGAGAGCAGGCCGGAAGAAGAGCGGACTGAATCAAGCAAGTAAAGTAGAATGAATGAAGTAGTAGGCGCATGTGGGGCAGTCGTGGTAGTAGTTACCTCCATTATTCATGGTCTTAGGTACATACATACTACTATTCCATACATCCTTATCTGCGGTGATGACTCTATGGAGCAAAGACCACCATGCATGTCCCTTTAGTCCAGAAATTGCTGGGAATTGGGTTCTTCAAGCCGAATAACTGAACAGGAAGAGAAACAAAGAAGGAGCTGGAAGAGCGCCGAATTCCTTTCAGGTACAGTCCGTATTATGTAAGTACTGTAATGCGGTGTACGAATACTGAGGTATGTGACAGTACCGTATCTCAGGTGATTCTTGCTGAATCAGCATTGCTGCTGCGCCAAACGGTCAAACCTCTCCCTCGCTGAAGCTCGTCCTTCTTCCCTCTCTCGCTTTTTCATTGCGCTATTGCGCGCAGTGTCGCTAGGTTGCAATTTACTCGCCGAAAGAGCCTATAAACTACCCCTGACTTCCAACCGGTGGTCTTTGCGACTGCAGGTTGCCTCCAAGATGGAGGGATCGGAGCCGTCGCACGTCCAGCCCACTCCTGAGGCGCCCGTCAACCCGGTCGCGAACGACGGGAATGACGGACAAAATAGACAAGATGGACCTGTGGCAGCGACAGGCGGTGTCACAGACGAACAATGGCGCGTGATGATGGATGTTGTGATGGCCATCTATGAGTATCGAGAGGAGGAGTAAGTTCTCGGTCCTTCTCGATTCCCTGTCGCATACCCCAGGCTAACCACTCCCGTCTCTTCGTGAACACGCAGTAACCATGACCCATCGAAACTGTTCCAACGCAGCGTCAACAAGCGCAATGTCCCCGACTATTATGATATCATCAAGGAGCCCATGGCCCTGAGTATCCTGAAGCAAAAGATCAACAAGAGAGAGTACAAGCAATTTACTGAGTTTGTGCGAGACTGCGCCCTGGTAACTATACCATGTTCCCTACCTGCTCAACCCGGAGAATATGTGGGCAAGCTCTTTTGGAACCGCACGCTGATCATAGTAGATCCCTCATAATGCGCAAACCTATAATCGTCCTAAATCTCAAGCATATGAAGATGCACTTGTCATCAAGGTTGGTTGCGCTTTGTCTCCCCGTATAGTTGTTTTGACTCCGCACAAGGCCAACTTGAGTTATTGACGATCTTCTTTCAAGGATGTCTTTATTGCAGAGTTCCAGAAGCTGGTGAACACAGGGATTATTTCCGCTGAAGAAGCTGAGCTTCCGGATCTTGGCGAGATTCCCGAGGCAGATCCTCTTCCCGAAGAGGAAGAGGAAGAGGAAGAAGATGACGACGACGAAGACGAAGAGGAAGATTCGGACGATGATAGTCGAAGAAAGAAGAAGCGAGGTCCGCGATCGGGAAGCAAACGCGAGGGTAACAAAGAAGACAGTCAAAAGCCCAATGACCCCGAATTGAGAAAGAAGCGGGGCCGGCCACCGCGCGTCGATACCCCAATGGAGGCTAGGATCAAGGCGGTTCTGAAGGGCATTCGAAAGCTGAAAGGACCGGGGGGTCTCAAAGTCGTCCACTTTGAGCGCCTACCTGACAAGGGTACCTACCCGGACTACTATGTGGAAACCAAAGAGCCGATTGCCATCGACATTATCAAGCGGAAGTCGAAACGGAAGAAGTACAGCTCGGTTGATCACTTCATGAGGGACATGGACCTCATGTTCAACAATGCGAAGGCTTACAACCAGCCCGAAAGCCAAATATACAAAGATGCTGTTGATCTGCAAGTGGAGGCCCGAAAGCTTGCCGAGCTTGAGAAAAAGAAGCCGGACAGTGAATATCTCATGGAAGATGGGCGCCTACCCTTGCCCGACGGCATCCTTTACAAAAACGAGCTTTGGAAGGTCGGTGATTGGGTTCACATCCAAAACCCCAATGATGTGACAAAACCCATTGTTGCCCAAATATACCGCACTTGGCAAGATGGTGACGGCGACAAATGGATCAATGCCTGCTGGTATTATCGCCCAGAGCAAACTGTCCATCATTTTGAAAAGCACTTCTACCCAAATGAAGTGGTCAAGACCGGCCAATACCGAGACCACCGAATTGAAGAGATAGTAGATCGGTGCTTTGTGATGTTTTTCACTCGCTACAATCGCGGGCGACCCAGAGGCCTTCCACTTGATAAGGACGTATATGTCTGCGAAGCTCGGTACAACGAAGAGAAACATAAGCTGAATAAAATCAAGACATGGGCTAGCTGTCTCCCAGATGAGGTCAGAGAGAAAGATTACGAGATGGATCTCTTCGATGTCCCTCGCAGAATCAAAAAAATCCCCAGTCCCATCAAGCATTTGCTCAAGAACGAGGCCAAAGAAACGGATGATCTTCCAAAACCCACCTGGGGAGCTGACAATGCACCTCCAGCAATAGGCGCCGTTCATCGTCGCCCGCGGGATGAAAATGTGAGGCCTTCCCCTCCCTCTATTTTGTACCCATTCGATCCCCGCCTAGTCTTATTAGGTATCTTGACGACTAATAATTTATTTCTCCAGGAATCTCCACCCCCAGAACCATCGCCTTCTCCGCCCCCAATGCCTCGACAATCGTTGCCCTCTGCCCCCATTCGACAACCTTCCACTAACCAGCCATCTACACGACCGAGCATAGAAAGCCAAGGTCCAAGTGCTATAGCGGCGGCTCCCCCACCAGCGCGATCTCCGGCTGTACCTGTCGCGCCGGTACAGCATTCCCCGGCAGCCGTCGCCCCGGTGACTTTCCAACCACCCCAAGTGCCATCAGGCCAGCCGTACCAACCCGCCCTGCAGAGACGCCCCAGCAGTCTTGCACCGCAACCTTCACATCCGGTCGCATACCAGGCATCTGCAGTGTCGCATCCTTATGCTTCTGCGCAACCGTCACCATACGCACCCTACCAAGCCAGTCGCATGGCAATGCCGGGCGCATCGGTGTATAACCCCAATGCCCCTCGCCCAATCGAGGTATTCCACCTAAGTGAAGCCGCAAACACAGCGATCCCGGAAGATATCCGGGGGCAATTCCACTGTGACGACCAGGGCCGTGTGCTTTTCTTCGCTTCTCCGCCGCTGGATATCATCCCATCGACTCAGCAAAGACTCGGCCACTCACTCAAGTATCTGGCCGCCAAAGAGGAGCGCCGGAAGCTTGTCGAGCAAAAGAAGCGCAAGGAACGCACGGAGCAGGAAGAGCTCGAACAGCGAGCCAAGCGCCAACGAGCCGACGAGGAGACGGCTCTTGCGGCCAAAGTAGAAGATCTGACTGCCCGAGCAGTCAACACCATGACGAGTCAGATAGTGTCCGGCACGGACACTCTCTACGAAATCCTGTACGCTGATCAGGCCGAGAAGGCAAAGTCGGCTGCGAACCGGTCTCGCGAGCAGCAGGTGCTTGCCGATCAGGCCTCCCGCAAGAGAACGGCTCAGATCCTAGCGCATTCGGAGGAAGCTCGCTTCGTGAGCCTGAAAGGTAGTCCCATGTACATGCATGGCATTGATACTGGAACCTAATCGAGCCAGTCTGCTGTCTGTTCGACAACGGCACAGTTTATCTTGATTCAGATCGATCTTTGGGGGACCAAGGCAGGATATGGTTCGTTCTTGTTTAGATTAGCGTAGGCTTAAACTAATGTATGGAATGCCTTTATCGTTCAAATCATCCTCGTACTCGACTCGTTAGACACTATCTGTCGATGACAGTAGTCTGCAATCCATTCCCCGGGTTTCCAACTGGGAGGCTAGACTGTCTACATGATTAATGAACTAGTCTCTGAACATAACACATAGACAGTGTCCGTCGAGGCAAAATTGAACGATAAAAGTGTACTTTAAGAACTCAAGAGAAGGTCATGACTCGTGAATTGGGAATTGAGAATAGATCAAGAGATGAGAGGGTAAGCGATGAGACCAGAATACATAAAAATGTACACATTCCAAGGCATGTAGAGGCGACAAAAAAAGGCAAGAAGAGTGAAGCAAAAAGAGAAAAGACAGAGCAGACCCAGCAGATTGGAAACAGATCTACAATTAAATGTTCGCTCCTGTATCAACTTGTACGTCCTGGAGCATCAGGAAGTTGTGACATCCCAACTGGACAAGGAAGGATGGTTCTCACAGCCAAGTAATAAGGGGGAAGTGGGGGGGGGGGGGGGGTTGTAGCCTCCAAAACACTCATGAATAGACCCAACAGTTGTCTAATGGCCGATTATCAAATGCAAGAAAGAAAAAGGTTGCAGTGATTTCCCGGGATTCGGTTAACCAGTCTATGCAAAAGAAACAAAAAGATGTAAAGAAAAGCCCCAACTGTAGTCGCTCCAACATAGGCATTTGAGATGATCTTTTGGAAGTATTCAAAATTAGGCTCGTTATGGACTGGTACCGGCGTGACTTTTATTGTTTCGTCCGATCTTTTTTAGGCGGGAGGGGGTTTTTGTTGCTGAGGGGAGCAGGTGACAGATAGGAAACTCGACTTTGCGTTCAAAACGATCCGGTGCTTGCCATGTCACAAACCATGTGATAGGATATTTTCTCGGCTTCCAATTGTCAACTAAGACTGAAAACCGGAGTTGCTGGTCGGGGTCGTGTCCTCATCATTGGAATCCGTCTTGTGCATATCCCATGAGGCACTGTTACGCTTGTTGTTGCTCTCCTCCTCTTCCATAGAGAACACCAAATCACTCTGTTCTTCGTCAATCCTGCTTGTGCTGACAGGGGACGAGACGGTTCTGTCTAGGCGACTGCTGGGGCCGGAGGACGACAAATGGCGAGCCGATCCAGGGTGAAGAGACATGCCACTAAGTTGCTGAGAAATCATGGATGTCGACGTTTGTCGGGAAGGAGAAGCAAATGTAGGAATATCACCAGAGACCTGGCGACTTCCGATGGGACCCAGGCTGGGGCTTCTCATTTCCAGGTTCAGCGAAGACTCACGAAGAGGCGATCCGACTTGGGGAAATGATGTACCATGGGCATCTTCTTCTTTTTTCTGTCGCTGCTTTGCAAACAAGGCACCAAAGCGAGAGGGACTAGACGCCAGGGGCGAGCCCATCTTTGACAGGCTAGTGCCAGTCATCCCAAGCCCACTGAGATCACGATGGCTTGAACTAAGCTCATGATCAGTTCGAGATAGACGACGGAGCCGCTCCTGGGGCGTCAGTACGTCATCGTGTAGATTCATAGGCAGAAAATCTTCTTCCATGGGAAAATTGCTTTCGTCCCAATCTTCCAGAGCTGTGGGTCGAGGCACGCTGGCAGAGAGCATGCGAGGTTTGACGGGCCGTTGGGAATGCATGAACCGCGGACCTAGACCATCTTCGGGTATCCCAGGAGGAGACGATCCAATAAAGGAAGCTTTCCGGGCGTCCGGTCCGTAGGCCGCGTCGCGGAGATTGCGGAGGGCGTCTGATGGAACCCCAATCCGTTGAGCAGGTGGCGAAGAAAGTTCCAAACCAAATTTCGAGGGCATGGAGGCGGCTACGGGACCATAGCGGGCAGCATGGGATATTCCCTGGCTGTCAAAAGACGCAGGTAAAGGCGCATCAAGAGCGGTCAAGTGGTGGTGGTTTGGAGACATGGGAAAGCGAATGTCGTCGACTGGCGACCCGTACTTAGAACCCGTATCCGAAGCCAGGCCCGTATCGATCGTAGGAATGGCATCATATGGCGGGGGCTGCGACTGCGGCTGCTGCTGTTGCTGCTGCGGATGTAATGAGGCGAAATCTTCTTGGTGTTGAATTTGGGAGGCATAGCGTGGGTCGTGGCCATTCATTCGTTGTTGCGAAAGCACCGAATTGGTCAGGGCCGAATCTTGGTTGACATAGGCTTGTGGATTGACGCGGCCACCTAGATTGAGATGGCTTCCACCCATTGCAGTGGGTCGATTAACCCGCCGTCCATCGGGGAGGATATGCGCCAGCGCACATTTGGCACCGAATTTGCAGTTTCCCTAGAGCAATGAGTATTTTAGTCACCTGCAGTCAGGCTCCTCTTCGCCCGGTTTCCCCCGATTCATACCTTGGTAAAGTATTTACACGGCGCATAGTCGATTGCAGCATCGGTGGAATGCAGAAAGGGACAGGCAGGCCCAGCCTGGCAAGCTCCCTGGCGATAGAATTTGCAGGGTACATGCTTGGTGTCTGTGGCGAAGTCAACCTCCAACCCAAAAAAAAAAAAAAAAAAAAAAAAAAAAGAAAAGAAAAGGGAAAACCCCTCTACGTCCCTGCCGCTGGGACAAGAGATATCAGTGCTTCTCCAGCCAGAGCAGAGAATCTGTGATTATCACGGCCCGGCATGAAACACAAGCTGTTAGGGGATGGAGAGGGGGGACCCTTACTGCTTTGGTTGGGAGGGCTCCGAGCAGTCATGTCGAGGCCGGAGAGATTGCGGGAATGACCGTTTTGCAGCGGTTGAGCCCCGGAGGGAACGGGGAGAGGAGCACGACTTTTCATATCAATGGAAAGTCGAGACGAGCTGGTCGGGGAGGCAGACAGGATAGGGATCAGGAGCAGGACGGGGGAATGCGAGAGGCCGACAGCAGCATGGCCAGGAGGGAGACGAGACTGTGAGAAGGAGGAAGAGCGAGAACTGGGCGAATATCCGGAGGGGTTTATCGGTCTCCACTCGGTGGGGAAGTTGCGCCAAACCGGTTGGCGGTGAGCCTCGAGGTCGACCTCACCACTTCTCCGATATCTACGCCCGGAGTACCGCCGCCTGGCTGTCGGTCGCCGTACATCGGAGAGGTACTCGGCAAGTACTCTCCTTCCCTGACGAGATACCTGCGGGGTACCTCGTTAGTAGTAGCTAGGACCATACATATCTAGGTCCTTTGGAGGTAGTCACCCGCAGGAGTATATATCTACATACAAACATCTATATATGTCCTTACCATACGCCTATGAACGTGAACATAGACATGGACATGAATGGACATTAACATCAAGGTGGATATCGATCTACAAAGAAACAGCCATAGAAAGACGCCGTGGCATGGTAGCTAGAAAATTAATTGCCTCGCGCATCCAAGGAAGACTGCGTCGGATCACGTCGCATGACAGGGTCGACAGGTCTAATGGCGTCATTCTCGCACGCTCACGCCCATCCGTCATCTGCAGGAAGACCATGACTAGCTCCACTGACTCGCTCACTGTCCATCTGATGCAAGCAAACTACCCTGCCATCCAGAAGCTTTCATTCAAACATTATTTCCATCCCCCGCCGATCATCGCTCGTTTCTCCACAAATCCCGTATCCCCAGATCCCCCCTGTCTGCAAAGAAACCTCTAATGTTTTTCTTTTTTTTTTTGCCCTTCTGTTGATCTTCAAGAGTGCAAAGTATTCTCTTAAAAAATAGCAATCATAAAAGAAGGCTGGGGCTCCTCCTTCAATCGAAAGGATCCCCCTCGAGCCCTAAGGATTCCTGCGCGCCGGGGTTAGGGAGGGTTAGGGCAACCATGTCGTAACTACAAAATCCGAGTTATATGCACGTACCCATAGCTCGCCCCGACTCATGCCCCCCGGAATCACCTCCGAGCACCTCTGCCACATGTCGAAACAAATTCGACGGCGGGCTTTAGCATGCTTTTGCCACATCTTCCAGTCTCGACTGACATCGGCGAAACTTTCCTGAGATATGCAGCAGGAATTCGCCTGCCCGTCCCGTGACAGATGGGTGATGGTGGATTGAATTTCTTGTTCTAGCTGGTTGATATCACGCCGGAGGTCACAAAGTAAGGGTCTTGTACCGAGGGCCAGCAGCTCCACATGCGCCTGTTTTTCGTCTTCCTTGAGGCAGCCGAGCTGCTGCCGCAGACTCTGGGTTTCTTCATCGATAGAAGCCAGGGTCTCTGAAATGTCCGCATTCGGTCCCTCCTGTAGGGCGTGGTAAACGGTTTGCTTCCCTAAGCCATCGGAACTTAGCGCTCCTATCATCCTCCAGGCTTCGGGCAGGGAATGCTCACGGACCGGATGTTTTCCCTGCAATTCGTTTGCTCTGGTGCAGTTCCCTGAGAGCCTTGGTTGCGTAGGCTTGGACGAGAAGTGGTCGTGGTTAGAGGCAACACTCGAGTCCAGACCCACGGACTGTCTCACCTTTGGTGACTTTGTTATGTAGGTTCGTCGAGACGTCGTTAGCCTATTTAGAATAAGCCTCGAGAGATAGATCGTTGGTGTGAACCACGTCTGAACTGACCGAGTATGGACGACTGCTGGAATTAAGCGCCGAGCAATCATAGTAGGGGAAAAGTCTCAAGCATACTTCTGCTTCTCTAAAATCGCCAACAGCAACCCTATAAGTCAAGCTCACGGTAGCTCGGCAAATAAGCTTACGAAGATAATCCAGAATCAACACAGTCCCTTCCTGGGCAACTGATCAGGGTTAGGTACACTCGAAGACCAGAGGTTGTTGGCGGCCACCAGCTCACCATCACTCGAACCTTTGCCGCTTCCCGGTTCTGAAGACATGGTGGTTGACGAGAAGTCGGTTATATCATCGATGAGCGAGTCGACGTTGATGCAAGTGGTTGTCGCTGGCGTGGTTGACATGCAGTTTCTACAGAACTGAAGGCTGGATCGAACTCTCCCCTCAACGCACGTCACGTGGAGTGCAAACGCCTCTCAGCTTCGGTCTACATCTTCTACCCCGATTGACCCGGGACTCTAGACAAGGCTTGGAACAGTCAACATCGAACTTGATAAGTTTTATTGATACGCTTATTTAATGTAGGATTGGTTGTAGCTTGTAACAAAAATCATATTCCCCCAATACGAAAAAAGTAAACCCCAGTCGTGCAAGCTATGAAACAAAAAGTCGAGAAGACCGGAGATGAAATGCAAGGGCAACATGAACCTAGGTTGGACACAGAAAGTAGAGTAAAGAGAAGATAGAGGAGACTAGAAAATAAGTAAAAGAAAAGAAACCTAAATGTCAAATCGCCAGCTTCATCTTGCATTGAAAGATCACTTTGGTTTGTTCTCAAGACCCATCAAAGCAAACTACAGTAGCAGACGACGAAGGCTCCTCTCTCCAAAATATTGAAATAGGAAGCGGCAGGATGATTTAGGACACAGCTTGACCTAAGGGTATCACATCACAATCTGCGGAGGCATTAATACTGAGTCTAATTCTCGGGGACGTCACTATACTTACGCAATCGTTGTCTTTCTCTACCTTTGGAACTCCCATCTCCTCGAAAGTTTTCGGTCCTTTGCCCGCTTTTGCAGCCTGTGGTTTGGCCGGCGGCGCGGCGGGAGGTGGCGGTTGGCTAGTTGAGCTTGATGAAGATGCAGGAGGCTTGGGGGTGGACGGCGCGCTGGAGGGCTGCATGGATTCGGTACGAGGAGGGAAATTTGCCGACGAAGGCGAGGACATGCCGGACATGCCGGACCGTGGAGAGCCCACCGGGCCGCCTTGGGGAGGAGAGACGGGTGTCCTCGCCTGCCTGGGGTCTGGCATATTATCAAGCCGCTGGGGACGCCGGCGAGCATCAGCATTGGCGGACTCCAGAGGCGCCGAGTATCCGATATCCAGCTTAGGGGCCGCGGACATGGGGCTTGTTGGCCCTGCGCTCGAAGTCCCGGGCGCAGGAGATCGGTAGCCCATGGGCCCAGGTCCGTACGAGGCGGCGCGGTTGTAGTTGGGTGCTGCTGCGTTGGAGCGAATGTTGGGGTTGATGCCAAAGGCCGAGCTCGGTCGTGGGTCGGGCATGCCGTAACCGGGCGGGTACACTGGGCGGGCGCGAGACGATGGTCTGTCCGGGTATGGAGCATTCGCCGGCGGGCCACTGTCAGAAAGGCTCATTCGAGACGGATCGGGCATCTCAATGTTCTCCTGGGTGGATTGCACGGAATCACCTCGCTGGTGGGAGCCATAGCGGGACTTGATCCGGGCGATCGCAACTTGTTCGTGATCTTTCCGCGATAGGGTCTTCGAGCGCGAGATACTGTCGATCCGGCCCGTTGCATCTTTGTTGCCGTTTGCTGCGGCCTTGGCATACCAGCTTCTCGCTTCCTTGATGTCCGACGGAACGTAGATGCCGACCTCGTAGAAGTAGCCCAGAGCAAACTCGGCGGTGGGAAAGCCGCTCTGGGCGGCGCGCTGGGCATACGTAAAGGCCAGCTCGTCATTCTTTTCGAAGACACCCTCGTGTCCGCAAAGGAACCATTTACTGATTGCCATTTCAGCTTCCGGCTCCCCCTGGCGGGCGGCCAACGCGTTGTAATGTAGAGACAGGGCCGGGTTGAAATCGCAGCCAAGCTGGCATAGTTCGTAAGCGGCGCCTATTTTCACCTGTGCTTTGGCGAACCCGTGATAGGCGGCTTTCTCGATGTTGACTCGCGCGGCATTGAGGTCGAGGGGTAGGTAGCTCTCGGGGACGTTCACTTGGGGCAACTCTCGCGCCAAAAGCATGCCGTAAACCTGTACACAGTGTGAGGCCTTGCAGGGAACTTGAAACCATGAAGAGGGCTACGCACGTAGGCGCCCTGAGGGGCATTCTCATCGCATGATTGCGCGGCAAGGTTGATATACTCCAGACCCGTTTGGTAGTCCTGGTGTTGTCCATGTTGGCCTAGAAGGATCATCATTCCTAGACGCTGTCATACCAAGTCAGCATGTGCCCGGACGGTTCTCGGACGGCCGGGGACGTACGTAGAAGGAGGCAGAGTCTGCCAGTGCGACGCCTTTCTGGTAGTGACGGATGGCCTTCTCCGGCTCCCCGGAGCTCTCAAATTGCATTCCAATGCGGTATTCAGCTCTCGCATATCCTTTCTCCGCCGCCCTCGAGTAGGCGCGGAATGCCTCTTTCTTGTCGACGCGGAATCCGAATTTGCCGAACTCCAACCACATGCCTTTGATGAATTCGGCCTTGGGGTGGAACTGGTCGGCCAGGAAGCTCACGATATTCATGGCGTCGACCTTGAGCTGACGCTCCACCGGGGGCGTTTGCGGTCGCGGCGGCTGGATCAAAGACAGGCGGGCTTCATTCTGGGTGGCGGCCTCAACATAAGCCAGAGCATCCTGAGCCCATGCCAGCTGCATCTCCGGGTCATTTGAGGACAGCACCGGGATCCGGGCCTTCTCCAGACTGGCCTCTTTCTGCTCATCGGTAGGGGGCACGTTTGGCGGGGGGTTGCGAAGGACGGGAAACGGGGAGAAGTTGGGCGACTCCATGTTGTCGTAGACGGCGGACTGCTCGTAGTGGGCGGCTTCGTAGCCGGAGGGGACAGGCTGACCTTGGACTACGGCAGCGGAGGAAGTTCGCTCGGGGAAACGCGATCGATCATATTGAGCGGGAGAAGCGTGTTGACTGCGGTGAGGGTTTCGGGCCTCATGCTCGAGGTGGGCAATATTGTCCTGCATCGTCTCCGGAACTTCAGGCATCACCCTGGAGATTATTGGTAATTTTAGATTAGCAACGACATCCACCGAACCAGAAGGGGCTGGAGCAAAGACTAGTCGTCTAGCCTGGCGTAGTCCTGAACACTTTTTGCTTTTTTGTTTTTTGTTTTGTGTTTTGTTCTGGATTTTTTAATTTCCCACCCCTTCCTGGTTTTATCCGCAACTAAAGGAATCGGGGCGGTCGCACCTTTGAGGAGAAGGGGATATGACTTCTGGCATGTAAAAATCATCTTGGCCCCCTGGATACCATGTAGCACCTAACCGTGGCTGACCGCGACCTTGCGGAGGCCTGTTCATTGTTGGGCGCCTGTTTTTCGGTTTTTTTTTTTTTTTTTTTTTTTTTTTATTCTCCGTATCTGAGACTATTGGATTTTGGATTTTTTTGGATTGATTGTTAGTGTTCTGTTTCTTTTTATGAATTAAACCGTTGTTTTCTTTTCGAGGTCGCCCCCTTTGTTAATGGCGTGGGGTAGTTAATGGTTTTCTTTCTTTCCCTTTCCTTTTCTTTCTTTCCTTTTTCCCTTTGTTTTGTTTTGGGGGGGGGGTTTTTTCCGGGATTGTTGTTAAATAAGCCCCAGCTAGGTAATTAATGAAGGAGGGGTGTTGGCGCAAACTAGGAGGGACTCGGTTTCAACGATTCATCAATAATAGATGAGTTAGAGGATCTAGAGTAATGGTAATGGAATTCAGGGAGGGCTGGAGTGGAAATGAAAAAAAAAAGGAAATCCAATCCAATCAATAATTAAAATGCAATAAAAAAACCCAGGGGGAGGGGCAAGAAAAAAAAGGCCCGCGGGGAAGACAGGTGTAAGGAAAGGCTGCGAACAAGTGAACGTTATCCACCGTGAAACACGGACAAGAAACTAGAGTCAATAGTCAGAGCTGTCAATTCGGGTCAAAGGGGCAAAAAGGCCTGACGGAGTAAGTTCAAGGCTTTTAAGTAAAGTCTGGCGACGGTCGTATACTCGGATAGTAATTCTATTCCTATTATTATTGTTGTTCTTATGCCGTAATTTCCCCATCCAGACCCTGTTCAGTCTGGTCAAGTATCCCGGGTGTCGGAGATAGAGTATTCGTAGAGTATCGGCAGGTACTCTCGAGTATCACATGGATATTGATAGGGATATGAGTGATCAAATAACTCATCCGTTGACATTAATTATTAGTACTTCTCAGATTATTCTTTCATTTCCTACATTTAAATCAAGATTTGTCGTCCATGCAAAGGTCGGAGGAGACAGGAGCTAAAATATTACTTCCCGAACTAGATATCTATTAATAAAATCTTATGCAAGAGTCGGCTGTGACCCACAGGGGGAAGAATGAGTATTATTAGTCTCCAATAGTTAGATGAACCCTTCGTCATCGCCATCTTCCATTCCATGGCACTAACAGAGTGTACTCAGTATGTCCATCGTCCATGGTTTTATCAGCCTCCTTCGGACGTACCCTTCGTGTCTACCTGAGTGGATGGTGAATGACCCCACCATTGATAATCAGATACAAGTGAACATAACGTGTAAACAATCCATGATTGAATAGGTACCCTGTAAAGGACTATACGGTAGGTACCTATACGCAGGTGGTCATATGTGAAACAAGACCTCAGGTGACCTGTGGTGCCTGAGGCTGTATATATGGGATTACCTAATCCGCCATCGTACATCGGGTTTGCAGGCAAAGAATCAATCGGTGTCCAGCGATTACATACGGTGTACAGTATCTAGGGTGTAGTTAGAAAGAACTGCTAGCCCAATCCTAAATCCTATGTCATTGATCTAGTAATTTCTGTTCCAGACACGTGGAAGAGCGCCATGGACCTCCCTCCGGAAAATTCCAATTTCAATCACCCTTACTCGCCCTACGACATCCAGCTTCAGTTTATGCGCGCCCTTTACACTTCTCTCGAAGAGGGCAAGGTTGCTGTTTTTGAGTCTCCTACTGGTATGCCCCTCCCATCTCCTTCGCGAGCTATATGCTAATGGTACTCATTCTAGGCACGGTGAGTGACGCAAATCCTGTCCATGCCATGGTATTGCTCTCAAGTCTTCATGGTTTTCAGTACCTAGATAGGATTTACGGGCCTGTAGTCGTCAGGGCTTTCAAATCAAATTTCTTCCCTTTGGTCCTCTCTCTTTGCGCTTGCGGTTGCTAAATCCCGACTTTCTTTTCTGCTAGGGAAAATCCTTAAGTTTAATATGCGGCTCTTTAACTTGGTTGCGCGACCACCAGCGCAAGGCTCTTCAAGAACTAGTGGAGAACACCGCATGTGAGTCATGAATCAACTCGGATGTCGGGTGAACTCTCCTAATTCGTGATCATTCAGGCGATGAAGACGAACCGGAATGGATGAAAGAGTTCGCAAAACGCGAATCAAGCCGGGCCATTGCTGAAAAGAAGAAGAAACTCGAATCAAGGTTGGCAAAGATAAGGCAAGAAGAAGAGAAGCTTAGAGTGGCCCACGAAAGCTCCGAGGGTCCTCGGAAACGGCAGGTATGGTAGATGCCAACTACCTGCAATAGAGACATTAGTACTAATGTGCTCCTCCCAGAAATTGAATGCCCCATCCACAGGTTTAGATGCACAGAATGAAGATTCTTTCGCATTAGATGACTATGAAAGTGATGATGAGGAGCAAAAGAATTCGCGAATTCCATCAGGCCAACCTAGTGGCCTGTCTGCCAGCACCCTGAATTTGCTGGAGCAGTTCAAAGGAAAACTCTCAAGCAAACCGGCGGAGGAAGACGACGGCGAAGGGTTGACTAGAATTTTCTACTGCTCCAGAACCCATTCTCAATTGACACAATTTGCGAGCGAGCTAAGGCGCGTTGCGCTGCCGTCAAGCGTGCCGAAGGAGCTCGGTCTTGATATTACAGGCGAAGAAGAGCTCGAAGAGCGGATCAAGCATCTATCGCTTGGGTCCCGTAGAAACCTGTGCATTAACCCCAAAGTGGCTGCTTTGGAAAACCCAACCGCAATCAATGAACGATGCCTTGAGTTACAACAACCTGGCGTTGCAGCCCAGGACAAATGCCCCTTCCTACCACCCAAAAACGATGAAGCGCCACTACTGAACTTCCGCGATCATGCGCTAGCGACAGTCAAAGACATTGAAGATTTGGGAAACATTGGCAAGAAGATCGGAACCTGTCCCTACTACGCATCCCGATCGGTTATCAAACACACCGAGGTAGGCCAACCGTTCGGTCCTTTACGAATATGTTGCTAATGCACCAAGATCGTGACGCTTCCATACCCCCTTCTCCTTCAGCGATCAGCAAGAGAGGCCCTAGAAATCTCTGTCAAAGATCACATCGTCATTATTGACGAGGCGCACAACCTGATGGACGCCATCTCTAACATCCACTCAGTCACAATCACGCTTGCCCAACTAGAGACTTCGATCTCACAGTTAACAACCTACGCGCGGAAGTTCAAGACGCGCTTAAAAGGGAAGAATAGAAGCTACATCGCACAAGCCATTAGACTTGTCAGTTCAATAGCGGATCATCTTCGGTCTCTCAAAAACACTTCTGCTCCTGAGGGCTGCGTGCAATCTTCAGATCTTATGGCTGGAAGAGGTGTTGACCAAATTAACCCATACAAACTGTGTAGGTACTTACAGGAGAGCAAACTGGCTAGGAAGGTTGATGGCTATGTTGAGTTTTCCAGGAAAAAGGATCACCAAGCACGCTTGAGACCTACCACGCCCGTTCTATTCCACATATCAAGTTTTCTTTTACCTCTGATGAACCTTTCGGCTGAAGGACGGCTATTCTATTCGAAAACTCCGGACGATATTCAATTGAAGTACATGCTACTCGACCCAACAAACCATTTCAGGGAGATAGTTGAAGACGCTCGGGCAGTCATCTTAGCGGGTGGAACAATGTCTCCAGTAGGACGAATTTCCTCTTATCTTACTGCCAACGAGCTAACACCCGTATCAAGGTGGCAGATTATATGAATCATTTATTCTCATATGTGCCACCCAATCGGATAGATACCTTTAGCTATGGCCATGTCATCCCATCAGAAAACCTGGTTGCACATACTCTCGGAAAGGGGATCTTCGGTTCCGATTTCGATTTCACCTATGAAAATCGAAATTCCGAGAAGACAGTAAGCGTTATTACACTGAACGAGCAATCTTATATCTTCTCTAACCACGCTACACAGATCAACGATCTTGGGCGAACAATTGCAGCATTCTGTCAGGTGATCCCCGACGGCGTGGTTGCCTTCTTCCCAAGCTTTGATTATCTACATCAGGTTATAAGCACATGGAAGAAGCCCATTCCGGGCGACGAGAGCAAAACCGTCTACGATTTAATCGAGCGGAAGAAACCCATTGTGTACGAGTCCCGCGATATGACGGTCACAACCGAGGAGCTCCTTCAGAATTATGCTCGGACCATTGAAGCGGGTAAAGGGGCTCTGCTCTTATCGGTAGTAGGGGGTAAATTGTCCGAAGGCATTAACTTCTCCGACATATTAGGGCGAGGGGTTTTGATTGTTGGTTTGCCATTTCCGAATATACACAGCGCGGTTTGGCAGGCCAAAATTCAGTACGTCGAGCAGAAGGCCTACGCGCAAAGCTCCGGGGCCAACCGACAGTCAGCTGCCAAAGCCGCGGGCAGAGATTTCTACGAGAATGCCTGCATGCGAGCAGTCAACCAAAGTATTGGACGGGCTATCAGACACCAGAATGATTACGCCGCCATTGTGCTCATTGACAAGCGGTATCAGAACGCTAGTGTACAAGGGAAACTGCCGACATGGATTAAGCAGAGTATGGCGAGCACTTCTGTGCAGCGACCGACGGGGGCAGTAGTAGGCAGTCTTGCTAAATTTTTCACTGGAAAGAGAGGAAGGCAGGAACCAAAATCGATAGAATACGAACGATGATGATGAAGGAATTGGCCAAGTTAATGCTCAACAAGTAACGGATAGTTCATAGTTATTGATAGATCCGCCAACTAAAGTGCCAAGGCCATTATTCAGCGGCGCCGGAGACTGGGTCACGTGTCTCACCGCCCGCGAGCGGCAAAAGTCAGGGTTTGACCCTACTTCAGGGCAAGCGAACGGTTTAGCGCACACTCTAGCCGCCCCGGGCCTTGATTTCAACATCTGAGCCAGCACCCAGGACCGCCATCCCCCATCGCCAAATACTTGTCGTTCACAGCACCGTCGACAAGATGCCTACCCGTTTCTCCAAGACCAGGAAAGCGTGAGTCTATGACCGTCCGTTATATCGCCTCGAAAAGCGGTTGAACGTTGTCATTGCCGCGAAATGCGACAGCGCCGATGTTCCCGCTCGACCCCTTTGGATACTGCACTGAAAGCCTTTCGAATGAGCACAACGACTGACTGAGTTTTTTCTCTCTCATAGCCGCGGTCATGTTTCCGCCGGTTACGGACGTATCGGCAAGCACCGCAAGCATCCCGGTGGTCGTGGTATGGCCGGTGGTCAGCACCACCACCGCACTAACCTCGACAAGTACCACCCCGGTTACTTCGGTAAGGTCGGTATGAGGTACTTCCACAAGACCCAGCAGCAGTTCTGGAAGCCCACGATCAACCTCGACAAGGTACGTTTGAAGATTTGGAAATCGGACCCACGAGACGAAAGACAGTCCCCGGAGCCAGCAATCGCGTGAAAAGGGATAGGATAAAGGAAACCGCGAAATTGAGGGCAATGGGAATGGGTTTCGTTCTTTTGGGAGGGTTCTTGGATTATAGAAGCAAATGCTGATAAGAGATACCTTACAGCTGTGGACCCTTGTCCCCGCCGAGAAGCGTGAGGCCTACCTGAGCGGCCAGAAGACCGACACTGCCCCCGTTATCGACCTCCTTCCCCTCGGATACTCCAAGGTCCTCGGAAAGGGCCGTATCCCCGAAGTCCCCGTCGTCGTTCGCGCCCGGTACTTCAGCCGTGATGCCGAGAAGAAGATCAAGGAGGCCGGTGGTGTCGTTGAGCTGGTGGCTTAAGCTGGAATGACAACGGAAAGACAAAGTATTAGGCGGGTGCTGCGCTGGCCATGGTCAGTGTAATAGAGGATCAGTCTCATCAGGAAAGGGATCTGAGAACTCGACAAAGGGAACCGCGGATCGAAACGCATTGGTCCGTGTATTTAACAAAAATAAAGGGACTTTGTTTGCGATGAGCATGTTGTGGCCTCCAGACGCCCTTACGATCTCACTCTATTAAACAAAATACCATCAGTGACGTTTTGACTTTTTTCGCGATTCTTTACTTCGCCCAATTCTCTCCAAAGTCACTTGATCTTGATCTTTGCATATTAAATGTGCTCTGTCCTTGCACGTAGAACATATCAGACAATGCCCTCGATCTTGGAGTTGCTGCGTACGGTGTAATCGAGTTTTCTGGCTTGGCGGGTGTTTCTGATATTCTTGGTTCATATATCTTTAACCTCGAGAAAGTAGTATTTAGCGGCCCATTTCTGTTGTAAGCGTTCTAGACGCCTGAGGCGCAAATGCCAAGCTTTTTACCGTTTTTCTGTCTCTATGACCATTTTATGATGTAAATCCCTTAGAGGGTCCAATATCTTAGATTGTCTACAACTTCAATCAACTAGACACCCTGATAAGTACGGTGGCCGGCCCGGAAACCGACTATATACAAAGTGGCATGAGCCCCCAGGTGTAATTTAGCACCAGGGATAATCATAAGACATAAGATCATATCTTGGCTTCGCGGACGGAACCCGAGCTTTCTTTGCCCGCTTCTAAGGTCTCACGAATAAACCGGACGGCTTCGGTGACCATCTTAGGGGTAACTTCATGGCCGGCATTCTCATCAATAATGTCTTCCAGCGTCACCGCACCATCAGCGAACCACCCGTCCGGCCCTACGCTCTGTTTCAGCCAGGTGAGAAAGTCCTGACCCCGGTGATACGGCACCAGTTTATCCACACCCCCGGACAGATTGAGGATCTTTTTGTTTGCCAGGCAGCGAGTAAGAAGAGGGCGCAGGGCCTGCTTTTCTTCCTCGTTCGGTTCCCGCACAGGCCCATCTGATCTCGAGCCGAGGTAGCCCAGAAGCAAGGCGGCAGGATCGTAGTTGCGGACGGTATCCAGGAGTGTGGAAGGGAACGCCTCGGAACCCAGGAACTGGGCGCCGGGCGGGTTGCTCTCCGTCCAGGCCGCGAGCTTTGACAATCTGGCCCGGTCCGCCATGAGATTCACATAATCCGGACAACCGATGATGACCACGCCCGCACTCACGCGAGGCTCGTGCAGAATGCAGCTCCACGCCGCATGGCCGCCTAGGGATACACCAAGGACAAGGTTGTCAGAGATGCGCCGTTGAGAAGTGGGGAAGATGAATGACGGAAGATAGTCCATCAACAGTGATACATCCCGTGCGGTGCCCTCTACATTTCCACCATGTCAGTTCCGGCAGGAGACCCAGTCCATTTAGGTGTTCACGGCAACACTTACGGAAGATGGAGAACATGTCCTGCGCATGTCGGAGGTTGCCCTGTCTCCAGGCCTCATTGCCGAGGGGATCGACCAAGCGAGAGCCGTGATTCCTCTGATCGAAAGCCACAGCAATCAAGCCGGTGACCGGTGCTTTGCTATCAGCGGCACGATCGTGGATCCGTTGATTCCAATCCTTGATGACAGCACCGGCGATGGGACTCATGCGCTCCTGGGTGGCCAGGCGAGGGTGCAGAAGCCAGAGACAAGCAACCTCGGTAGCGTTGGAGGGGAGCTCATCGAGACCGAAGACGGTTGTGAGGATCCCCGCGATAGGGTACGTCTTGCGCGAAACGGCCACCGGGCTGGAGGCCGAATCTAAGGTGTTTAAAGGGTCGGTCATTGTTGCCTGTTGTCTTTTGTATACGCGTGGGGTAGGTTCAATGGGAGAGAAGATCCGGAAGACCCCAGACAGACAGTCTTACCTTAGGTAGTTCTTACGGAGTACACACAGTAAGGTACAGTACTGTAGGTACTAGACCCGTATCCGGTATCAGATACAGACTGAATTAAAGGGGTTCGGATTAATCATGAAGTGGAGGAATACTCGGTTAGAATAGACTCCTGAATATGATGGGTTTTGATTTCATTGTAGTGCTCCATTTTTTTGTTCAATTAATTTCAATTTTTTTTCCATCCCAATTGAATTCCCAGCAAGGGGGTCAGTTCCATCTACGGGACGGACACTACTCCACCGCGAGTTGGGGACAGTTGCTGCTCACGCAACGCTCCTTTCAAAACTCAACCCGTCTCACTTGCACGTCTCTCCTTTAACTTGTCCTTCTGCTTTGTTTGTTTCTTGCAATTCTAAACCCCGGGGAAATTAATTTCTTCACATTCTCCTTCATTCCCCTCTCCCTTGGATGGCCTTCCCTTGAATATGAGCATTCACCCAGTCCATTGAGGTCGGTTTCCATCGAATCCACTCCGTACCGCAAGGTATGCTTGCCCCCGTTCCCCGGGGTGCCCATGAGCCTGACTGACCCGATCCTTTCGCGAGCAGCAATTAACATGACGGACCCTACCGCGAATCCCTCGGACACGAGGGCCTCCGAAAGTACCCCGAATCACCTTAACTTTGGCGGATTCGAGCCTCTGTCGCTGTCGCTGCCCGGTGGCCCGAGGCTGTCCCCCCCTTTAGAATCCTTGGAAACCCAAAACGCTACGCCGGCAAACAACAACGCAAAACTCGTAGATGACCGCGATCGCACGGACTACTTCCTTGCCAAACTAGGTGGTAATGACCAAACAGAGAAACCCACGGGGGGCGCCAACGGACTCCAAGAGGGGCTCGACGGTGTCCCTAAGAGCACGCCCGCCTCTTTGAACTCTCGAAGACCGACCGATCTGGTCAGTAACTCGCAGAAACCCAGAAGCCTGAGCTCCCAACAGAACCACCCCGGAACGCCCCTTACCCCCCGCCGCCCAAGCGTTCAGTTCACCCAGGACGCTTCGGAAAATGACCATCTACCGGAATTGAATCAGTCTAGGCCACCGTCGGTCATGGGCGATGAGGCAGATCCAGGGTCGAAAGGGAAAAATTCACTCTTCACTAAAATCAAAGCCTTTGCCGCCTCGCCCTCCTTCTCTCACTCGCGGTCAGCCAGCGGCGCAACAATCGGGGATATCAGACCACCAAACCATGACCTGGCCACCCCCGGTTCGGAGAGGGGAGAGTTCCGCTTTCCAAATACGTTGGAGGAAGAGGGGAGTGATATGGACGCCGACGCCGAGGAAAGTGCTGGGGAGCAAAATGCTCAACATCGCAAGAAGAAGAAACATCTGCGACGAGCAAAGGGCAATGAGTCTGCGCCCCAGACCGAACCGAACACGCCCAAGGCCGTAAACCGGCCATCATTCAACTTCACCAGCTCCTTTGCCCCTTCTGAGAACTATCGGCCTCCATTTTTCCCCCGACGGAATACCGGCGACTACGCCCAGCGTGAGGGAGTGTCGGAGGATGAAGGTCGGGATCGCCTCAACCGGGATACCACCTGGAGGCGGAGAAGTGCCTGGCTCGCCAACTCGCGCGGAATGACCCAAGGCGGGCCGGACGAAAGGCGGCCAAGTAACCTCCGGCGATTAACCGGGTTCGGGCCCTCAGAAAACGCGGAAGGGCTTTCGGCCCCCTGGAGGCGACATCGAGCGGATCGTGGCTCTAGCCTGAGTGCCCAAAGATGGCGACAGATCAAAGCGGGCTTGAAGCTGATCGGCCAGCGCCGTAAAGCTGATAACACGGTGGACCACGCAAAGTCGGCCGAGCTGCTAGCTGAACTAACCTCAGGGGTGCCGGCAGCATTGATTCTGGCCAGTATGTTCCAACGTGATGAGCACGGGAGCAAGCGAATCCCAATTCTTCTGGAGCAGCTCAAGGTTCGAGTCACAGACAGTAAGATTGACTCGCATTCTGGAGATCGCCACCTGGTGTTCAGGATTGAACTTGAATACGGCAGCGGTATGACTCGCATGAAATGGATCATTCATCGGACCCTGAAGGATTTCGCCAACATCCATCTGAAGTACAAGCTCCATTTTGGAACGCAAAAATACATCCAATTGCGAAACACCGAAAGTGGACAGCTTCCGCGGTTTCCTCGAAGCGCGTTCCCCTACCTGCGTGGCGTGCGCGGCCTGGACAGTGACATGGAGGACGAAGAGGATGATGGTGGCTACGAGACCGCCGCGGAGGCAACGAGCGGCAACGAGAGAGCTGGTAAAAGACATCAGCACGTACGAAGGCAATCGTCCGCTGGCCCCTCTCGACGGCAATCGACCGTGACAAACACCGAAGGCGAGACGGCAGAAGCAGGCCCGTCAGCCAAGAAGGAAAGCTACCCGGAGCGGCAGAGAAAGAAACTGGAATCCTATCTCCAAAAATTGATACGCTTTTTGATTTTTAAGCCCGATAGCAACCGCCTCTGCAAGTTCTTGGAGCTTTCGGCGCTGGGCGTTCGTCTTGCTGCCGAGGGCAGCTACCATGGTAAGGAAGGATATCTGATCATCCAGTCATCAAAGGGCCTTGATTTCCGGAGGGCCTTAACACCGGCCATGGTAAAGAAGCGTCATTCCCCCAAGTGGTTCCTTGTCAGACACAGTTATGTCGTTTGCGTCGATTCGCCTGAGGAGATGAACATCTACGACGTGTTTCTGGTCGATCCGCTTTTCCGACTCCAAACACAGAAGATCAGTATACGCAATCAGAAGGCAAAGGAGCTGGCAAAGTCGGCGAAGGAGTCGGCCAGACATCCGCAGCATCATACGCTAAAACTTGAGAACTCGGAGCGAAAGCTCAAGCTCCTGGCCAGGAACGAACGTCAGCTCCACCAGTTTGAGGATTCAATTCGGTTCATGGTCGACAACACCCCTTGGGCAAAGCCCAACCGATTCGACAGCTTTGCCCCCGTGCGTCAAAATTGTTTTGCCCAGTGGCTGGTGGATGCTCGTGACCATATGTGGGTAGTTTCGCGGGCAATCAACCAGGCAAAGGATGTCATCTACATCCATGACTGGTGGCTGAGTCCTGAGCTTTACATGCGACGGCCAGCTGCTATCAGCCAAAAGTGGCGTCTGGATCGCCTTCTTCAGCGCAAGGCTCGCGAGGGAGTGAAAATCTTTGTGATTATGTATCGAAACATCAATTCTGCCATTCCGATTGACTCGGAGTACTCCAAGTTCTCTCTTCTCGACCTGCATCCCAACGTCTTTGTCCAAAGATCTCCCAATCAGTTCAGACAAAACACCTTCTTCTGGGCGCATCACGAGAAACTATGCATCATTGACCATACGCTGGCTTTCGTGGGAGGTATCGATTTGTGTTTCGGAAGATGGGACACACCACAGCACATGCTCACGGACGACAAGCCCACTGGGTTCGAGACACCAGACGGACCAAAAGATGCAGACCATTGCCAGCTCTGGCCCGGTAAAGACTATTCCAACCCGCGTATTCAAGACTTTTATGACTTGGACAAACCATATGAGGAGATGTATGACCGAAACACCACACCTAGGATGCCGTGGCATGACATATCAATGCATGTCGTCGGTCAACCAGCTCGGGATCTCACGCGTCATTTCGTTCAGCGCTGGAACTACATCTTGCGTCAGCGCAAACCAACACGGCCTACTCCGTTTCTCCTGCCTCCGCCGGACTTTGAACCTGCCGACCTAGAGGCACTAGGCCTTGATGGGACCTGTGAAGTTCAGATCCTACGATCTAGCAGTGCCTGGTCGACTGGCACTGGGGACTTGACGGAACACAGTATCATGAACGCGTACGTCAAGTTGATCGAGGAATCCGAACACTTCGTCTACATCGAGAACCAGTTTTTCGTCAGTACATGTGAAATCGACGGTAGGAAGATCGAGAATCTAATCGGTGACGCGTTGGTGGAGCGGATCACTAGGGCTGCAAAGAATCAAGAAGCCTGGCGCGCTACCATCGTCATCCCACTAATCCCCGGATTTCAGAATACCGTGGACAGTGAAGGTGGAACTAGCGTTCGTCTGATCATGATGTGCCAGTACCGGAGTATCTGTCGCGGGGAAACGTCTATATTTGGGCGACTTCGAGCTCTCGGTATTGAACCCGAAGACTACATCCAGTTCTACAGTCTTCGGACCTGGGGAAAAATCGGACCTCACAATCATCTGGTCACCGAACAATTATACATCCATGCCAAGTGTATGATCGTGGACGACCGAGCCGCGATCATTGGGTCTGCGAATATCAACGAGCGATCCATGTTAGGCTCACGGGACTCGGAGGTCGCATCCGTCGTCCGGGACACTGATATGATCTGGTCTTCGATGAACGGCCGTCCTTACCTCGTCGGGAGATTCCCCCACACGCTTCGGATGCGTCTCATGAGAGAGCATTTGGGCATCGATGTGGACGAATTGATGGAGCATTCAATGGCGACCGAGGAGGAACTGCGAAGAATTGAAATCGCAGAGGAGGAATCGAAACCCATAGAAGATCGTGAAAGGCTTGACTCTGAGTCTCTTATGCAGGAGAAACAGACGGAGCGGGATATGATTGAACGTCGACATCGTATCCAGGACGAATTCCTCTCACGCTCGGAAGACATGCACAGCTTTAATCATGATGTCGACTGGGAACAGGGCAACAACCCGAACCTCAAGTCCAACAGAAAGATGACGGCAGATGCCAGGGTAACTGCCAACCCAGGGCACAAAAAGGACGTGGATGGGTTTGGGAATGACAATCTTGATGCTGCTGCGCAAGCCGGATTGGGAGACGCCCGCGATACCCGATTCGTGGATACGAAAACCGAAGTACTGCTTTCTCCCGTCGCAAGTGAGGGCAGAGGCACTGTGCAGCAACCGAAGCGTTCACGACAACAACAACAACAGCCCTCCCAGCACACTGATGAGAGGGACGCCCGGAATTCTTTTGCTGCAACGGGTAATGATGTAGAGTCGAGTCCTGCTGAGCCTGAGAGTGCATCAAGAGACAAATATGATTCCGACAAATACCCGCATCCACTTGGCTCAGAAATGAAGCATGTCTACATCGATCAGGACTGTATGCGAGATCCGGTGATAGATTTGTTCTACCTGGACACATGGCATGCCGTTGCAGAGAAGAATACAAAGATCTACCGCAACGTTTTCCGTTGCATGCCTGACAGTGAAGTGAAATCCTGGAAAGAATACAAAGAATACACTGCTTATTCAGAGCGTTTCACCGAGTTGCAGAACCAGCAAAGCTCCAAGGCAACCAAGTCAAATCTGCAGGCTGCTAGTCCGAGCACCGAAAAACAGACAAATGAAGCCACCCTCGGCGACCGTTCGGCGTCTGAGCCGACAAAGCAAGAGACGCCAGACTTAGACGAGAAGGCTAGTCGCAGAATAAGTGACGTGATATCCTCGGGCAACGCACGAAACGGGCGACATGATGAAAGTGTCTCGTCTGGCGAGGATGCGGACAAGCAGCGCTCTGATCCTCCGGTGGTTGAATACTCGGAAGCGTTGAATCGGAATGCTACCACTCATTCCCGCCGACGACGGCGAAGAGCCACAACTTTGGGATCGAAGCGAGAATTCCATGCATCAGATGAGATGATGGATATGCAGCGAGCGGAGAACATGTTGGAGAAGACTCAGGGGCATCTCATCCTGTGGCCCTATGACTGGTTTGTGATCCTTTGCGACTGTCTTGCATGCTCAGTGTTGACCATATATTCTAGGCTTGAAAAAGAGGAACAGGGCGGAAACTGGCTTTACACGTTGGATCAGATTTCCCCACTGGAAATTTAGTAGGCTTCCCTCCCCCCATCAAGGGTTTGACGGACTCTTTGCTAACCCCGACATAGTAATTAATGTCCTCATACCGGATGACACGAACCCCGTCACTCCAGCCTTAGTCCCCTTGCCTACTTTGTCTTTGGAACTGGCTCTTGCTCTTGGATACCTACTACTTTCTCTGTTTTGAGTCGGAATACCTAATCCTTTCGCATTTTCTACCGGTTTACACCTCCCTCGTCTTGTTTCATTTTGATAGCAAGCGGGCGTTCTTTCTGCTAGTACTGTTCTTCCTTAATGTAATGTAATTAACTACCTATTTCTGCCGTCTTGGAATGGGTTAACTGTCCCGCCCAATTGAATATACCAGGGACGCTGGAATATGTCTATACTACATATTGGCCTCAATAAGAACTCTACCGAGATGGTAACCAGGAGTCACGGATATGAACCTTAATGTGTCTATTCCACATCGGATGTTGCAGTTGAACCTCTGTAGGAATAGATGATGCGGGCGCGCACTTGACTGAAGTCATCGAAGTTGGCCTGCAGAGCGGGCGCTAGCAGACTCTCACCGGGGCGAATGTGCTTATCCAACGGCGCACTGATCAGGTTATATGCATGCGCAAACGCGGCTTGAAGGTCCGAAGTGCGCGTGCATGAGCGGCCGAGATCATTCATATAGTTGGCCGGGTCTTGGATGCAAAGCCGCGAAGCCTTGGGCACATTGCCCCTGGACGCGGCGGTTCTTTTGATATTGACGAGAGCTCGTTGGCCACGAAGGAAGGCAGGCACGTCATCGAGATCGTATTCCTTGCTGGCGGACTTGACGGTTTCGGCGTTGAAACAGCCCGGAGGGTCGACAGAGATCCCCGTAGTGGTTAAATCTACTGTAGTACCGTAGAATTGCAGAAATCCTAGGAGTTGCTCTCCGAGACTGCCGCCCGATGCCCGAAACCGCCCGTGATTGATCTTCAGGAAGCCGACGACGAGCATCACGAGAGCGTTTGTGGTAATGGAGTGGTTGTGCATGCTGAATAAACCCCGCGCCTCGAGCATCAGACGGGAAGTCATGTATAGCGGCCGAACTGAGGGATACTCGGCGAGGTAATCCCGGATATACTCGATGGAAGAAGGGGGGCCTTCTCCGCAACGGAACTGTAATCTGAGACCGGTTGGGCGGTGGATGGCTGTCAGGGCTGGGTTTGGTTTACCGTCTATCCAAATCTGATCTCTAAATAATGAGCTCCGGCGAAGGGCATTCTCGACGTTGCGGAGCAGGTCGGCGTAAGATTGAAGCACCTGCGGTCGGGTAGCGCTGGGTTTCCGATCTCTCTCGATTGATCGTGCCGAGTCGGGTACTGGCAATACGAATTCCAGGGCCGAATGGCTCATGGCAAGCCCGGTCCTCCAAGGCCCAATCAGGAGAGGGGGGCGAGGTACAGTATCTGCAATAAGATCCTGCACTTCCGTGACGACTTGCGCCACGTGATTCTGCTCCTGGGCTATTGGGGAAAGGTACTTGTCCAGCGCGCGCACCTCTGCATCTAGCTGCGAGATGCCGTGGAGCTGCGCGTGGCGTGGTCCTCCCACGTAAGCCATCCATGGCGACTGTTCCGGGCGATTTATTTTCGAGCTCGCGGCCCACCGCACTTGCTCACCTTCCCATACCGATGAGTATCCGGCAGTAGTACTTGGTGTGGAAGCCTTCTGTTTGGCGTATGCGGGCCGTTCTGAGGTCAAGACACGTCGAGGTGTGGCGGTTGGGAGTGACGGCTGCTTCTTGGGAGGACCCTTGCGAATGATTTTGCGGATAAAACCATTTCGTTTTTGCGATCGGTGGGCTTCTAGAGATGGCTGCTCCTCCGGGACCACGGCGGTATTTTCCGGGAGGGAGTACTGCTCCTCGGGGGGATTCTTGAAAATGACTTTGCGGATCAAACCATTCCGATTCTGCGATCGGTGGGCTTCCAGAGTCTTCCAGAGGCTATTGTTGAAAATCGCCGGGTCCTTCGAATCAGGGCCAGACCCATGAGTCTCGCGGCGGGACGTCGACGAGGAAAAACGAAGGGGATGGCGTAAAGGCGATCGAATGGACGTCGTTAAATGAGGGGAAAATAATGTGCGTTTAGCGAAGAGGAAATCGCGCATGGTCGAGCGATCAGCCAAGCAGCGCAGTACGCATTGCGGATGAATAGTCACAGACCGGGACATAAACCGGAGGGAGTGGGAAGACGATAGAAAAGTTAAATTCGAATTAATATTAATTTAGGAAGTAAGGTAGGGCGCAGAGAGGGTGACAGGCGGTGACAAGTGCTGGATGGAGGAATGACCGTCACCACATCATAGTCATAGCCATCACCGTCGTGAAGTCCGTCAACTTCTGAGCGGAAGATTTGCTCTTCCTCCGGCTGCCTGGAGACTCGGGCATTGAGATCACATGCTCTTTCTGCCTCAGGCATGCAGGAGGGGTCCGATGTCACGGGATCCAGATCAGCCCTAAGTCGATCCGGATGAGGTAATCAAGATCCAGGTCAGAGTTGCGGCCTGTCACGTTGGGCTGGCTTACTTTGTTCTTTTGGTCAAGAGTCGAGAGTCGAGACTGCGAGTGAAAGGTACAGAATAGATAATGTGACACGTTGGTATTATGCAACGGGCAGTCAACTCTTATCATGATCCTGGGAGGGTTGGCAAGCCAGTCAGATCATGACGTAGATTGCTCGGAGAAGGTCGATATTCTTCTTCTTCTTCTTCTCCCACTTTTCTAGCGTCGTCATCATCGGAACATCATCGACTAATTCTCCTGATCCAGGGATTGTCCGGTTCCCCGTAGGCACTTCCACTGTCGCGTCCACTTGCTTGGGCGTGTTCCTCTGTGCGACGTGCTTTTAAGAGACGAAGAATGACCACCACGGGATCTGGGATTTTATGGCAACCAATCAATGAAATCTGCCGATCTTTTTCTCTCTTGTGATTGTCTCTCTGGACCTTGAGTGTAGATACCCAAGATCAACTAAGATCGAGAAAGTGACTGCTCACCTAGTAAGTATACCCAATGTTCATGGTGAGCTCCGACCGGCGTTGATTCCTAATTCCTCAGGCCCTCACCGCCTGGACCAATCCATTCCGCGCCCCGCCTCTTCTCCGTCCTTTGGCTTCTTCCCTGCTGTTGCCCAAATTCCCGGTCTGTCTTATTGTCGTTGTCCACCTCGCCTCTCTCACCCGTCGGGAACAGCGGGTGTGTGTTGTGCGTGCCGGCCAGAAAGCCTGCTTGTGTGTGAGTGTCCAACAAAGCGAGAGAAATAGCAAGAGTACCCCGGTGAAAGTGAGAAATACTACCTTTCTTTACCTGCACTATGTGTCGCTATCTCTCTTATCTATTTTAACACTCCAAATAATCACCACAGCTTTCACGCCTTGTTATCTCTCACTCCCTATGAAACAATTTGCTTTCCTTCATCCCTATCCATTTAATTCATCTTGTCTCTTTATCGCCGCCCTTTCCTAGCTATCGTGCTGCAATCCTATCGTCCATCATCTACCGCCTCACCTGTTATTGATTGTTGAGCATGTGAAAAACATCCCCAAGATTGGAAACACGACGAAACATGCATGAGTTTGACTGACCGAGAAAGCTCTTCAGAACCAATCATTTTGTTGGCCATCGTCAATTCGTTCCCTGCGTCGCTCTCTATCTCGTCATCGCTATCTGATCCGGTTCCGTCATGAACCCCTCCAAGCACGGCACTGCCGGCCGCCCACCCGCTGAACAACCAGCCTCGGTGTTGATAGGAGCCAGCATGAACTCCCCGGGCAAGGAATCCGGCCCGAATGCCTCCACTGCTTTCTTGATTCCGGAAAATTCGTCTACTACCTCTGCGAACCCTCGAAATAAGCAATGGTCAGACTCCGATCTCACCTCCCCCGCCACTCCGGCTCAGGCAGCCAAGGATGTGAAATCCGGATCTGAGTTGCTACGTCGATTGAGTCTCAGAGGCAACCCGCCGGTGCTGGAAGCACACCCCCGAGAACAGTATCCGAATCTCAACCTCAGTGGGCGAATAATCAGCGCGGCTTTTTGCATTCCTTACAAGCTGTATCTTCGAACGGGTCATGACTGGGTACGTCATATATATTCCCCTCGTGCCGCACCCAGGAACTAGGCATTTGATGACGTACTAATTCATCTTGCAGGAGCTTAAAACTCGCCCGGGAACATCTGCCCTCTTCGACTCGTTTGCATATCTCGGTTCCAGTGAGACACAGTGGTCCCATACGCTCGTTGGCTGGACTGGCGAAGTTGAACCGATCCATGACACCGCACCCTCTTTAGAGCAGATTCCTTCCAACGCCAACGGTGTCAATGGCACTTCTGTGCCTCTGAACAAGGCGGCGGCGCCGGTCCCCGTCGATACCACTCACCGACCGCCTAGTCATCCTCTTGTGGAGGGGGTTTCGGTCGGCCCGGAAGATCGGGAACGACTTGATCGACGGTTAGTGTCCAGTCGATATGGCAAAATTGCGCCAGTATGGCTGTCAGCTGAAACCGAGGTGCCCGAGGACACAATAACGCTATCCGATCAAGGCCGGTGGAGACGGTATGCGGAACGGGAGCTATACCCTCTACTTCACTACAAGCAGCACGGCCCTACGGATGGGCGATCGGAGCGTACATGGTGGGCAGACTATGTTCGCATGAACCGGCTATTCGCGGATCGGATTGCGCAAGAGTACCGAGAAGGCGACATTGTCTGGATTCACGACTACCACCTGTTCCTTCTCCCCAGTATGCTGCGACAAAGGATTCCCAATATCTATATCGGCTTCTTCTTGCATGCCCCCTTCCCAAGCAGCGAGTTTATGCGCTGCCTGGCCAAACGGAAGGAGGTTCTCACGGGTGTCTTGAGCGCGAATATGCTAGGCTTCCAAACGTTCTCTTATTCCCGTCATTTCTCCTCGTGCTGCACTCGTGTTCTTGGGTTCGATTCGAACTCCGCCGGGGTCGACGCGTATGGCGCTCATGTAGCCGTGGACGTGTTCCCCATCGGCATCGATGCGAAGGCGATCCAGAAGATCGCTTTCGGCCCCCCGGACATTGAGAAGGCTGTCGTGGGCATCCGCAAGTTGTACGCCGGGAAGAAGATCATTGTCGGTAGAGACCGACTAGATAGTGTTCGAGGTGTCACCCAAAAGCTGCAGGCCTTCGAGTTGTTCTTGGAGCGGTACCCTGAATGGCGCGATAAGGTTGTGCTCATCCAGGTGACCAGCCCCACTAGCGTTGAGGAGGAGAAAGAGGAGAACAAGATTGCCAGCCAGATCTCCAACATGGTCTCGACCATTAACGGTCGTTTCGGCTCTTTGAGCTTCGCCCCCGTCAAGTACTATCCCCAATATCTATCCCAGCAGGAATACTTCGCGTTGCTGCGGGTCGCGGATGTAGGTCTAATCACCACCGTCCGCGATGGCATGAATACGACCAGTCTGGAATACATCATCTGTCAACAAAACAATCATAGTCCTTTAATCCTGTCCGAATTCTCCGGAACAGCCGGGACCCTGTCAAGTGCGATTCACATCAACCCTTGGGATACTGCGGGTGTGGCAGGGGCCATTAGCCAGGCTTTGGAGATGGCGTCGGAGCAAAAGCAGTCCCAGCACACGATGCTCTACAACCACGTCATTTCAAATACTGTGTCGTCTTGGTCTCAGCAGTTCCTCACGCGCCTGCTGACCAACCTCTCCTCGTTTGACCAATCAGTGGCCACTCCGGCGCTCGACCGGGCCAAACTGTTAAAGCAGTACCGCAGAGCGCGGAAGAGGCTCTTCATGTTTGACTACGATGGGACGCTGACGCCGATCGTCAAAGACCCTCAGGCCGCAATCCCATCGGACCGAGTCCTCCGGACCATCAAATCGCTGGCCGCCGATCCTCGAAACGCCGTTTGGATCATTAGTGGACGAGACCAAGCCTTCCTTGACGAGTGGATGGGTCATATACCCGAGCTGGGATTGAGTGCTGAGCATGGCTGCTTTATCCGTAAACCGCGCTCGGATGATTGGGAGAATCTGGCCGAACGGTCTAACATGGGATGGCAGAGAGAAGTCATGGAAACCTTCCAGCACTACACCGAGCGGACGCAGGGATCCTTCATCGAGCGGAAGCGGGTGGCCCTTACGTGGCATTACCGCCGTGCGGACCCCGAGTACGGCGCTTTCCAGGCTCGCGAGTGTCGCAAGCATCTGGAAGAGACCGTCGGGAAAAGATGGGAGGTTGAAGTGATGGCCGGAAAGGCGAACTTGGAAGTGCGACCGACCTTTGTCAACAAGGGGTTCATTGCCACTCGACTGGTGAATGAATATGGAACTGGCCCCGGAAAGGCCCCCGAGTTCATCTTGTGCTCGGGCGATGACTTCACGGATGAAGGTAAACTCACCCCCCCCAATCCATCACTCTCTGTTTTAGTTTCCTGATTTACTGACATGTTGGGTATAGATATGTTCCGGGCCCTTTCAAAGTTTGACCTTCCGCAAGACCATGTCTTTTCAGTGACCGTCGGCGCCAGTTCGAAACAGACAGCCGCTAGCTGGCATCTGCTCGAGCCTGCCGATGTTATTGAAACGGTCACGATGTTGAACAGCAGCGCCAAGCAAGAATATTGATCTTTTTTTGACGTGAATCTTGAGATCCTCGGCCGGATGTCCGTTGTGACTAGTTTCAAATCGCTTCATTTTCCCTCCTCTTGCCCCCATTTTCTTTTCTATTTTAATTCCCTTTCGTTCTTAATCATGTTCATAGAAAGCCATTTGGAATGTTGTGCAGCTGGGGACTGTTGTATGTACCTAGAGAGTATAGAGACCGGAACGAGGAGAGAAAAGCATCAGAAGTCCGAAGTGTTGAATGCGAAACACGGAAGTGATATATCTTCATGTACTCCCGAGTAGACAAATAGAACAGACTGAACAGTACAACTAGGTGGACTCAACCAAATATGGGGAAATGCGGAGGTGACGCCATCTCCCCGGCTGCCCGCAAAACCAGGCCTCTTCGGCACACGCTTCCGAGCGGGCATCCTAAATCCTTGCCCTCGGCCTTTGGTGCGAACTCCGGAGTCAATTCCATTTCTGAATCCTACTGCTGCCCTGCCCGTCTCCACAGAGGGGGCACCTTATTATGAGTAATAATAATAATGCCAATCAGTGACTACGGTCCAACGCTGTGCTCTGCAAATCTCAATTCTTGACTCATTCGACATTTTTCTTTTATCTATGCAGAATCATGGGTTTGTGCATCAGTGCCTAATGCCTAGGGTGAGCCATTCTCCCCCTAACTCTTGTTCTCTTTTTTTCTTCTTCGTCCCGCAGATTGTTTCCTTATCTTTATCTTAGGTATCTGTCTCTTGTTGAGTCTCGTTCCTTGAAATTCAGTTCCCACCATTCAGTAGCGTTTCTCTTTCGCCTAGTCGCTCATCTTCCCCCCTGTGCGGCATTGCCTCCAAGTTATTTATCTTGTCCTGCGCACGGCCATCATGGGTGCTCCGTTGTCGCACGACGGTTTGCCCGATTCCACACCCGGAGCAGAGAAGACCTGGAACCCGCCTCAAGATGAAACGATAAGCGAAGACCACGCTCCCTCTCGAGCCAACCTCGACGATGAGGAATCGGGCCTCGACGAGTGTCAATCGAAAGAGCTCTCCAAGACTATGACTCACGGTAGTCATGCCGGGACGCTGGCGCGGAGGACGCTCTCCATCGTCCGCACGAGAGAGTCGGGCAAAGAAATTGGCCCTGCCCCGGACGGCGGTCTCGCGGCGTGGACCCAAGTAGCCCTGGGGCATTTTGTCATCTTCAACACATGGGGGTACATCAACAGCTTTGGCGTCTTCCAAACTTACTATACCGAGAAGCTGGGACGGCCACCATCCGATATATCGTGGGTGGGAAGCATCCAGATTTTCCTCCTCTTCTTCGTCGGCACCTTCTCCGGTCGTGCTACGGATGCCGGATACTTCAAGGTCACTCTGGCCATAGGGGCTTTGTTGGAGCTGTTTTGCATCTTCATGACCTCGCTGTGCACGGAATACTGGCAACTGTTCCTGGCCCAGGGTGTCGGACAAGGGATCGGCTGCGGGCTCATGTTTTGCCCGACCATTGCCCTGATTCCCACATATTTCACCACAAAACGTTCGATCGCCATGGGCATCGTGGCATCAGGGTCCGCGACGGGGGGCCTCGTGTTCCCGGCCGTCGTCATGCGCCTGCTCCCCCAGGTCGGGTACGGATGGACCATGCGGACATTGGGCTTCATCTCCCTTGCCACGTTGACCCCGTGCTTGATCTTTTTGAAGCAACGGCTGCCACCGCGCCGGAGCGGTCCTCTGGTGGAACTTTCGGCCTTCAAGGAATTGCCGTATCTGCTTTTTGCCGTCGGCATGTTTCTCAATTTCTGGGGCATCTATGTCGGGTTCTTTTATATCGGCAGCTTTGGACGCAACATCATCGGCGTGTCTCAGTCGACCTCGATCGACGTGCTCTTGGTCATGAACGGCGTTGGCTTGCTCGGTCGACTCATCCCCAACCTCGTGGCCGATTGGTATTCCGGCCCTCTGAATATGCTGATCCCCTTCAGTCTAGCCACCGCCGTGGTCTCATATTGCTGGGCCGCGGTAAGTAGCCAAGGGGGTCTGTATGCATTTAGTGTCTTCTACGGTCTGTCGGCTGCCGGGATCCAGTCCCTCTTCCCTGCCACGCTCAGCACGCTCACGACAGACTTGAAGAAAACCGGGGTCAGAATGGGGATGGTGTTGAGCGTCGTAGCCGTCGCCGCTCTCATCGGCTCCCCGATTGCGGGCGCATTGATTCAACGGGGAGATGGTCAGTATCTGTATGCGCAAATGTTCATGGGCAGTGCGATCATTGCCGGAACGCTGACCCTGATGGCGTCACGCGTGGCCCGGTTGGGATTTGCATGGCAGCGAGCGTGAGCAGGTCTTCTTATAGTAGTAGAACAGATCATTGGGTAGTACTAGAGATACAAACATATATCCCTTGTTCAATGACAAGATTCATCCCTCCGTAGATCTGCGAGAGAGGTAAGACGGGTCATGTGTCAATCCGAAACATGTGATTGGCGGCTCGGATGAGGCAACAAGATGTGCCTGAGGTCCTCCACCCCGCCTGCTCTGGGAAATCCTCGGCGTGACTCCTTCTCTACTTTTCTCTCCTCATCTGTTGCCAATTGAACGGAGCATTTGGAGTCTTCGGCATTCTACTATTCGCTTTGTACCTCTAGACATTTCGTTTTTGTCTCATCCCCATACCTAAATGTCAGTGCACTATCCTCCATTCCCCGCCTCAGCGCTGCCCCTCGTTTACTAACGCCTATAGTCTTGTCTAGCTAGATACATCTTCTACCCCCCACCATATACCTCGATCTTTTTTGTTGGGCCTTTCTTGGTTTCGCCTCGCAGTTTATCATAAACTTACACATTATGGCACCCCGCGGTCGTGGTGGCAAATTTTCTAAGCCCTCTCGAGGAGGTATGTGAAGCAATAAGGCAAATTGAAAAAATACAAACAAACGCCGACACCCCTCGAGCGGGGCCCGAGCTAAACGACACGGAGAGCGCTGACGGAGGTTGGACCCAATAAGGTGGAAAACATTTTAGTCGAGATGTGCAGCCGGTGGATAAAGATGGGAACCGCGTTGGCCTATGGAGGGTATGTTCCTGTTCCTGTTCACCTTCCCGGACTCGGGCACCTTCTAACGTTCTGGTCTTCTGCACTGCCCTGATTTTAGGAACCTGATGAGGAACCCGATACGTCGTCGAGCGAAGAGGAAGACAGCGAGTCAGAGGAGGAGTCGAGTTCGGAGGAAGGACCCAAAGACCAGGCGGACGGTGCCGCCGGCTCCTCTGCAGCCCAGGAACTGACGCGCGAGGAACGTCGTGCGGCCGCCAAGGAAAAGAAGAAAGCAGCGATTGCGAGACGACAGAAAGTGCAACCGGGGGACATGCCGTCGTCGGATTCGGAGTCTGATGACGAGAACAACAACACCAACACCAACAACGGAGGAGACGAGGGCCTGCCCGCCAACCCGAATCACACGGCCAAGTCCCGATCGCAGCTCAGCAGCGACGCGCCCGAGAAGGTAGCCAAGGATCCGTCGCAATTGTCTCGACGGGAGCGCGAGGCCGTGGAGGCCCAGCAGGCACGAGAGCGCTATATGAAGTTGCACGCGGAGGGCAAGACCGACGAGGCGCGCGCCGATCTGGCGCGCCTGGCCCTGGTGCGGGAAAAACGGGAACAGGATCGGTTGCGCAAGGAGGCTGAGAAGGAAGAGAAGGCCGAGTTGGCCAAGGCACGGGCAGAAGAACGAGAGGCGAAGTTGGGCGGGAAGAAGAAGGGCGCCCCCAAGAAGAAATAAATGACTCGGAATGGCTGCCGGCGAGGGGGATACCTAAGGGAAGCCTTTACCTTCCGCTAGGCCTCCGCCTCACTCTCTCCTTCCCTGTCCATGTCTCCCAATAGAGATCACCACCCGGCCATGTTGATGAACCATTCGCTTCCCTCGATCTACTTAAATTTTGGCAAACCCCCGGTCATGGCCCGGTATTCTCATAGCACGCTCATATTTTGGAATACATTAAACAAAGACCGCTTGAGAGGATAGTTTCTTTATATTCAGTGCTTCCTTCGGCCGATAAGCAGCGGAATGTAGAGTAGTAAGGGACTAAGGCCAGTAGCATTTACATCTATAAAGCAGGGGTATGTGCGTACATTATCACGTGCCCTCGACGCCTAGATGTCCTCGAGGCAAAAGAAAAAACAAATCAGGGGAATGAGCGATCAAAAGAGCAAGGAAAAGGGGTTAATATAAAGAAAACATAACAACAATGCAATATGCAACCGAGCGCCTGGACCGTTGCGAATGTACCAGTGCCCCCTTTTTGAGGGAGACCGCAAACATGCATGAGCAATAATACCGAACAGAGAGATCGCCATAGACACCAGCGCGCCGGACTTAATCAACTGAAATAATTCTGAATCTGAAACGCTCGCCAACGAATAACTGCGCGCCGCCCTCAACTTATCACGCGCCCCAAAACAGCCCCTCCACGCCCCGTCCCTGGGCAACGATGCCCCATCCTGCAATCAAACTAACAAGCCACATGATGGCGAATGCCAAAATGGGCAGCAAGAGGAGCTCAGTGTTGTGCAGGAACGGCAACGCGTTGTAGCCCAAGAAGGTGATATAGGTATAATACGTAAGAGCGGACAGATAAAGCGTATTCCCAAGGAATGTGGCGAGATAATTGCTGGGAGTGCGGGTGAGAAGAGGCAGGAGAAGAAACTGTACAACATAGAGATGAAGATATAGAGGGAAAAATGCGCGGATAGAGACCTAGTTAGAGGTGGACGCTTTGGTTAGCCTGATGGGGCCAAGGAGTTTGACCGGAGACTGAGAAAGTCCACTCCGCAGGGGCTATCCAACTCACATCGAAGCAATATCCAAACTCCAATTGATCCTTCTCCCCCGGCTGCATGAACAGACCTTGCGCCGCGCCGCGCCTCCTTCCGCGTGCACCCCTGAATCCGTTCAAAGATGCCGCCGCCCCGTTCGGGCCGAAGAACCGACCAATGGCGAAGTATCCCACGGTCGACACTAGTAGCGACGACCCGATGAAATGGAGGAAGATGAACAGTAGCGATAGGCGGACTATGGACCCGAACGACGGCGCATATGCGAGGCCCCATGCGAGGGCCGTGAGGAGAAGAAAGAAGGATAGAAGATAGGTAAATGACGGGTCCGGACGGTGCCAGGTGTTCTTGGTTTCTGTAGCCATCCATTAGTATTCAATAATATATTGAGAGCGAGAGCGACTGAGAAGAGGAGGATGGTCAAGCATACGTTTCTAGGATTGGAAGATCCGGGTTAGCAACGGCACATGGAATCGTTCATGATTGAGGTGCTCCACTCACATGGTAATATATCGATTTGAAGACCTTCTTCGGAGCGATGAGGAGTGATGTCATCTCCCAGATTGCCATCTCAAAGTCCATCTGGGGAAACTTGAACATTCTAAAACGGACATGTTCTCCGATTAGCCTCAGGTCAACCCGCTTGCGCGTGTATCTAGCCATCGGATATGGGAAGGCAAAAACCCACCGTTTAAAGAAACGCGGCATTCGTATACTGGAACCGCGGCTTGCCGGCGTCGTGCCGCCGAAATTGGAAGGACTGGCATGTTGACGAGGGACAGATATGTGAGGATTCATCGTTTTCTTGTCTGATTTCGTTTTCCGGGAGGCAGCGGGACCGAGGATAGGATGGAAGGGATCCCGAGGATCAAGGGCTTCGAACAACGACGGCGATAATGAAACGTCCAGATGCTGATTATTGATGGTTCCTGATGCGATTCCCCTTCCGGTGCAGGTGGCGCTTGGCGGATCCGCTTATGTCATCCCCGCCTCGGGGGAACGTTGCCCCGTCTTCAATCAACAATACGGAGTATAATTATGATCTCTTCTTCCCCCAAGCTGAGAATTCCAATGTTCGCGAGTACCGGTCTTCAGTTGCGTGAGGAAGTGCCATTTACTCGTCGTGTCTGCTCGTGAGCCTCGCGAGCCCACCAACCATCCAAGCCTGGCTTCGACACGATTCTCTAGTTGTAGACAGCCATGTTAGCTAGAGTAACTATAAGTTAGCAAGACAAGGAATTGATGCTTACCCCTTCATTGCGCTTGAAAACTATCCAAACAGCAAATGTCAAGATCATGGTTCCTGCTGCCAAAGGGACGTATATCCACCACGCGGGATTGGAAGCTAGCACATCGATATTCATTCCAAATAAACTCTGGGAAACCGGTTAGATTTGCATCCGAATTGGCCTACTCCATACGCATAGCATCACCCACCGATATGAACATAAGGGGAAGCAAAATAAACTTTGTAATGAAGTTAGCTTATTGCCTCAAGATCCCTTTATAGATTATCTCACCGTAATCCGAGCCGCTTCATGCTTCGATTCATGGAAATGGATTTTTGAGGCTCGGCGATCGATGTCAGATTAAATTCCTATATAGTCAGCACATATCTCCAAAATCCCAGTGACAATTAGCTACCAGTTGAATGAGTTCCTGCGATAGCTTCGCTAAATTGTCGAGCTTCTATCTAACTCCCTTTCGAGACCTGAGATACCCATCTCAAAATCCCCAAGAGCCGATCTTATATCTGGTTTTTCCTGTAGCGCCAACGCCGTATCGTCGTGTACTTCGTACAGTACAGTCGCCTTCTTATCAGATAGAATGACATGAGTGCTCCGTAGTATTTGGACCTGCTTGGCCAGTAGGTTGTGAAGGATTCCCCGTAGCTCGGCATCTTTTAGGAGGCTGCGAAATTGTTCTGTATTCCCGCTTGAACGGAAAAATTGGGTGCGCTTGTAATATTAGCATTATTCCTCCCAGAGGGCAAAAGAAGAAAAGATTGAGAGACTAGTACCAGAGTCACAAGATGCTGTTCGGCAGCATCGCACACATCATACCAATAAGTTTCAAGTTCTAGAACAAGAGCGCGCAAGAGCTGAAGTGGTGATTCCGGTATTTCAGCATACTCGAGTGTACTGAAATACACTCGGTTCTGTAAAGCCGCCTTGACTGTCTTGGAATCAGTGGCGGTGCGATCTGATTTTGTCATGATCCAGGCAATGTTTAGATTCCTTCGTAGAGGATCTAAGAGGGCAGATAAAACAGAAGGCACATCACCCGTATTGAGTCTATCAAGGACAGGAATTGAATGACGACACTCAAGGAAAGACTCTTTTGAGGGCACTCGCGCAATGGTTGTTACGCTAGGGATGTTTTTCGACTGGCTTCTTCGGGAGATGAGCCCGTCTTTGAGCGTTTGTCGACACCAGCGAAAATTCAGGCCTGGCAAGTCCCACGGCTCCTGGTTGTTCGGAAGAATCACGAGACTGGTGCCTGTAGGATCTGGTTCATTTATACCATCCAAGTACTGAGGGAGGCGATGGAATGACGGAGAAGCTATGACATTTGGTCAGATATCCTGCCTGAATTGGCGCGAAGGTACGATTGTAAAACAGGCAGACCTTCTAAAGCTCATCAGCAATACGTAATTTTTCATCGAGAAAGTTCGTCCCCAGTCTGAAGCTCGGAGTACACCTAGATCCTGGGTACTATGGGGAACAAGATCCTCAGGATATCATGCCGTCTCAACTCGAACGCGCTCTGAAAAGGAGACTTGTCGCCAAAATTCCGATCTGCAGCTGCTACCCCATTGTCGAGAAGCCATTGCACTGCATCGGTAGAGCACCCTCTACGGCATGATGAAGCGGAGTACGCCCATCAAGGTCCTTGGGGTTGAAATTGTCGCACGCACGGCGGCCGATAATCTCCAATGCGCCCATATGCCCAGCTCTGGCGGCAAGATGTAGGGGTATCTGTCCAGAGTCATCTTCCTTGTGCTTGTATCTGTCCGCATCCGCGCCTAGGACGAGGCAAAGCGTAGAAGGATCTCGAGATCTAGCTGCCGCGTGCAGTGGAGTTGATCCGTCAATTTCGGATTCTGCAAATTCTGCCCCATGGTCATAAAGAAGCTGCACGGTTATTGAGCTTCCGATAGAGATCGCAGCTGAGAGGGGTTTCCCGTAGAGACCTCCTTTGGTGTTCACGTCCGCCCCCCGGCTGATCATGTTGGCCCCTAGTTCAGCACTTCCACTCCATGCAGCATCATGTAAATATTTGCTGAATTCATCCTGTGCCCCCGAAGTCGTGTAGCTCGGGCACAGGACCTCGAGCAGTTCAAAGTGGCCAGTCATTACCGCTGCCCGTAATGCATTTCCATACTTCCCGCCCTGTATATTGGCATCCGCCCCATTCTCCATGAGCATTTCCGCTAGAACTCGGCCCCCTCTCCATGCTGCGGCCTGTAAGGCACATCCAAACTCTCCAGCTTGAATGTTGATGTTTGCATCACAATCGAGCAATATTCTTACAATCTCCCGGTTGCCACCGGCCACAGCAGCCTGGAGAACGCTTCCAAGCCTCCCCCTCCCCCCTCCGGGGGCATTGATATCCGAGAGGTGTATTATTAGTTTGGCGATTTGCAAATCTCCGACTCTCGCAGCAGCCTGAAGTGTATTTGCATCCTCTCTGCTGCGCTGGTTGACATTGGCGCCCCTTGCGATCAAGAGCCTGACTAATTCAATATGTCCCCTCGTTGCTGCGAGCTGCATGATAGTGCAGTCTCCACAAGAATCTCCCGGGGATACATCCCGGTCTAGACGGCCGCGCAAATAATCAATATGTCTTTCCCACACAGCGCTTTCTAGACGTGCTTTCTCAGATTGATACCACTGCAAAGTCTTGGTAACACGGGCTTGTATAGTTTCGGAATTATTGCCACTGTGTCCTCTCTGGAACGCAATCTGCAGTGGTTCTTCCCATCTGTTCCCTGGAGTATCGATACGAGCGCCAAGTTCGACCAGATTTAGCAAAGCAGGAATGCTTCCAGCTCCGGCTGCGGCCTCGAGTGCAGTGCCATATCTACCCCTTTCCGCATTGACATCAGCCCCGGCCGGGATCAAGTCTTGTATTATTTCGGCGCGCCCAGCCTGTGCTGCAGTCTGTAGGGCTGTTCCATATCTCTTATCATGGGCGTTCACATCTGCACCATGCCGTATCAGGATACATACTGCTGTCCTGCTTCCAGCCCAAACAACAGCGTGCAACGCGTTCCCATACTCGCCCCCTTTGGTATTGATATCAGCCCCTGCATCGATTAACTGCTGGATGATTTCCACGTGTCCAACCCAGGCGGCAACTTGTATGGCCGTTCCATGTCTCTTGTCACGTACATCGACCTCAGCGCGGCTTTGGACTAGGCTGTGTACTGCTGCATTACTTCCATTCCAGGCTGCGGCGTGCAACGCAGGCCCATATTCGCCCCCCTTCGGAATTAGCATCAGCGCCTACCCCAACCAAGTCCTGCATGATGTCCACGTTTCCAATCTACGCTGCAGCTTGTAAGGCCGCTCCATAGATCTCCGTTTGGACGATCCCACCCGGTGGGTGTGCCATTAGAACATCCACTGCTTTCCGGTTTCCTCTCCACGAGGCAATTCGCAAAGCCCTGCCATGTTCCCCGGAACGAGAATCGGCCACAGCACCAGCTTGTATCAAAAGTGCTATAATTTTATCGTTTCCTTTCCAAGCTCCGCCGCAAACAGCGCTCCCGAATTTGGAGCTTGCAGCAGTGACATCGGCCCCTTCTTTGATCAGAAATTCAACCGCCTCGTAACTTCCACCATATGCCTCTGCAATCATAGCAGTTCCATACTTGCTCCCTTGCGCATTAATGTCGGCGCCGTTCTCCAGTAAAGTGATCATGATCCTCAGGTTGCCGATATAGGCTGCGGCCTGGAGAGGATGTCCGTAAATACCGCCATGGGTATCAATTAGGGCTCCTCCCTCAAATAGAGCTTGGGCAGCATCTTCATGTCCGTTGACAATAGCGGCTTGCAAGGCACTGCCATAGTCCCCGCCGAGTTGATTAACATCGGCATAGTTTCGGATCAAGTACCGAATGATGTCGGAAGAGCCACTATGCGCGGCTGCTTGTAGAGCACACCCAAAAATGCCACCTTGGGCATTTACGGCCGCGCCACGGTGGATCAAAAGCGCAACAATCTCTCGGCTTCCCTTCCACGCGGCAGCCTGCAATGGATTTCCGTAAGGGCCACCCTGGACATTGGCATCGGCTCCAGCAGCGAGGAGATGATGAACCAGATCGGTATTCCCGGTCTGCGCCGCATCGCAGAGCGACGCGGGATGCCCTTTTAACAGCGACTGGGCGAGCTTGGTGACGGTGGTTGAATTCTCCATGCTCTAGTGGACCTTCTCACCACGCGGGAGATGTTGTAGGATCTATCGACATCGGACAGCACTGGCGTCGATATCCGGAGTAGGACCGTCCTGTATGGGATTTTTTGCTTCTGTTGAATTAATTTCGGCCATTTTATCATCGTTCCTTTATTGGCGTGCCGATGTCTGTTGGGGTCGCTTTCAGCTGCACTAGGACAAACCGCGTCTGACGATCGCAAACTCGTGATTGGAGTTGAATATGGAGATAGCCGCATCGTTACCTTAGTTCTTGCATTTTGAAGTTGGCACAAGTGGCAAATTCCAGACCAGTGCTTGTGTGGTTAATAGGATGATGCATATGGTAAATGTGATGTATAAGTCTGGGGGAGTGAGCACCTGCATGTGTGACTAGTCAGAAATTGGAATCCTATTTCTTCCATTCTTCTACTCACTTGACAGAGAGGGAAGAATTTGGAATAAAATTTTATGACATATAGAATGCTACGGTAGAGTGATGGGTCATCAATTTCATGGATCTGCGTAGAAGAAACAATGGTGAGGATCAGCCTTAGGGAGTGGTCCAGTGGCTCTAAGAGATCGATTTGTACAGATGCACATCATCTAGTATGTATTGCAGGTGGACTCCGCAGATTGTATCTATCATTATCAGGCATGTGGCCAAAAACGAGAGGCCGATAGATCATCTCGCAGGTTCACGAATCGATAAATGATGAGATGAAAGATGAAAGATGCAGGATGGGGAGATGCTCCATCCGGCGTCTCCACCCAGTGATTGGTGGCATGCGGGCCTGAGGCACTTTGGGTCCCAGGGAGGGTCTGGGCCAAGCGCCCCCTGAAGCATTGCGCTTTTAATATTTAATTCTACTAGTATTATTTGGTTTAATTTGATTTCTCTGGTATATGCAATTCTTTTTCTGGATATTTTCGAATAAGATAATTTTCACTAGTAGAATAAATAATTCCTGGATCCCAAAGCCCCCAAGTCTCGCGGCCGACCATCGCATGACAATCTTCTGCTCTCGCTAGTCGCTCTGGTCCCCTTTCCTTCCCCTGGTTTTGGGGTAATTAGTCCATCCTCCATCTTTCTCTGCTCTCAAACTGCTGGTCTGTCCCTCGCTTCCTTTTCTTTTCCCCTTCCTCTAGGCTCTTTTCTTCCCCCTCTCTATCTGTCTGTCTCTCTCTCTCTTCTCCCCCCATTCTCATACTCTCGTTCTCCTCCCTTCCTACCAACGTGAAACACTGACCCCCTTGTCCGTCATTTAGTACCACGACCAATTCCCACTCCCCACCCGAACAATTGACGGTCACCGGAATCAATAATAATTATAGTTATAATCCTCAATCAATCAATTCAATACATTACACAAGAGTAACGTCCGAACCACCCTACCCGTCCGTGGGAACGAACGGTCGCCCTGTTCCTCTGCTCTCCACTGCTGCCGAAACACGAGACAATCCTTTTCTTCCACGCAATGACCGAGAGGTGACAGCGTTGCTCTGCCCGAGAGACGGCCCCTTGGATCTTCGAACCTTCACGAAAACAACTTCTCCTTTCAATTGCGGGTCTCGTCGGGGGGTCACTGTTGTCCTGGCGCTTTCTCTAGCTATTCAAACGGGTGGAACGGTCCAAGTCGATGGCACAGCTGCAGACACCACAGCGAACGGGTCTGGGATTACCATTGATTGATTGACCGATATACGATTCGAGGCGCTACTCATGATCACTTCTAGCTACAGCCAGTGAGCCGAGTGACGCCGTCCCATAGCGGAAGAATGTCCAAGCATCAAGCCGATATGCACGGAAGCCACTCTCCTCCGCGGACGCCGCCGTCGGCGGCCTCCAACAATTATAACCCGGCCAAAAGAGGGCGCCATCCTCGCCCTTCGGTACGCGAGACCTTTTTAGATGATTTCAATTCTCCAGACAATGCCAACAGCAGCAATGAGTCTGCGGACGAGCGGGATCCGCACGACCTGTCCTTATCGCCGAAACATGCAGCCCGGACTTCCATAGTCGACAATATGCTCCTCTCTCTAGACCAATTAGCATCGGGCTCCTCCGTCCTGGACGATTACCGGTTATTCAATTCCGTTTTCGAGTCTGACAATCACGGCCACAACTCGCAAGATTCCATGACCCAACGTCGTTATCGAGGCCACACCTTTTCCTCCTCTTTGTCATCCGACCCTGAATACCCTTACGATGAATCTGCGGCTCGCGGAGCTCAGGCTGGAAGAGGCCGTCGGAGCAACAGTAGTTCAAACTACCACTCGAGCCTGAAGAGATTCGGAAGTGCCCGTAGCAGAGATGGCACCGGGTCGCACGGTCAACTCTACGAGCATCGAATTCATTCCAGTGGCGCGGCCACTGGCGCGCGCACGGGGCGACAGAGCAGCAAAGGCAGCTCTCCTCCCCCGGAATTCGGGCCCCCTCTTTTGACCCAGCGGCGGTCTGCGAGTTTTGACTTTGGCTCCAGAACCGCGTTCATTCCTTTTGCAGATCTTCCCGCTGAGTACGACTCGTCAGCCTACGACGGAGTTGATGCCGCTCCGACCCCTAGCGTTCCTGCTGGCCCGCGCAAGTACCAATCCTCCGCGCAGGGCGATCTGCCGGGGACCTTGAACTCCCAGTCCTCGCGCACCCCGGTGGCATCGCGACGAAACAGCGTGAAGTCGTCCCGAACTGATCAACCCCGGAAGCACCGACCGGAGCACCTCGGCACCGCGACTCTCAGGGGTCGTGACAACCATCTGGCCAACCTGGGTGATTCAGGGCTGGATCCTCCGCCCGCTATACCAGCGGCATCTCTGGACCCGCCGGCCCCGAGCCCTACGATATCCTTCAACAAACCTTCTTTCCCCCCTCCACCCGACCCTACTCCCACGAAGGAGCGCCCAGGATTCTTTCGCCGTGTATTTGGGTCCTCGAAGGCACCTTCTCCCGGACCGTTCGATACTGGTCAGCCGGATGCCCAGTTTCCTCTAGAAAACGACCTCAAGGAGAGCTATGGCAATTCTCGAATGCGGAGACAGCCTTTGAAAAACACCGCGGGAGGTGCCAATGCGGGCCGAGAAGGCCCCCCTCAAGTTGTAAACAAGAAGTCTTCATTCTTTCGCCGGCGGAAAAAGTCCATTGTCGAGAATATCCCACCGCCTGCTGTCCCAATTCCGGACTTTGGGCCAAAACCAACAGAAACGAGTAAGCCGGCACCCAGCCCTGTAAGCAGCCTAAGAAAAATGATGAACCCTTATATAACAGATCATACCCGAGCTCCAATGATGGACAATTCTGTCGACTTTCCCACTCAGGCCCAGGCCGCTGGCGCAGAACCGACCGAGAACAAGGGGACTCGCCATGTGCCGAACCAAAAGCCCAATGCGCCAGTGGTCGGCGGGGGCTCAAAATCCAAGTACAGTCTCTATCCTACGATTTCGCCTGCTTCCCCACCTGATCCCTCGCCGTTGGGGAGCCCCGGTGGTGATGAGGATGTCGGTGTCCAATCCCGGGGTTCGGACGCTGTGTCGTCACCGGATAACAGACAAGAGCAGCCAGCGACCCGAGAAGGCGCAGGGTCACGTAACAGCGTCACAGAACGAACCGAGTCCGATCGAGTTCGCGATGCCCTGCAAAATATGCTGGTCCCTCCAGAGAGCCTTGCTCCTTCTTCACTCTCCCCTGTGATTGAAAATTTCTCCCAGAAAAGCGCTTCGCCAGTTGAGGGCCCTGGTGAGTCACGTCCATTGGGCTCGAGCGAACCAGCCGAGGGCAAGGATATCTCGGACTCGGCTTCGTATGAAGATAAACAGGAACACTTTAGCAAATTACCAAAGCCAACGTTGGACACCAGCGGATCTCCCGCAGCCTCAACCTCAGAGGTCTCGAATTATCACACGGCTTCTAATACCCCCATTGTGCCTTCGGCGGATCAGAAATTCGCGGATACAGCCGAAAGTAGGGACGAATGCACTGAAATTGCTGCTGATGAATCACCCCCATCAGACAGGGAACAGGCGCAAAGGCTCTACGATAATCAGGATCAGGTTGTCGGTCGCGATGCCCCCGCTGCATGGCTTGGTGACCCGGACCGGTCTGCGATCCGAACAGCATACATGGAACTTTTCGACTGGTCGAACATCAATATTTTAGCCGCCCTTCGAGGTCTCTGCACTCGGTTAGTGCTGAAAGGTGAGACGCAGCAGGTTGACCGGGTTTTGGACGCCTTTTCCGCCCGATGGTGCCAATGTAATCCAAATCATGGCTTCAAAGCTGCCGGTATGTCTAAGATTTCTTAAAATCGAGCGCTTTGCTGAAAACTATAATTGCTGATTCATCTGCATTAGACGTTGTGCACACCATTTGCTACTCCCTGCTTCTACTAAACACCGACCTGCATCTTGCCGACATAGAGCAGAAGATGACGAAAAACCAATTTGTTCGAAATACAATGCCAACGATTCATCGTGTGGCCGTCGATGCCGCTTCCGAGGGCTTCGAGGGCTTGCGGCCAAACAACAAATCAAAAAACCCGACCCAAGAGCCTTCGAATGCTGCCAATGCCGAGAGCGAAAAATTCACAAACCCTCCGGCGAAACTTGTGAATCGACTGTCTCGAACCGACCTTTCCGTGAAGCTGGCGGGTGATCCTGAGAGCGACAGTGGCCCATTAGTGAGCGTGCCGTTTCACGGGACAATGCGAGCCTGGGAGCAGCAGCTTGAGACTGTCCTTCGGGACTTTTACTCCTCAATCCAGAAACAAAGGCTCCCCCTTCATGGATCCCAACCCGAGAAGGAAGGCCCGCGCGTCTCGTCAAATAACCTGCTTGGTCCTAACCCGGGTGGCCTTCGCAGAAGCCCTAGCACTGTAAGCAAGAGCGGCTCCGACATTTATCCTCGCGGTCGCTCGGCAGACTCTCGGTATGGTACGGCACGCTGGTCCTCCAAGCCTCGTTCGCGAGCAAGGCTGTATCCTCCTTCAACCATGGGCTCGAGCCGGACCAGC